GCCTTTAGAGGGCTGCTCTGGGCACTTTTGAGACGGCCAAGATCGAATTTTGAACGACTGCTAAAGGGGTATCCTTGAAACCACTTTAAGTTTCCAGAAAGCCGCCGTTCAAAATTTGCATCGCTACGCGTACTTGCGCCCAATTGCGGACATGTCTCGCCTCTCAGCCAACCAGACAATTCTGGACACTATGAGAGGTGTTCATGAATCAAATCAGAAACTGGCCCGGGGTGCTGAACCGCAAGGTTGTGATCCCCACCGGCAATGATTTCTAAGCGTGCATTCGGTATGCGACTTAATAGTTCCTCACCCACCGCGACAGGGCTAATGGGGTCCGAATCCCCCCAAATCAATAGCGTCAGGGCTGCTATGCCCTCAACAGGAAGAGGTGCCGTTGCATTTTTCTCAGTAATCCAACGGGCGGTATGGGGAAAGGTCTTGAGATAGCTTTTCCTCCAATCCGTGGCGCCGAGGTTTGCCATTTCTAACCCGGCAGAGGTAGCCGTTAACACCAGGCGTCGCACAGAGTCAGGTCTTTCAATAGCAATTCTTGCGGCCACAACACCACCCATCGACTGGGCAATCAGATCTACCGGGTTGTCAATCTCAGTTTCGACCAACGAAACCAGATCATCTACGCTGTTGATGTGTGAGACGGCGGGTTGATCACCCAGTCCTGGCCAACTGAATAAAAAATTTGACTCTGTCTCAGGTAAGCGCGAAGCCACTGGTTCCCAAAAAGTCGCGGCCCCTCCGGCACCTGGCAAGAATAATTTTTTTTTCATTCCAAAATGCTGAATTGGCTGATCAGGAAGCAAGGTCGATGAAACGTTCTGACTACGCAAGCCGCACGAATCAGAGGCAAGGGCGAGTCACGGTATTTATTTTTCGAACCATTTCAGACTCAACAGAGCTCCCGCGTCTACCTCAAGGCGAAATGCGTAATTTGGGTTAGAACGATAAACAAACTGTCACTGCTCCTTTTCAAAATCACACAAGCCAACCCCACCCTGCTGGGTGACATCATTGATAGCTTTATCGGCGTTGTTGTGCGACCTGAACTGTCCTTTAAGCGAGACTCTATCGGTGCATGGCTTGATTCCAGCGTGGGGGTCGCTCGTTGTCCTGTGGATACGGATGATGCTGATGACCTGATTTGGATGCCTAGCGCACCAGTTTATTGAGCACCTGGCGAACTTCTTTCGCCCACTGTGCGGAAACTGTCTTACCTGCCGGCAGGTTGGTCGAGCGGCGACGATAGACAACCTGGCCGTCGCCATCGACCACCAGCAACCCGGGAATGAAGTTGATGCTGTACGCCTCGCCGATGGCATCCGCATCCGCAATGGCATACATCGGAAAGTCGAGAGAGTCGACGTACGCCTTGGGATCACCGCGGCCACGTTCTTTGGAATTCAGCGTCACAATCTGCACCCCGGCGTCTGCGTACTCTGCCTGTATATCTTTTGCGTAGGGCATAAACGCTTTGCAGTACGGGCACCAGGTCGCCCAGAACACAACAACTGCTGGCTTGCCTGCCAGTAAGGCAGGAAACTCAACGGTTTTGCCGTTCACAAGATTGGTGCCGACAAATGGGGGCGCAGTGTCACCTGGACCTACGGCGTATGTGGTTGAAAAAGGCGCCAGCAAGGCGATGGTGATGAAGAGGCGAGCTAAATATGTCATCTCAGCAGCTTAATCGCAGCTGCTGCCAAATGCTAACGCGTGTGGGGCTAGAGTTTGGACTCGCTTTTTAAGCGGGAGATGGCCTGCCAGGCTTTTTTGAAAGTCGGTACCGCGGTTTCTATCTGATGTCGCCGTCGAATCGCTTTCAAATCCACAGGTTGTTGCCGGTCGGCATTTCTGGTGGTGCAGTTCGATGGGTCCAGTTCAAACGCCTGAATCACGGCAGCGGGATCTTTGCCTTCTTCCAACTGGGCCAGGCGAGCAACCAGCAGCGATGCGGATAGCTCTGCGTCGAATTTGTCTGCGTAAGGCCCCAGCATCATGTCCTCGCGGGTGCGGAAATACCAACCTTCTTTGGTTTCCACAAAACGTGCAGTGCGCACAAGCCCGGGAATGCGCTGTTCTTGTTCTCTGTCTTTTTTACGGAGATCCATGCTGTTTCAGATCCGTCTGTCACTGGTTCATAAAAATGTTTGCTGCAGAAGCTGCAGGTAAAATGTGGCGTGTTTTTTTCTGCCGCCCGATGTCTATCTTAATCGTCTGAAGATTACGGCAATGGTCCTGGCGCGCATTTTTTGACTGTTCGCGCAGTGAATTGAGCGCTGGTTCACAACTTCGCGCGGGCAGCTGCTGACCCGGGTATACTTCGGTCAAGTTTGAAAATGGAAAAGTCGATGTATGGTTTTGTCTTACGTGTACTGATGAATATCGCCGGGCTGTGGCTGGCCACTGTCCTTATTTCAGGCATTACGGCGGACACCACAGCGGCCCTGGTATGGGCAGCCATCTCACTGGGGTTGGTCAATGCGTTCATCCGGCCGCTGGTATTTTTCCTGACTCTGCCGGTGACGCTGCTGACGCTGGGCATCTTCATCTTGTTCATAAACGCGGCGATGCTGAACCTTGCCGCCTGGTTCGTGACGGGTTTTGACGTCGTTGGTGTGATTGATGCTCTGCTGGGCGCGATTCTGGTCAGCCTGGTCAGCTGGGTTGGGTCTGCGTTTGTTGGCGACAACGGACGATATCGAGTCATGGTTATAGAGCGAAGAAGCCGTGATTAGTGCATAAATGGCCTGGGTGCGAATCACTTATAACTCCATTACCTAATCGAAGTTGTTTTAAGCAACGTGACAGGTAGAATCTCGCCGCTTTGCCAGAATAAATATTTGTCTAGGGGGACTGCATGCATATAGGTGTGCCAAAGGAAACTTGGCCCGGTGAACTGCGCGTTGCGCTGGTGCCGCTGAACGCAAAGAAACTCATTGGCCTGGGTTTCACAATCACGCTCGAAAGTGGCGCAGGAGCTGCTGCGGGTTTTCTCGATTCCGCCTACGAGGAAGTGGGTGTTCAGATTTCCGCCGACCACAATCAGGTCCTGTCTGGTGCCGACCTTATTTTTCGGGTGCGCAAACCGTCCCTGGCCGAAGTGGAACATCATAAGACGGGTGCCATCAGCATCAGCTTCTTAGACCCCTTCAATGAAAAAGAACTGGTGGAATCCCTGGCCAGCCACGGTGTGGTGAGCATCTCCATGGAGATGATTCCCCGCAGCACCCGCGCGCAGAAGATGGATGCGCTGTCTTCTCAGGCTAACCTTGCGGGTTATGTCACCGTGATTCTGGCCGCGATGCATTGTCCTAAAATTATGCCGATGATGATGACACCTGCGGGCACAATTGCGCCGGCGCGCGTATTTGTCATTGGTGCCGGGGTGGCGGGTTTGCAGGCCATCGCCACAGCAAAACGTCTGGGCGCTCGTGTGGAAGCCTTTGACACACGTCCGGTTGTTGCTGAACAGGTGCAGTCGCTGGGTGCAAAGTTTGTTGAAATTGATCTGGGTGAGGTAGGGCAGACCGATCAGGGCTACGCTAAAGAACTGACCCCGGAGCAAATTGAGCTGCAACGCGAAGGTCAGAAAAAGGTGATTGCGCAAAGCGATGTGGTGATCACCACAGCTCAGCTGTTCGGACGCCCAGCACCGGTTATTGTCAGCCGGGATATGGTTGAAGCCATGAAACCTGGCAGCGTAGTCGTAGATATGGCGGTTGAAACCGGCGGTAATGTCGAAGGCTCGGTGTTAAACGAAGTGGTCGACATTAATGGCGTCAAAGTCATTGGCATGGGCAACCTGCCCAGCGAAGTGGCGCGTAACGCCAGCGAAATGTACTCGAACAACCTGTTCAATCTGATTGGTGATTTCTGGGACGAAGAGGCGAAAAGCCTGAATCTCAATCCCGAAGACGACATTGTGCAGGCTTGTGTCATCACCCGCGATGGCGCGGTGGTGAACGAAACCATCAAAAACATATATAGCGGGGCTTAAGAAGATGGAAGCAGTTTTACTTGGAATGGTCTTAATGCTGTCCATTTTTCTGGGCTTTGAGCTGATCTCGAAGGTGCCCGCAACTTTGCATACACCTTTGATGTCCGGAGCGAACGCCATATCGGGCATTACTATCGTTGGCGCATTGATTTCAGCCGGCAACGATTTAGGCATGATGTCCACGGTCCTTGGCGCTGTGGCGGTTGCCTTTGCAGCGATTAACGTGGTCGGCGGGTACCTGGTGACAAACAGGATGTTGAGCATGTTTAAAAAGAAAGACAGTGGTCAGCGGGGAGGTAAGGCGTGAGCATTGAACTCATCAACGTCGTTTACATTGTAGCCGCAGCGCTTTTTGTATTCGGACTGAAACAGCTCGGTTCTCCTGCTACCGCTGTACGCGGTAACTTACTGTCCAGCGTGGGCATGCTGATCGCGGTAGTGGCGACGCTGTTTAACGCGGAAATTCTGTCCTTCAGCTGGATAATTGGTGCGATTGTTGTTGGCTCTATCGTGGGCTATGTGGCCGCTGTGAAAATCGAAATGACCAGCATGCCGGAAATGGTTGCTCTGTTTAACGGTTCTGGTGGTATTGCCAGTCTGCTGGTGGGTTGGGCTGCATTGTATAATCTGGACAACACAACGTTCACCTATGTGACCATCGTTGTGTCTGTGGTTATTGGCGGGCTGACGTTCACCGGCAGTATTCTGGCCTGGGGTAAGCTGTCGGAAGTAATGCCGTCGCGAGCCATCGTATTTGGCGCGCAGCGGATCTTCAACGGTGTGTTGTTACTGGCGTTGATCACCTGCTCAGTACTGTTCTGCCTGGATCCATCAGCCAGTTCTCCTTACCTGTTTGCGATCATCATCTTAGCCTGTCTTTTTGGTGTGATGGCGGTGTTACCCATCGGTGGTGCAGACATGCCGGTTGTCATTTCGCTGCTCAACAGCTACTCAGGTCTTGCTGCCTGTGCGGCGGGTTTTGCGATACACAACAATATTCTGATTGTTGCAGGTTCGATGGTTGGCGCCGCTGGTATCATCCTGACTAATATCATGTGTAAAGCGATGAACCGTTCACTCGCCAATGTGCTGTTCTCAGGATTTGGTGCAGTTAAGCAGGCGACGAAGGTTGAAGGCGAAGTTAAACCCATCAATGCAGAAGATGCTGCGCTGATTCTGGAAGCGGCTCAATCAGTTACTTTTGTACCCGGTTACGGCATGGCTGTTGCTCAGGCACAGCACGTGGTTCGCGAGTTGGGTGAAATGCTTGAAGCTAACGGTGCAGAAGTGACCTACGCTATTCACCCTGTGGCAGGACGTATGCCTGGTCATATGAACGTGCTGCTTGCAGAGGCCAGTGTGCCTTACGATCAGCTGGTCGAAATGGATGATATCAACCCTCGTATCGACAAAATCGATGTGGCGGTTGTGATTGGCGCTAACGACGTGGTTAACCCGGCAGCAAATGATGATGAAAACAGCCCGATTTACGGGATGCCGATTATCAACGTGAACCAGGCTCGCACGGTATTTGTGCTCAAGCGTTCAATGGCTTCAGGTTTCTCAGGCGTGGATAACCCGCTGTTCTTCGGTGAAAACACACGTATGTTGTTTGGTGATGCAAAAGAATCGCTGGCCGCGGTGCTTAACGAGCTCAAGTAAGCGGCAGGTTAAACGGCAGTAACGGCGATAGCCTGAGTGAAATACTCTTTCTACGGCTATCGCCTGGTAGGTTTCTCATTTCTGGTCTGCTTCCTGGTCTCGTCTTTTTTCCTGCACGCAAGAGGCGTTTTTTTTCCGCAATGGATGGCTGACTTCGATGTCAGTCGCACAGAATTGTCCCTGGCGGTCAGTCTGACTCTGTTTGCCGGCAGCTGTTTTGCACCCCTGATGGGTTTCCTCATCGATAAATTCCCCGTTCGCAATATCATCTGCCTGGCATCGTTGTGGATGGCAATTGGGTATCTGCTGCTTGGTCAAGTGGCATCCTATTGGTTGTTTATGGCCGTATTGATTCCATTCCAGGGTTTGGCCTGGCTGGGTGTCGGCCCCCTGGTGCATACCAAGCTCATGGTGAACTGGTTTACCCGCAACCGAGGTATGGCCTTGGGGATTGCCATCATGGGCATCAGCGTTGCGGGTGTGATGACACCGCTGTTGAATGCCTACCTTGCGCAGACGATAGGCTGGCGCGGCAGTTATCAGATTTATGCGGCCATATTGGTGTTGTTAGTCATCCCGCTGACTCTGTGGATTGTGCGTCAAAAACCGCAGGACATCGGCGAACTGCCTGATGGTGATGCCCAATCTGTGGGCAATCATGTGCCAGTAGCTCCACCAGTAGAGCTGGGTGTGGTGGCCACGTACAAAGAATTCCTGTCCTCAAAAGCATTCTGGTCCGTGGTGCTTACGTTTGGCTTGATGAACGGCGTGTATTCAGCCATGGCTACACACCTGCCAACCTACGTGACCAGTGAGCTTGATCTTGAGTTATATGATGGTGCGCTGTTGCTCACCGTTGCCGGCGGCTTTGCCATTGGTGGCAAAATTGTATTTGGCTGGATGATGGATCGGTTGGCCGCAAAAATTACCGTGATGTGTGGGGTGGTTGCTTACCTGGCATCGACCCTGCTGCTTATTTTTGTGGAGGCTTACTTCGGGCTGCTGTGTGCGGCGGCGATGTTTGGCCTGGGTTTCGGCGGCATGATACCGGTGCGTTCTGTATTGATATCGCGCCTCTTCGGCGTGGCCAAATTTTCCCGGGTAAACGGGCTGCTGTCGTTTTTCATTGCACCTGCGACATTCTGGGTGTTGATTACCGGTGCGATTGTGGATGCTACCGGTACTTATGGCACTGCTTTCAAGGTGTGGTTTGTATCCTTCCTGTTGGCTGGCGTTGTCAGCTTATTGGTGAAACTGCCTGATCGGCAGGACGCAGTTGCCTGATTTCTGATCTGGTTCAGACTCGCGCCTGGTCGACGATTTCCAACAACAGTAGGCAATGCTTGTCGGGTTTAGTATGTTCTGCTGCGTTGAAAACATATGGTGAGGCGTAAATGTCCGATCAACCCGAACAACCTGGTTTTGAAACAGCCACTTCGAATCGCGAAATCCGCGAGCGCTGGAAACTACCGGCGGACGCAGACGCTGCATCCATGCCACTTGAAAAGCTGAACCCCGGCAACGGCGATTGGTTCGAACGCAACAAAGCACTGGGCGTGTTCGATCGTCTGCGTGCAGAAGATCCGGTGCACCTGACCGAGGACAGCCAGTTTGGGCCGTACTGGTCGATGACAAAGTATGACGACGTGAAGTATGTCGATACCCACCAGCATCTGTTTTCTTCGGACATTATGAACGGCGGCATCCGGCTTGGGGGACGACCTATGGCCGAGCCGCCAGATGCAATGTTCCACCTGCCGATGTTTATCATGGCAGACCAACCGGTTCATGATGAGCAGCGCAAAGTTGTGGCGCCGATGTTTACGCCAACCCGGCTGGCGGCGCTGGGAGAACTGATCCGTCAGAGAGCTGGTGACATCCTCGATGAAGTCCCACGGGGGGAAAGCTTTAACTGGGTACGTGAAGTATCTGTGGAGCTGACCGGGCGCATGTTGGCAACACTCTTCGATGTGCCGCAGGAAGATCGACATCTGCTTATTCACTGGTCCGATACCGTCGAACGGATCGGAGATCCTGACTATTTTGAAACCCCTGCGGAAGGGTTTAACGAAATATGGAAGTGTTTTGAGTATTTCAATGAGGTGTGGCAAACACGTAAGAGCGCATCTGAACCGGGTGAAGATCTGATCTCGTTCCTGGCCCACGGCGAATCCACAAAAAACATGTCGCCCAATGAATTTCTTGGCAACGTACTGCTGCTGATTGTTGGCGGCAACGACACCACGCGTAATTCGATCACCGGCGGCGTGCAGGCACTCAACATGTTTCCGCAGGAATATGACAAGTTGCGCGACAATCCTGGCCTGATACCCAATATGGTGCCGGAAATCATTCGTTGGCAATCTCCGGTGGCACATATGTGTAGAACGGCGATGGAGGACGTTGAAATCCGCGGCAAGCAGATCAAGAAATGGGACAAAGTGGCTATCTGGTACGCCTCAGGCAACCGTGATGAAGAGCGGATAACTGATCCAAACACACTGCTCATTGATCGCCCCCATGCTCGCCAGCATTTGTCTTTCGGTTACGGCATTCACCGCTGTCTGGGTAATCGCCTGGCGGAAATGCAGTTGATGATTCTCTGGGAAGAAATCATGAAGCGGTTTTCTGCAGTGGAAGTGGTGGGGGATGCCAAGTACCTGAACTCCAGTTTCATTCGTGGCATAACCGACCTGCCTGTGCGTGTACATGAGCGCTAGGCTTGAGCTGAGAAGCGAGTGATTCAGCGACTGCGTATCACCGTGGTTGATGTGTTTGCCGAGAAACCGCTGGCTGGGAATCAGCTGGCGGTTGTGCTGGGCGCCGCTGATCTGAGCGATGACCAAATGCAGTTGATCGCGCGGGAGATGAATTTCTCTGAAACCACATTTGTTCTGCGTGAGGCAGCGGACGAAGCACAAGTGCGGATATTTACGCCGGCTTCTGAGCTGCCTTTTGCCGGTCACCCGACACTGGGTACCGCCTGGGTGCTCACCGCCGGGCAGCGACCCATTACTCTGGACCTAGCCGGGGGCAGGGTGCCAGTTGATTTTGTTGATGGGGTTGCCTGGATGACGCCACCTTCAGTGGAATTCAAAGATCCTGTTTCGACCGGTGATGCCGCCGCTCTGCTGGGCCTGTTGGAAAGCGATCTGCACCCGGATTTTACGGTTGCAACTGCTGTTGTGGGTCCTGGTTTCCTGCTGGTGCCGGTTAAAGACCTTGCCACCCTGAAGGTTGCGCGATTCAACATCGATAAGCTGCATGAAATGATCAAGCTCGGACGGTTGGACAAGGCGGTAAACGGTATTTTTGCGTTCAGCAGCGAGCCATACGACAACACCGCTGATTATGCGGCGCGGATGTTTTTTGAAGCCGGTGATGCACGGGAAGACCCCGCTACCGGTAGCGCGAATGCCTGTTTTGCCGCCTACCTTAAAGCCGCCGGCAGAAACGCCAGTGTGAGCGGTTCTGCATCAGTTGTGGTTGATCAGGGCGTGGAAATGTCGCGGCCTTCACGCCTTTATCTGGATCTTTCAGAGCCTTTACGGGTTGGCGGTAAGGTACAACCTGTACTGGAAGGTGTTATCACAGTTTAGCTGCTGAGTTCTGCCGGCAAAGTAAAACTCAGATGACGTGAAATACATCACACCTTTCCCTCGTGGCTGCGCATACAGTGGCAGGATGCGTGATTCAGATGACAGTGAAAAAATCCGCCACTTCCGTACCGGCAACCGATTCTTTAATCAGAACGGTAGCTGGTGGTTCTCCACACGGGAAGGCGAAGAAGGACCATTCCGTACCCGCGAGCAGGCGGAAGCGGGGATGGCACGCTATGTTGAGGCAATCCGAGCGATGCACGCTTTCAAACACAAGCAGGCAGAAAAGTACAAAGTAGACCCGAATCGTCGACCCGATCCAACCGTTTGGGATAAACAGATAGATTCGCTATAGCTTTAACAAAAAGTTCACAACTGTTTCACGAAGCGTTGACGGGCTGCCTGTTTCAATACCTCCATAGTCAGGCGCCGGGGAGACAAGATTCTCTCCCCTCCCCTCCTCCCCATTGGCTTCCCGGCCGCCGGACTCACCTTCCAGGTATCAACCCCCAACATCAGTTTCAAAGCTCAGTGTACTGGCCGTTTCCAAGCCCATCTATGGTCCACGAGCCTACCCGGTAGCGGATCAATCGCAGTACCGGGTAGCCAATTGCCGCACACATCCGCCTCACCTGACGATTCCTGCCTTCGCTGATGCTTAAAGATATCCAACTGTCTTTTATATGTCTGCGTTGGCGTATGGGTGGGGTGCGCGGCCATAAGTTTTGCGGTTGTGCGATCAGCGCAGCTTTTGCTGGCCGCGTCATGCCATCTTTGAGCTCAAGGCCTTCTCGCAGCGGCTGCAAATCCTGTTCGCTGGGTTCACCTTCCACCTGAACCCAGTAGGTTTTACTGACTTTATGTTGTGGGTCTGTGAGTTTGTGCTTCAAGGCATTGTCATTGGTTAAAACTAACAGACCTTCACTGTCGCGATCGAGTCTGCCAGCCGGATAGACTTCAGGTATGTCGATGAAGTCAGACAAGGTGGATCTACCTTCAGAATCACTGAATTGTGACAGCACATCAAAAGGTTTGTTGAACAGCAAAATGCGCTGCATAGGGTATCCGGCTGGTATCGTTATGAGGAGTTTAGTCTTTCAGGTTTCAGACTACATTTGTTTAAACATGTGTCCGTAGCTGGCGCTTGAACGCAGCGTTTCAGGTCGGCTGCGCAAACTGATGCTGTAGCGGCCACGCAGGTCACGTTTGGCTTTCACGATCTGGTCGACACGCACGATGGTGCCCCGGTGTATGCGCCAGAATTGCGTTGGGTCCAGCTGTTGCTCAAGTTCTTTGATAGACCGTCTAACGACATATTCTCGATCTGCGGTTATCACCGACGTGTATTTCTGATCTGCCTGAAAAAAAATCACATCGTCTACCGCAACCAGGGAGGTTGTGTCGTCTACGCCGGTTCGGATCCAGTGCAGGTATTCCTGTCGTGCCGGGCTGATCTCCTGGAGCAGGGTCATCAACTGCTGATGATCCTGGCTTTGTGCCCGTTTCAGTCGATCTATGCTTTGCTGCAGACGTTCTTCTGTGACCGGCTTAAGCAGGTAGTCGACAGCAGCGCGCTCGAACGCATCCACTGCGAATTCGTCGAACGCGGTGACAAATACAATCTTAATTTCTGCAGAAAGCGCCTGGGCAACCTGCAATCCGGATAATCCAGGCATCTGTATGTCGAGGAAAACGATGTCAGGTTGTACCTCAGCAGCCAGCGCAAGCCCCTGGCGGCCGTTGACCGCACTGCCGAGGATCTCCAGCTCGGGCCAGAGCTTATTCAGTTTGTTGGAAAGGTAGCTGATCAGGGTGGATTCGTCGTCGATGATGATGGCAGTGGGGCTCACGGCTGATCAATCTCGTTGTTCTCGGATATGGCACTGTTGCCAGGCAGTGTGATACGGGCAACAACACCCTGAGGTTCGTTGGGAAACAGATCCAGTTGGGCCTGGTCGCCGTACAATGCCTGCAGGCGCTCCCGCACGTTTTTCAAGCCGGTGCCGCTGCCGGCGGTGGATCGACGCTGCGCCTGATTGTGTTCGATGCCCAGCCCGGTATCGGTAATCGATATGATGACGCTGCTGCCGTCCTGGGTAGCGGACACCGCGATCTCTCCGCCTTCTTCGCTGGGCTCAATGCCGTGTTTGATGGCATTTTCGATAAGTGGTTGTACCAGTAGCGGTGGCAATGGGATGTTATTGAAGTCTGCGGGTACGTCGAAAGTGTAGTGCAGGCGGCCCTGCATGCGGGTGCTCTGAATATCGAGGTAAGCCTGAGCAATTTCCAGTTCCTGTGCCAGGGTTGTGGTCTGTTGCCGTGTTCTGTTCAGCGAGCCGCGTAACAGGGTTGTCAGGTTGAGCAGCGTCTTTTCCGCAGTGTCAGGACTTTCATGGATCAACCCGGCAATGTTTGACAGCGTATTAAACAGAAAGTGGGGCTCGATCTGAGCCTGCAGTAGCTTGAGTTCGGTTTCAGCGAGCAGCTTTTCCTGCTGAGCCTGTTTAGCGGTAGCTTGTGCAAGCTCTGCTTCAGCTTGAACCATGCGGGCGCGGGTGCCAAAAAAGATAAAACCGAGGATGCCAAAAAAGACCCCCAGGTAAATGGTTCCATTGCTGAAGGTGAAAAAGTAAAGCGGATCCTGAAACGTAATTAAGCCGGCTATGACCAAGCCGATCGATAATCCAATGGCGGTGACAGGTGCTGGTCCCAGATAGGGTCCGAGCCACCTGTCGAACAACGGCTCCAATAAATAAAAGCTGGCGCTGACCGACCAACCTATGGAAAACGAGACCGCCAGGTTGGCTAAAGCGTTACCACCAGCGAGCAGGGTGACCAGGGTGGCAATCCCGATGCAGAACAGGGTGGTGTAGCCAAACACCCGCCAGGGGTGCTCTATGCTGCGAGGCTCGATTTTGCTGCTGGACTCAGCCATGCACAAACTTTCCGTGTAGACCCAGTGGCAGATAATACGGCAGTGTAGCTGTCGCAACAGGTCCATCTTGTACTGCCTGAGCATTAAAGACGTTCAACAGCGTCTTCTGACGCTGCCAGTCCAGCGCGGAGCCGATGACCCAGCCCTCACTTTCAGGTTTGCTTCCAGGTTTTGGTACAAACAGGTGTTCTTCCGGAATCTGGGTGTCGGGATACCGGTAAAAAGCGCGCTTGCCGGAATTGAAATCCAACGTACTGACTTCGTTGAGGCTGGTATGAGCCGGTGCCGGGGTCAGGACATTGCGCGAAAGCATGGTCAGGCGATTGTTACGCCGGCAGCTGATGCGCGGGTCAACACAGGGAAATTCGGATTCCACATTTGTACCAAACAGAGGTGCTTCACTGACGCGACGATTTTTAGTGTCGATCTGATATTCATGATGATGGCTGATACTGCCCGGCACAACATTGCCACGCATGATCTCTCGGAAGCTGTCTATCATAACCAACGGGTCCGGTGCACGGGCGGCATCAAAACGAATCACACCCTGATTGTCCTCCCAGCCGTTGCCGTAGTGGAACACCCATTGAGACGGCAGTTCCAGCCAGAAGTGATTATCAAAGTCGTTTTTGTCGATAACCAGCACCCGGGTCGGTTGATCCGGATACCACTGGTGTGCGTCCAGGAACGATGACGGTCCAGTTGCTTCGTAGTTCAGAGGGGGCAGCATCAGGACCAGGTGCCTTTCGGTCACCACAAAGTCATGCACCATGGTGATAGGGTCAGCCTTTATTTTCCCCATCTTTACAACTTTGCCCTGGGCATTGATGTGCCATAACACCATCAGATTGGCGCCTGATAAATAGCCGAAGTTCCACAGCGTGCCATCGGCTTCTATGCGTGGGTGGGCGGAGAAAGGCACACCTTGAGTGTGTTCAGAAAAGGCGTATGTGCCCCGGGTGTCCAGACTGTCTGGATCCATTTCCCAGGGTGAGCCCGCTTCCCACAGCGCCAGCAGTTTGTCGTGATGATGCAATACGCTGATGTTTGCCACGTTGACGATATCTGGTCCGGTCACCGGTGCGGGGTTGGGCGGCACTGAAGCAAAACCAGGGTAAAGGGCGCGCTCAGCCTGCCTTTCGGCAACAACCTTGTGCGTTTCTATCAGTTTTGCACGGTGAGAGACACCGCTGCCATCCATGTGAAATGCCTGCAGCATACCGTCGCCATCAAACCAGTGGTGATAACGATAGCCGTAGACATCGTGCTGAGCCGGGCCATTTCGATACAGTGTGCCCACCAGTTCCTGTGGCCACCGGCCACTGATCTCTGCGGTGGCGGCAAATTCCTGGTCGGCTGCGCTCTGGTAGCCCAGCATCCAGGGATGTTGGACCAACCCCTGGGCAAATTGATCCGCCCATGAGGCGTTAGCCGCGCGAACACCGAAGGGTAGGGTTGCTAAAGCCGTGCCTGCAGCAACTGATTTGAGAAAATTTCTACGTTGCATGGTGTCCTCACTTACCCAGCGGTAATGTCTGTTTAACTGAGCCGTTTAATTCAAACTTTGCCTCTTCCCATTTCGGTGGGCCGAAGTTGCCTTTGGCGTTGTTTGACATCGCCCAGGGCTCGGTTGGCATGCCGACAAAGTTGCTGTCCATTTCGCCGTTGTTATTCACATCGTGCATGACCCGAATGGCGTATTCGCCAGCGGGCAGGCGCGTTGAGAATGTCATTTCCTCGTCCGTTGCGCGGGACATCATTGAAGCGATAGAGGGCTCGTCGCCGTTGAATTGCGCTTCGCCCTGCATGATCTGAACCATCACCGTGCCTTCGGTGGTGGTCAGGTTGGTGACGTTGATGGTCAACATTTCGGCATCAATCATCTGGGTGACGGCAACACTGTAGAAGGTTGCTGCGCCGACTAAAATTGATTTCAAATGCATGTTCTGTATCCAAATGTTTGCAGAGCTTGCAGATTACTGAGTTGGCGAGAGGTGTGTATTAAGTGCGACAGATTGGTAAAAAACGGGATGAGTGTGTTGCTCGGAGGATAGATTGGTAGGGATTGTCGGAGTCTGCTTCACTCACACTTTCCCGATTGGCGGAAGCGGAAGGCCTCAGCCGATCAGCGATGTCTGGCCTGCTCGCTTGAACACGAGCCTGTACTTGAATATTCAGGTGGAATATTCAGCCGTCTGTTTGCCCTTGCTGGCGATTCTAACTGACGGTCCGCTTCCTGCCAGGTGCCCGCTGTTCTCCAACTACAGGGCCCCAGTCAGACATCAGCGCTCGACGCAGCTGGCCGACGGTTTCATAACCCAGGCGCATCGACAGGGTCTGTTCAGAATTTCGTAGCGTTTGCATCGCCTGGTTGATCAGAGCAGATCCTCGCTCGCTGAAAACGATGCGGTTAGCACGTTTGTCCTCGGGGTCAGGGATCTGGGTGACCAGATCGTCTGCTTCCAGATCGTTAATCTGCTGTTGAATGGCCTGGCGGCTCACTCCCAGGGCGCGTGCCAGCTCTGCAGCACGGGTAACGCCATTAGAGATGTGAATCAGAATCATGGTCTGAGTGCGGGTGCGAGGTCGATAACCAGCCTGTTGAAGGCCATTCTGCAGGCTCTCGTCCATCCAGTAGTAAGCGCGCAACAGTCCGCGCATCAAAACTTCGGGAGGCAGTTCTTCGGGTGTGTTCTGGTATTCGCTCATCGATCGGTCCCTTTTAGTCCTTGTGGGAGTAGCGGCAATTCCTTTGGGGTATCCCCCCATGCCGTCATTACGCTATTGTTCCTTAAAAGCCATCGTGCAGGCAAGGAGCTTGTCCGTGCCGCGCTGGGGAGCGCAGCCGATGGTCAGAATCAAAAAGGGGGGAGCCATGGATCTTTATGAAGTCATGCGGACAACATTTGCCGCACGGGAATTTACTGACGATCCAGTGTCAGATGAACAGATTTTCAAGCTGCTCGAGAACGCGCGGTTCGCCCCCAGTGGTGGCAATCGCCAGGGCTGGCGGGTGGTCATCGTGCGGGAACAATCCACTAAAGATGCGTTGGGTCCATTAATAGAACCTACCTTGCGCCGCTACGCCGCTCAGGTCGGCCATGGTGAAGCACCCTGGAACACGATTGTGCCAACCACCCTGACGCAAGCAGAAATTGACGCCACATCGGTACCGCATCAACTCATTAACGCCATCACCCAGGCACCGGTGGTGTTGATGGTGTTCGTTGATCTGGCGGTGGTTGCCTCATTTGATAGCGAACTACCGCGAATTGGCGTGATTTCCGGCGGTTCGGTATACCCGTTTGTCTGGAATATTCTGCTGGCGGCACGCAACGAAGGTTTGGGCGGGACGTTGACCACCTTTGTTGGCGGTCAGGAAGATAAGCTGAAAACCCTGCTCAACGTACCTGATCAATATGCCTTCGCCGCGATGATTCCTCTGGGCAAGCCAGTGAAGCAGCTGACCAAACTGAAGCGCCGCCCGGTAGAGGCGTTTACCACCTTCGAACGTTTTGATGGAGCACCTCTGAAATGAGTGAACAGAATAATCAATCCTCCACTGCTGAACTTGATGCACAACTCGCTCAGGGTAAGAAAGACGTCAACTCTGCTTACGCCAGATACGTTCTGTTTGTGCTCATTGTGGTGTATATCTTCAATTTCATTGATCGTCAGATCATTTCTATTCTGGCAGAAGAAATTAAAGCGGATCTGGGTATTGGAGATGCCGAGATAGGTTTTCTTTATGGGACGGCCTTTGCGATCTTCTACGCGGTTTTTGGCATTCCGCTGGGTAAGCTGGCAGATGTATGGAACCGAAAGAGCCTGATTGCTATCGGTTTATCCTTCTGGAGTCTGATGACCGCTTTGTCCGGTTTTGCCAAAAGCTACACTGGGCTTGCCATCTGTCGCTTTGGTGTGGGTGTTGGTGAAGCCAGCGCAACCCCTGCGGCGTTTTCGATGCTGTCGGATTATTTCTCGCCGCGAGTGCGTGCAACGGTACTGGCGATTTATTCCAGTGGTATCTATATCGGCGCGGGTATTGGTCTGTTCCTCGGAGGGGCGGTGGTGGAAGCCTGGTATGCCTGGTATCCCGATCCAGGTATGGCGCCGCTGGGGATTAAACCCTGGCAGGCTGCGTTTCTAACTGTGGGCCTGCCCGGGCTGGTGGTAGCGGTCTGGGTCTGGACGATAAAAGAGCCGATCCGCGGTGCCAGTGAAGGCCTGCTGACCACCCCGCATCCCACGCCTTTCAAGGCTACTCAGAATACCCTGTTCAGCGTTTTGCCGGGTTTGTCGCTGGTTACCCTTTATAAGGCTGGCGGTATAAGAGCGGTCATGGAGAACCTTGTTGCCCTGGCGATCATCACCGGGTTGTTCTTTGTATTTTATATGTTGATGCCAACGGCTCTGCAGTGGATAGCCCTTGGCGCTGGCGTCTATATCACTGTGAGTTGGGTGCAGTATCTGCGCCTCAATGACCCTGCCTGTTTTGCCATGATGTTCAAGTCTAAAGCGTTTGTGCTGGCGTCAATCGGCTTCCCCAGCATCTCTTTTGTCACTTACGGCCTCGGCTTCTGGTCAGCGCCGTTCATGCAGCGCGTGCACGGCGAGTCGATTGCAGATGCGGGTCTGTATCTGGGTCTTGGTTCAGCTATTGGTGGTTTTATCGGCATCGTCCTCGGCGGCTTTCTGGCGGATATGTGGAAAGCAAAAAACGTCAACGCACGATTGTATATCGGCCTGGCGATCCCGATCCTGGCAACGCCATTCGGTTTGGGCTTCCTTTATACAGATAGTGTGCTGGTCGCGTATCTCTGCAGCTTTGTGTTCAGTATCTTGTCACCCGCATGGATTGGCTCTGGTGCCAGCACCATTAATGACCTGGTCATGCCACGCATGCGTGCAACAGCGTCTGCATATTACGTCCTTATGAATACTTTCCTCGGCCTGGCTCTGGGTCCATACCTGATTGGCCAGATCAGCGATTTGAATACTGTCGCGGGACAGGCCTCGGATGAAGCCCTGCGCAATGCAGTGACCATGGGACTGGCGGTTTTTCTGTTCAGTATGTCGTTTCTTTTTCTGGCGCTGCGCTATCTGCGCAGCGATGAAGAAAGCCGGCTATCGCGTGCGCGTGCGTTGGGTGAAGCGGACGTTTGAAAATGACAAAATTATTACAAAACGTTGCCCTTGCGCAGGGTTTCATGCAACCTGATGGATCAATTTTTTCGGTGAGTTCAGTTGCAACAATCGGGTGAATATCGAATTTCGGCTAGTCGAGATTCAGTCTGGCAGGCGCTGAATGACCCAGATCTTCTGGGTGAATGTATCGCAGGTTGCCAACACGTAAAAAAGATCGACGATGAACATTTTGATGTCGCGGTTAAAGCCAAAATTGGCCCGGTCAGCGCTACCTTCCAGGCGGAGCTTGAACTCGCAGATCTCAAGCCGCCGGAAAGTTATGTGATTAAAGGTAACGCTAAAGGGGGAGCCGCAGGATTTGCGAAAGGTCAGGCTGCCGTCAAGTTGGCCGAAGATCAGGGCGCTACTGTGCTCACCTATGAGGTAGCAGCCAATGTTGGCGGCAAGTTAGCTCAGGTAGGCAATCGCCTGGTTGAAGGCGCTACGCGAAAAATGGCGGATGATTTTTTTGCCGCATTTTCTAAACGTCTGGATCCGAGCGCAGTTGCTGCACCGTCCGCTGAGGATGCTGTTGATGTGGCGGATCAGTATGAAGAAAGCGGGCAATGGAAAATCTGGGCAATCGCTTTCGGGGTGCTGATACTTGCGGCAGTGCTCGCTATTTGAACCAAAAAATTGCAGATAAGACGATGCTGCACGCAGGTAGAAGAGGGGTTTACGATCAAATGAAGGTTTCTTTTAAAGTTAATGGTCAGGCACATGAGTTTGATGTGCCGCCAAATACACTGCTGGTCGAGGTATTGAGAGGTCAGCTTGAGCTCACCGGCACCCATGTGGGTTGTGACACTACCCAGTGTGGTGCCTGCACGGTGCACCTGAATGGTCGCGCGGTGAAGTCCTGCACGGTGCTCGCACCGCAGCTGGAGGGCGTCGACGTGACAACCATAGAAGGCATCGGCAACAGCGAAGACCTGCACCCGATGCAGGCGGCCTTCCGTGAATGTCACGCGTTGCAGTGTGGCTTCTGCACGCCAGGCATGATCATGCAGGCGATTGATCTGGTCGAACAGAACCCGGGTCTGGATAAGCAGGCTATTCGCGAAGGTCTGGAAGGTAATATCTGTCGTTGTACGGGTTATCACAATATTGTCCGGGCGATCGCTTCAGTTGCCTCCGGCACCGCAGACGGTTCAGCCACAAACGCCAAACCCAATCCGGCCAGATAGAGGATATAGACATGAGTGAAGTGGTTGCCCAGGCAGAAGCAGAAAATCAGGGTATAGGCGCGTCGGTCAGGCGGCGTGAGGACTTACGATTTATCACCGGTGAAGGTCGTTACACTGACGATATAAATCAGCCAGGCCAGCTGTACGCGGTGTTTTGCCGAAGTCCATATCCTCGTGTGCGGATTAACAGCATAGACGCGACCGAAGCATTAGCTTTACCTGGTGTGGTTGCCGTCTACACAGGGCAGCAGCTGGTGGACGACGGTCTTGGTGATCTGCCCTGTGGTTGGATGGTCAAGAGCAAAGATGGCGCAGATATGATTTCTGCGCCTCACCCACCCATGGCGGCTACGGTGGCTAACTATGTAGGTGAACCCTATGCGCTGGTATTGGCCGAAACACTGCAGATCGCCAAGCAGGCAGCAGAACTGGTCGAGACAGATTTCACAGAACTCAATGCGGTAGTCGATCTGGCTCACGCGTCGGGTTCAGAGAATATTTATGAGGGTATTGAGAACAACCTGGCGTATGAATGGGCCCTGGGTGATGAAGATGCCACCAAAATGGCGTTTGCCCGGGCGGCACACGTTACCACCCTTGACCTGACTAACAATCGCCTGATCCCCAACGCGCTCGAACCGCGGGCCTGTCTGGGTATTTATGAGCGTGGAACGGGAGATTACACACTGTACACCACAAGTCAGAATCCGCATCTGGAACGGCTTGTGCTGTCAGCGTTTGTGCAGGTTGCACCTGAACACAAGCTGCGCATTATCGCCCCGGACGTAGGTGGAGGATTCGGTTCAAAAATCTTCATCTATTCTGAAGAAACAACGGTGATCTGGGCAGCAGGGAAAATTAAGCGGCCTATCAAATGGGTTGCTGAACGCAGCGAAAGTTTTCTTGCAGATGCCCACGGCCGTGATCACATCACGCGCGCGGAACTGGCCATTGATGAAATGGGTCGGTTCACCGGTCTGCGTGTGAAAACCACCGCAAACCTGGGCGCCTATCTGTCTACCTTTGGCTCTTCTGTACCGACGTATTTATATGGCACGCTGCTCGCCGGCCAGTACAAAACACCAAACGTTTATGTCGAGGTCCAAGGTACCTACACCAACACGGCACCGGTGGATGCCTACCGCGGCGCCGGGCGTCCTGAAGCAACCTATGTGGTTGAGCGAATTGTGGATCAGGCTGCGCGGGAGTTGGGGAAAGATCCCGCTGATCTGCGCAGAATGAATATGATTCAGCCTGAAGATTTTCCTTACGAAACCCCGGTTGCTCTGACTTATGACACCGGCAACTACGAAGCGAGTCTTGATAAGGCGCTGGAGATGATTGATTACGCCGGTTTTGAGGCGCGTCAGGCGCAAGCTGCCGAACACGGTAAGCGGCGCGGCATCGGGCTTGCCTGTTATATCGAAGCCTGTGGGCTTGCGCCGTCGAAACTGGCCATAGAACTTGGTGCCGGTGTGGGGCTGTATGAAAGCGGTGAGATACGCATGAACCCAACAGGTTCGGTCAGTGTTTTTACCGGCTCTCACAGTCATGGCCAGGGCCATGAAACCACCTTTGCCCAGGTTGTCTCGGATAAGCTCGGAGTCGGTTACGAAGATGTAGAAGTGATTCACGGTGACACCGGCCGCATGGAATTTGGTCTGGGCACCTATGGTTCGCGGTCGCTGGCGGTTGGTGGCTCTGCGTTGATTGTTGCGGCGGAAAAGATCATCGAGAAAGGCCGTAAAATTGCTGCCCATATGATGCAGGCGCAGGTAGAACAGGTCGATTTTGAAAACGGTCAGTTCACTCTGCAGGACAGTAATCAATCGATGTCGATACAGGAAGTTGCATTTGCAGCGTATGTGCCAGCGGATTATCCCGAAGATCTTGAGCCTGGTTTAACCGAAAAAGCTTTTTATGATCCTAACAACTTCACTTATCCCGCGGGCACACATATCGCTGAAGTGGAGGTCGATCTGGACACCGGCGTTGTCCAGCTGGTTGATTTTGTTGCGGTGGATGACTTCGGCCACATTATTAATCCGTTGATTGTCGACGGGCAGGTACATGGTGGTGTGGCTCAAGGCGCTGGTCAGGCACTGATGGAACACGGTATTTATGATGAATACGGTCAGCTGCAGACGGGTTCTTTTATGGACTACACCATGCCGCGGGCAGATGACCTGCCCGATTTTCGCGTAGATACGACAGTAACGCCCTGTACCCACAACCCGCTGGGAGTTAAAGGCTGTGGCGAGGCGGGTGCGATTGGTTCACCGGCGGCAATTATGAATGCGGTAACCCATGCACTGGGAAACAAAGACATATCTATGCCGGCAACACCTGAAAAGGTGTGGCGAGCAATTCGGGGAGAATAAGGAATGTATCCATTCAACTATCACAAGCCAGCCAACATCAGTGAAGCGGTGAGCCTGTTTCGTAACGCCGATGATCCGATGTATCTCAGTGGTGGTATGACGCTGATTCCCACGATGAAGCAGCGCCTTGCAGCGCCAACTGACCTTATTGACCTGTCTGACATTCCGGAAATGTCAGGAATCGAGGTTGCGGCGGACAAAGTCCGTATTGGCGCATTCACTCGACACAATCAGGTTGTCAGTTCTCCTGAAATCAACGGGGCGTTACCTGTTTTGTCGCGTCTGGCGAGTCTGATCGGTGATAATCAGGTGCGTAATCGAGGCACCATCGGTGGCTCCGTTGCTAATAGTGATCCATCTGCTGACTATCCCGCCGCTGTGGTGGGTCTGGGCGCAACGGTATATACGCAGGACCGTGCCATATCCGGCGATGATTTCTTTCTGAATCTGTTTGAAACAGCTCTGCATCCCGGTGAAATTATTACGCACATAGATTTTCCGATTCCAACTCGAGCGGCTTATCAGAAGTTTCCTAATCCAGCTTCGCGATATGCTGTGGTAGGCGTGTTGATTGCAGATTTCAGCGGCACAATACGCGTTGGTGTTACCGGCGCAGGGCCTTGTGCCTGCCGCGCCAGTGGCATAGAAAAGATGTTGAACCAGGACCTGACTGCTACAGCCATCGACGCCGTAGAAGTTCCTGATGCAGGTTTCAACAGCGATTTACATGCGTCAGCTGAATACCGTGCGCACCTGGTCAAAGTTATGGCGCGCAGGGCGCTGGCTGATCTGCTGCAACAATAGTTGCCCGTCACCCCTTGAAATATTGATGTTCGACATCACTGTCAGACAATAGTAGGCTCGCAAAAAGCTTTGAGAGAAAGTGTTTCTCCAGAGACTATGAGCCCGGGTTTGAAGTCCGCTGCACTGCCAGCGGTTTCAATTTTTAAATATTGCGTAGAATCACGCAAGGACTTGATCCAGAGGGACAGGTACCAACATTGTGATAAACCAGACTGTTGCTGGAATTGGTCCTCTCCCTCCCGCTATGGGAGGTACTTCATGAATGTGCTCGATTTTCCTGAGCGTAAAAACGCAGGCAAAAAAATTTCAATGGTGACGTGTTATGACTATTGGTCAGCACGTATTCTGAATGAAAGCGACATAGACACCCTGTTAGTTGGCGACAGTCTTGCCATGGTGGTGCACGGTTATCCAAGCACGGTCCATGCGACGGTTGACATGATGGCAACGCATACTGCGGCGGTGCGGCGTGGGGCGAAAGATAAATTTATTATTGCCGATATGCCGTTCCTGTCCATGCGTAAAGGTTTGTTGCCAGCCATGGAGGCCGCTTCGGATTTAATGCAGGCCGGCGCAAATTGCCTGAAAATAGAAGGCGCAGCGGGGCATCTCGATATCGTTGCCCACATCGTTGAGTCAGGTATACCCGTTATGGGGCATCTGGGTCTTACGCCTCAATCGGTTGAAGCCTTTGGTGGGCACAAGGTGCAGGGGCGCGATGCACAGGCAGCAGCCGAATTGACCGAGGCGGCGCGGCACCTGCAGCAGGCTGGTGTCTTTGCGCTGGTACTGGAGTGCGTGCCGGCAGAGCTTGCAAGTGCATTGTCCAGTGAGCTTTGTATTCCTACTATTGGCATCGGTGCCGGCGCTGGTACGGATGGACAGGTACTTGTGTTGCAGGACTTGTTAGGCATGGATCCTGGTTTCAAACCAAAATTTCTGCGTCACTATGCGCAGGGTTTTAGTGTTGTGCATGATGCGGTGAATGCCTTCCATGAGGATGTGCGTGCGTGTAGGTTCCCTTGCCTGCAGGAGAGCTACACATGAAAGTTATACGCGACCTCTCGCAATGGCAAAGCTTGCGTAAAGATCTGACCCCCGAAGTAGGTTTTGTGCCAACTATGGGCGCATTACATGAGGGTCATCTCTCTTTGTTACGGCGTAGCGTGGTTGAGAACGCGATTACTGTGTTAAGCATATATGTCAATCCGACACAGTTTAACGATCCAGAAGACCTGCAGAATTATCCGGACACACTTCAACAGGATCTTGCAGCAGCGCAGCAGGCAGGTGTGGATTATGTCCTGATGCCTAATTATGACGAGCTTTACGCCGACGGGTTCAGGTATCAGGTTACAGAGACCCAGTTCAGCGAAAAACTCTGTGGCAGAAATCGACCGGGCCACTTCACTGGCGTGTTAACGGTGGTGATGAAACTTCTCAATATTGTTAGTCCTCAGCGTGCTTACTTCGGTAAAAAGGACTATCAGCAATATCTGCTGGTGCGGGATATGGTGCAGGCATTTTTCATGCCTGTCGATATTATCGGTTGCGATACAGTGCGGGAAATCGATGGGCTGGCCATGAGTTCCCGTAATTTAAACCTGGAAACAAGTGCGCGAAAACAGGCTGCTCGATTTTACGAGATTATCAGTGCGCCGCTGTCCGACGCGGAAGTGCGTTGTCAACTCGATGCTGCAGGTTTTCAGGTTGACTATGTTGAGAGTTGTCATGGACGGCGGTTTGCTGCAATTGTTACACAGGGCAAAAATAGCGGACAAACGGTGCGCTTGATTGATAATGTTGCGATAGCAAGCTAGTTCGCGGTGAACAGATAAAAACAATAGCAGGCGAGGGGAGCAGAAGGTGATATTGGCATTAGATGTTGGCAACAGCCAGATATACTGTGGTGTGTTTGATCAGGAGAAACTGATCACGCAGTTCCGCCATGCATCTACCGGTAGAAGCTCGTCTGATGAAATAGGTGTATTTCTCCGTGGTGCCCTGCGCGAAAATAATGTCTCCCCAGAGCTGATTAAAATTATTGCGATCTCTTCGGTGGTACCGGAATTGAATTACTCGCTGCGGGCATGCGCGCAGAAATATTTCAAAATTGAACCGATGATCATGCGTCCGGGTATCAAAACAGGTTTGAAGATTGCTTATAAAGATCCTAAAGAGGTAGGCAGTGATCGAATTGCGGATGCCATGGGCGCAGTCAAACTGTTTCCCGGCCACAATTTGATAGTGGTCGATTTTGGTACCGCAACGACTGTGTGTGCAGTGACTGCAGATCGAACGTTTTTGGGTGGCAATATCATGCCGGGTGTACGCCTGGCGATGGAAGCACTGGAAAGCAAAACCGCTAAGCTGCCTTCTGTTGAAATCAAACCTGCAAAATCGGCGATTGGAAAAACCACTGTCGACAGTATTCAGAGCGGTCTTTACTGGAGCAATGTAGGTATGGTGCGGGAGCTTGTCAGTCGCATTACGTCGGAAGCGTTCGCTGATGAAGAGCCGCTGGTAGTTGCTACCGGCGGCTTTGCTCATCTGTTTGATCGAGAAAAGCTATTTGATCACGTTGTCCCCGACCTTATTCTGGAAGGTCTTCTGGAAGCTCTTCGGCTCAACGGTTATATGCCCAGGTGAGCCGGCCGGGAATTTTTTTCAGTCCTGCTTAGGCATGCTGTTCTTACCGTATTGAGCCTGAAGCCTGCGCATACCGGACAGCCAGCGATCATAGTCGGTGGTTTTTCTCTGCATATATTGCGCAACTTCAGGATGTGGTAACACGAGGAACCGCTCTTCGCGCAAGGTTTCTACAACCGCATCCACCGCTGCATCTGGTTCTATCATGCCATCTACGCCCGCGACGCCCGGACCGTTTGCTGTCATAGCTGTACGCACTGCCTGTGGGCATAACACCGACACTTTGATGCCATCGTCCCCGTGTGTGATGGATAGCCATTCGGCCAGTGCGACAGCTGCATGTTTGGTGACCGCGTAGGTCACGGATCCTATCTGGCTCAGCAGTCCTGCTGCGGATGCGGTATTGAGCAGGTAACCGCCGCCGCGCGCGATCATCTTCGGAATCAGGTGCTTTGCGGCCCACACGTGGGACATTGTGTTGACCTCCCAGATAGTCTGCCAGACCTCAGTGGGCTCATCGATACCCTGGCCAATGCCGATACCAGCATTGGAGCAAAACAGATCGATAGGGCCAATGTTGTCTTCGACGTGGTCAATCATGTCGATGATGGCCTGTTCGCTGCGAACATCAACGGTCATGGGTGTGCCGCCTATACCCTGTGCAACCTGAGCCGCGCCTTCACCATTGAGGTCTGCTACAACTACATGTTTAGCACCTTCGCGGGCAAATCGCTCACACATCTCGCGTCCAATACCACTGGCACCCCCCGTGACCACAATAATCTTATCCGCAAGTTCCATAGATGCTCTCCAGAGTGTAATCAATCGGAAAACATAGACGTTTTCCGGTATTGAATCTATAGTCCTCTGGAATCCGAACTTATGTTGGGAGTAATGACAGGACCAAAGGTTTTGGTAGTTGACGACGACAGCGCGGTGCGTGCTGTCGCTGGTGAAATGCTCAAGCGTAGCAATTACCAGGTTACCAGCGCCGATAGCGGCCAGGCTGCTTTGGATATCCTGCGGGACGATCATTTTGATCTGATTCTGTTGGATGTCGGTATGCCGGGTATGTCCGGCGTGGAGGCCTACCAGCAAATACGGCAGAGCCTGCCGCAGCAGAAAATCCTGTTTATGACCGGTTATGCAGAAGATGACATCACAGACCTGGCCAACCCCAATACCCACATTCTGCCAAAGCCTTTCTCGCTTAAACTTTTCAACGACACCATCTCCGCAATTATCTGAAGCGTTCTCATGAGCGCGACCTCGAAGCCTGTTTCGTATGGGTGGGCGATTGTCGGCGCCATGCTGTTTGTGCAAACGGTCAGCTCGGGTCTGGGCTTCTACAATATGTCTGTGTATATGGCGGAGTTTGCCGAACTGCTCGCCTTGCCACTGTCGAGATTATCGTTTGCGGTCAGCCTGTTTTTTATTGTTGGCGGCGCTGCCGGTATGTTTGTTGCCTCACTGTTGGATCGATTTGAAGTTCGTTGGATCATGGTTGCTGGGGCTTTGATTTCAGCCGTGGCGTTGGCAGCGGTGGGACAGGCTGAATCACTCTGGCAGATCTACGTGCTGTTTTCGCTGTTTGGCCTGGGCTCAACCGGGGTTTCGCTGGTGGTCGCAACCACCCTGGTGACCCGCTGGTTTCCGGGCCCTAATCGCTCGGTTGCTTTGTCCATTGCCTCCACCGGCCTGTCTCTAGGCGGCGTACTGGTGACGCCAGCAACCGCCTACCTGTTTAATACCTGGGGGGTGCCGCAGACCATGCCCTGGCTTGGTCTTGCGTTTGCGGGACTGATCATTCCGGTAGCATTGTGGGTGGTGCGCATGCCCGACGCCCCAGTGGTTGGCGGGTCCGCTCTGCCGGCTGGCGAGTGGACTTATCGAGCCGCCATCCGGACGCGTTTTTTTATCATGCTGGCCATTGGTTATGTGTTCTGTCTGGGTGCCCAGGTAGGTGGCATTGCACATCTATACAATCGAGTTGATGAACTTGCCGGCTTTCAATCTGCAGCCAGCGCCGTTCAGGCGCTGACACTGTGCAGTATTATGGGCCGCTTCGCGGGGGGCTGGCTGGTGATGCGATTACCAATACGTAGTTTTGCGGTAGTGAATCTGTTTGTGCAGATGACGGGATTGCTCACCATCGGACTGGCGAGCAGTGCAGAGATTGCGCTCCTGGGAGCGGCTGTTTTTGGCGTCAGTGTGGGTAATCTGCTGATGATCCAGCCACTCTGGCTGGCGGAAGCTTTTCCCGGCTCTGTCTACCCACGGGTGTTTGCCCTGGCTAATGCGTGTGCGGTTGCCGGTGTATCCATGGGGCCTTTTGTCCTCGGGCTGGCTTATGATCATGCCAATTACAGTGTCGCTTACAGTGTGGCCATGGCTGTATCGGTGCTGGCGCTTATTTTCATTGTGTTGGCAGGAAAACGCCCGCAGCCTGTGGGGGAACTAGTTTGAATTCAATGTGGTCGAAAAGGTTTTCAATGTCCGTTAAACAGTTTATGCCTAAACTCATATTGTTCTTTTTTGTCGGCTTGTATGCAGTTGTCGGACAGGCGGCACTGCCGTTCAGCATGCCTGGCGAGGGGAAGTTACCCAGCCTTGCTGACATGCTCGAAAACGTTAATCCAGCCGTGGTGAACATTGCGACCTATACAACGGTCTCATCATCCAACCCGTTGCTCGAAGACCCGTTTTTCAGGCGGTTTTTTAATGTGCCGCGAGGGCGCCGCACCCAGAGTGCCGGCTCCGGTGTCATTGTTGACGCGCAACGTGGCTACATTGTGACCAATGACCATGTGGTTGGCAGGGCTGACGAAATATCGGTTGGTCTGGCTGATGGTCGTGTGATGCAGGCTCAGCTGGTGGGTCGAGACAGTCAGGTCGATCTGGCTGTGCTGAAAGTAGACCCCGAAGACCTTGCCGAAATCAGCATTGCGAATAGTGCAGATCTGCGGGTGGGCGACTTTGTTGTGGCTATCGGCAATCCGTTTGGACTCACGCAGACTGTGACCAGCGGCATTGTCAGTGCTCTGGGTCGAAGTGGACTGGGCATAGAAGGTTATGAGGACTTCATTCAAACAGATGCGCCTATTAATCCAGGTAATTCAGGCGGCGCGCTGGTCGATCTGAACGGCCATCTGATCGGCATCAATACAGCTATTCTTGCGCCAACGGGCAGTAATGTAGGTATCGGGTTTGCCATTCCATCCAATATGGTGCGCGCGGTAATGGAGCAGATTATTGAAAACGGAGAGGTAAAGAGAGGCCTCATCGGGGTCATTGTACAGCGGCTGAATGCGGATCTGGCTCAGGCTTTTGGCGTTGATCGTCGCTCTGGTGTGGTTGTGGTAGAGGTTGAACCGGACAGCCCGGCAGACGAAGCCGGCTTGCAGGCTGGCGATATCATCACCCGCGTGGGTGAACGGGTCATCGAAAAAATATCTGATTTTCACAGTCAGGCAGCGGTGATGTTCATTGGTGATGATGTCGCCATTGAACTGATCAGAAACGGCCGTACCCGCAGCGTAGACCTGGAGATCAAAGAAAATACGCAACAGAGTGCCCTGGGCCGGCGTATCGATCCGCGCCTGGCCGGTATAGAACTGGAGAACTTCATGAACCCGGATGAACCCGGCATGAGTTCCGGTGTTTTGACCACAAGCGTTGAGCCGCGGAGCAAAGCGCATGCTTACGGTTTGCGTGCGGGTGATGTCATAGTTGGGGTGAACAGACGAACAGTGCGTGATCTGGCTGAATTCCGCGATGCGGTTCTGCTTGACCCGCGTCAGATCGTGATGCGTGTATATCGGAACGGCAGATTTGGTAATGTTGTGATTCGCTGACAAACGTGTTCAGGCGTTTGTCAGCTTCTCAGGACGGGTTGTCAGTCGAAGATCTAGTCGAACATGATCACGCTGCGTGCAACTTCGCCCGTTTCGAGGGCTGCCAGGCCGTCGTTAACGTCTTCAAGTTTGATGCGCCGCGAAATAAGGTCGTCCAGGTGCAGGCGACCCTGCAGGTAAAGATCCACAAAGCGAGGCATATCGACGCGGAAACGGTTTGATCCCATGTTCGAGCCCTGCATTTTACGCTCCATGAGAAATTCAGGGCCGTGCAGTTCAATATGTACGCCGGGCGGAATCATGCCGATGATTGTGGCGGTGCCACCAAAGCCCAGCATTTTGAAAGCCTGTTCAGCGGTTTGTTTCAGGCCAATGGCTTCGAAGGAATAATGCACGCCTCCGCCGGTCATTTCCCGTACTTCGCCGACAGCGTCGACGTTTTTGGCATTCACCACATCAGTGGCGCCAAACTTGCGCGCAAGTTCAAGTTTGCTGTCGAGCATGTCTATTGCAATGATGCGTGCTGCGCCAGCCAGAGCAGCCCCGTTGATGGCGGATAAGCCAACGCCGCCACAACCAATGACGGCAACGGTTGAGCCCGGCTCGACGGCAGCCGTATGTATCACTGCGCCAACACCTGTGGTCACACCACAGCCGATCAGGGCTGCTCGGTCGAGAGGCATATCGTCCCGTACTTTTACGATGGTGTGTTCGTGCACCAGCATGTATTCCGCGAAGGAGGACAGATTCAGAAATTGAGCAATGTTTTCATCGCCGGAGGCCAGGCGGGAGGGCTGTGTTTCGTCGCGCTGCAGCTCAGGCTCCTGGCATAACGACATATGGCCGGTCAGGCAGGGTTCGCAATGTCCACAGAAGGCTGACAAACAAGTGATGACATGATCGCCTTTTTTCACGTAGGTCACATCTGATCCCACGGCTTCAACCACCCCGGCAGACTCGTGGCCGAGCACCGCGGGCAGAGGATAAGGATAAGATCCGTTCTGGAAATGCAGATCTGAGTGGCAGACGCCTGCGGCGACCGTACGTATCAGCACCTCGCGTGGTGCCGGGTTGCCATACTGAATATCTTCAATTTCCAGTGGCTTGTTGATTTCTCGAAGTACTGCAGCCTTCATTGGCGATCCTCCCCTTCTAACTAAGGATTAATGTAAACTAAAACGCAGTCCATGGTGCCAAAGCGAATGCGGGAATACCACCAGCAATACGCATGCATCGAAGGTCTTTGCAGAACGTATAATCAGATTTTGACGGGCAGCCTGCAGGCTGCTCAAATTAGGGGTAAAACGCTGTGGTGCTCATCGGTTTGGGCAGCAATCAGGGCCAGTCTGTGGCCATCATGCTGGCGGCTATCAAGGCGCTTGAGCAGTACGCCGTGTCGGGTTCCTTTGCCGCGTCTAATCTCTGGCAGACCTCACCGGTCGATTGTCCACCAGGCTCGGCGCCCTTTCTCAATGCAGCAGTGTGCTTTGATGCGCGACCGGATCTAACTCCTGAAGCTTTGCTGGATGAGTTGAAAGCGTTGGAGAAAGCTTACGGTCGGGGGCGGAAAATTATCCGCAATGCACCGCGTGAGCTGGATCTGGATCTGCTGGTTTTTGATGACGAACAAAGGCAGACGGAAAATTTTGTGTTGCCCCACCCGCGCGCAGTAGATCGGCTTTTTGTACTGGCCCCAGTTGCTGAGATTGCACCTGCGCTGATCTGGCCCGGCATGCAGCGTAGTGTCGCTGAACTTCTCAGATCGCTGAATACGGAGGAAGAAGTTGCGCTTTGGACTGATACTGCTCACGGCGCTTAGCGTTGTAACCACGCTGCCGGCATGGGGCTATGAACCCCAGGTTCATCAACAGCTCACTTTTGTTGCCGCGCGAGCGTTTAATAACTGCGCGCAGGAAAGGGAACAGATTCCTCGGCTTTCTGCTTTAGATACCCGTTATATAGTCAGAGCTAATGTTGCTCAGGCTGATGCAAACTTCTTTGTACGGATATTTCGATGGGACTACTACAATCGTGATCAGCAGCAGCCTAAAGCTGCGATGTGGTTGGTTGATACCCGGTTTCACAAGCGATTTGATGAGTTGATGATCAGTGTTGAGCAGCCGCAGGAGCGACAGTTGAAACTGCGCAATCTGGGTCGCCTTTTGACACACATTCAGAATGTCAGTGCGCCTGCCCATGCCGTGCCCGTCTACTCAGGGCGCTGGTGGCGTCTGTCGTTCAGCGATCGTTTCAATCGTTATCCCGTCGATGTGGATGCGCTTGAGCAAACCATTGCAGGTGATTGCGCCCTGTTCGACGCCCCCAATGAGACCTTTCAGCAGATTCTGATCGATACGGCAGACAATACCCTGGCAGCGGTGACTGATGAGATAGACGGTTTGCCGGCGACCTGGCAGGCATTCTGGACGCTTGCAGATAAACCTGGCGATTTTGGTGACTATGGTCCGGCGGGCAACAGCTTTGGCGATCGTACGCAATTTCGTTGTGGGGACGATCAGCGGTGCCTGCTGCTGCAGGACGATCCGCTCTACAGTGACTTTGCGCTACAGCGTCATCGCGCAGCGGTGATGGCTACAATGCGAGCGATGTTGCGGCTGCAGATGGAGCACAATTCTGATGCTCTTTAAGTCCTTCTATAAAGTCTGTTGTGCAGGTTTGTTGGCTCTGCTGTGTCAATCTGCGCCTGCCAGTGAGGTGCGCGTCAGCAATCTTGAACAGTTCATTGACGGCATCATGGCGCAAGCAATTGTGCAGGGTGATACCGTCGGAGCAACCGTGGCGCTGGTCCAGGATGGCCGTCTGCTGGTGTCGCGTGGCTACGGTTATGCCGACTATACGCGCAGCGAGCCGGTGCAGAGCAGGGTGACGCAGTTTCAGATTGGCAGTATCAGCAAGGTCTGGGTCTGGATAGCGGTGCTGCAACTGGTCGAGGCAGGCAGCCTTGATCTCGACCATGATATTAACAGCTACCTGGAAGCCTTTCAGATACCGGACACCATGGGTGATCCGATAACCCTACGACACCTGATGACTCATTCAGCAGGTTTTGAAGATCAGTTGTTTGGATTATTTGTTTCCGGACCCCGTCAGGTTGGCAATCTGGTGGATACCCTCGCGGCTACGATCCCCGAGCGCGTGGCATTACCTGGCAGCCGGGTGGCTTATTCGAACTACGGAGCTGCGCTGGCGGCGCATATTGTTGAGCAGGCTTCCGGTATGGGTTTTTCTGACTATGTGCAGCAGCACATCATGCAGCCGTTGGCTATGTCTACCGCCGGTATTGCGCAGCCTGTGCCAGATGAATTGATGCAAACCCGCTCCAAAGGTTACGTTATCAACGATGGCGAGCCGCAGGAACGAGGCGCCTTGTATATACCGTTAGGTCCTGCGGGCGCAGGTGCGGCCACAAGTCTGGATATGGCGAAATTCATGGTGGAACTGCTCAACCCGCGAGACACGCGGGTACTCAGCAGTGCCTCAAAAGCACAGCTCATCAATGGCGCTTACCTTCACCATCCGCGGGTCAATGGATTAACCCTGGGGATGTTCCAGGCTTCCAGAGGCGATGCCGCCGCCGTGGGACATGATGGCAGCACGCTCATTTTTAACGCCCAGATGGTGCTCTGGCCAGATGCTGATATGGGACTGTTTGTGGCTACAAATACCCTGGGCAGTGACGCTGTCGGGCGTCGCCTGGTGGCTACGGTGTCGAACCATCTGGGGTTTGATGATCGTTCTGATAGCCTCCTGCCGGTTGAGTCTGCGGCTGGTTTGCCTGGTACTTATATTGGTTCCCGGCGTAATTTCAGCAGTGCAAGTAAATTGTTAGGGCTTCTTGATACGGTCACCGTGACGCATGATTCCGAACAGGGTGTTTTGTTGATTGCGCGTGCGCAGGGATCGAAGCGCTACAGAGGATTATCCGACAATGTATTCCAGCAGGTTGCAGGCCCGACTCGAGCTGTATTTAAGACGGGCAGCGGAATGGGCCAGGAGCTTTATTTTTCTGATGTGCCGCCGGTTGCTTATATTCGGGCTGAGGCGATGGAGATGCCGCTTAACAACGCCTTGTTTATCCTGTTATGGCTCACTGTGGCGATGAGTGTACTGATCATATGGCCGGTTTCAGCGTTTACTCACAAGGGTCATGGCAATGTCCAGGGCCAGAAATTTACAACGGTCATAACCTATCTCGCGGTCGCTGTTGCGGTTTTATTTTTTGTTCAGGTTGCTGCCCTGGTGACCACCCCGTTAGAGGTTGTGCTGGAACTTGAGGCCGGGCTGACTCCCTTGCTGTGGCTGCCGATAATAGTGGCCGGCCTCACCCTGATACAGTTTCTGCAGCTTTATCGGGTGCTTGTACGTGGTTTCTGGTGGCTATCCAGGCGCATACATTTTGTCATCGTGCTGTTATTGCAGTCAGCGTTGGTTTTCTGGTTCTGGTATTGGAATCTGCTGCCACGGGCGCTGTTGGATGTGTTCAGCTAAAACAGCACCAGCCGGCACGGCTCTGAAGCCAGGCCTTCCTCTGGATCTGCTTGCGAGCACAGTTTAGGTGCATCTCCCTGACCGACTCTGGCACCTGTTTCGTCAATGATGACAACCTCAGGGGTGTGTCGTGGCGATGGCTGGGTTGTGATCGTTGAGTGCCCTGTTGGGCGGTTGTCGGATACCTCTGTTTTCTCTCGTTTCTCTCGTTCTTCTTCTTCCCCATCTTCGCTGGCCACGATGGGGGGCGCCTCGATTTTGTCAGCCTGCTCAACCAGAGTTTGCTGTTCCGGGTCCGGCACAGTCTGTTCGTCAACCTTTTTTGGCTCGCTTTCCAACAGACTGACTAACGCCACAACGCCAACGCCCAGCAGGGTGAGGGTGAACACGTTCTTCTGGCGTTCTGCCCGTTTGCTTTGCAGAGCTGTACGCTGAGCTGCTCTTGTTTCGCTTCTACTGGACTGATGGTCTGCGGTGTCGCTGTCTCTGATATCCTCGTCGGACAGGGTTCGTCGACCACTGTGCAGGTGCCTGGCAAGGGTTTCTACATGTCGATCTGATGAGCGAGCTGGCCAGCTGTGCAGGGTGACCTGCATGTCCGCTTCAATGGGTTCGGTTTGCTCATCGAGGAACAGCGCAATACGCTCGCAGTCGTCCGGAACGTCCAGCGAGGTGAGCTTTGAGTTGCGTTGTCGGGGCACAATCAGCAGTCGGTTGCTGCAGGTTTCAGGCACAGTCTCATGAATCTGTAACTCAACGTTCAGACTGCGCATGTGGGTTTGTAATAGTTTGAGGCGTGGCAGGTGTTCAGCCTCACACACCACATCGACATTAATCATGACATAAGTTTAGCAACGCATTTTCTATCTGCCTGTGGCTGGTGTTTAATCGCGCAACAGACATGAACGAGCATTTTGATTGAATAATCTGCATCTGGGCCTTACCCCCTGGAACTTCTCCGATTTGAGCGCGGCGAGCTTGTGTGAACAGGCCCAGTTTGCTGAAACTTGTGGGTACGAGTCCATCTGGTTGCCGGAAAATCACTTCGGGGCGAATGCACTGCCCGACCCGCTGACTTTGCTGGCCAGTATAGCGGGCGCAACACGCTCGATACGTTTGGGCACAACCTCTTACCTTTTGACGTTGCGCAATCCTTTGCAGGCTGCTGAGCAGGTGGCCGTACTCGACCAGCTCAGTGGAGGCCGGTTGATTCTTGGCGTGGGGCGCGGCTATGCGCCGGAAATGCTGCGCGCTTTTCATGTACCTGCGAAAGAGAAGCGGCGTATTTTTGCCTGGACGCTGGGTTTGATGAAAGACGCCTGGAGCGGAAAATCAATATCGTTAGATGGCAACATGGAGCACGCTGTTGAAGTGCATCCGCGTCCGTTTCAGCAACCGCATCCACCTTTATGGGTGGCAGCTTTCGGGCCTAAGGCATTGGCCCAGGCGGGCACCTTAGGTTTACCGTATTTGTGTTCGCCTATGGAAAGTATGGCGACACTTGAAAACAATTATGCACAACACCTGCAGGCTGCTGAAGCTGCGGGTGTCGCTCCACCGACAACAATCCCGTTGATGCGAACGGTGTTTGTCAGTGAAGATACCGCGCTTGTGAAGACGTTGAAAACATCTCTGGCAGAGAAAAGTGAAAACGTGCGCTTGCTTGACGGGGAAGGGGTCGACGATTGGACCTTGATAGGCACACCTGAGCAGGTACGGAAAAAGTTGCAGCAGTATCAGGACCGATTGGGGATGACGCATCTGGTCGCCACCCGCCTGCGTATCGGGGGTATCAAGGAAGCAGATCTACGTCAGAGTGTGGCTCTTCTGGCCGATATAGTTGCAGGTAAGGTAACCTTGCGTCCTTAGAGGACGTTTGCGGTTTGTTTAAATTATTTTCCGGGGAGATAGCATGACATTTAATATTCTGTGGCCAGCAATGCGATGGCCGGATAATCGAGAAATCGAAGTGGCCAGCGTAGGTGAGCATACGGCGCATTTCTGCGAGCGTTATGCCGATGTGACGGACGAACAGTGGGCGAGCTGTGATGCGCTTGTCAGTGTTAATGACATTCCAGCAGAGTATCGAGCTAAGCTGACTCGCTGCCGAATTTTTGTAACCCCCAAAGTTGGTTTCGATAACCTTGATACCAAGGCGTGGGCTGAACTGGGCATTCCTGTATGCAATGTGCCTGACTACGGTACCCAGGAAGTTGCCGATCACGCGATGGCGCTGATGTTGTCGCTGATGAAAGGCATCACATTTCATACCCGCGAACTCAAAAAGGATCCGAAAGGTCTGTGGCGGCCAGCCCTCAACCCTTACGGCAAGCGGTTGTCAGTTTGTACATTTGGCGTGGTTGGTCTTGGTCGCATCGGTACTGCAGCTGCGCTGCGTGCCAAAGCTTTTGGCATGGACGTGGTGATGTATGACCCGTTTCGTGAAAATGGCGCAGAGCTGAGCGTTGGCATCCGTCGCGTGCAATCGTTAGAGGAGCTGTTCAGCACCAGTGATGTGGTGAGCCTGCACTTACCGCTTTCCACAGATACAGAAAAACTCATCAACGCCGATGTCCTGTCGCACAGCAAACCTGGTCTGGTTCTGATTAATACCGCGCGCGGACCAATTATTGACCTGGACGGTTTGTATCAGGCGATGCAGGCGAATCACGTTCAAGCGGCGGGCCTGGATGTGTTGCCTGAGGAGCCCGCTAACCCGGATCATCCTTTGATCAAAGCATGGGCTGCGGACGAAGACTGGATCAATCATCGTCTTCTGATTACTCCCCATTCTGCTTTCTTCACACCGGAATCTGTCTACGACATGCGCTTTAAAGGTGGAGAAGTGGCGCTTAACTATCTTGAGCAGAATCGACTTAACAATTGTGTAAACGCGCAATGGTTGAAGCAGCCGCGTTAGGTTGAGCCTATGACACCGGATTACCACAAGCGTCGGCAGCGCGTATTCCTGATTCTCTCTGGAATATTCCTTGGCACCCTGGCGCTGCTGAATGTGCTGGGTATCAGCCGGTTTGTTGACTTGTCATTCAACGTGTTTGGAGTGCAGATCCCTATGGTGGTGGCAGTAGGGGTGCTGCCTTACCCAGTCACGTTCATGTGTACCGACCTTATCTCTGAGCTGTTTGGTGAGAAAAAAGCCCGCGACATGGTCTGGGTGGGGTTGATGCTGAATGTCTGGGTGATTTTTCTATTGTGGCTGGGTGGGGCTCTACCGGGATTTGAGCCTATCGACCCCGCTACAGGCGGCCCGATGCTGGATGAGGCGGGGCGGTTGCCTGTGTTTTATGAAATCCGCGAACTGGCGTTTGGTGCGGTAGCGGCATCCATGCTGGCTTATCTGATTGCTCAGTTTGTTGATGTGCGATTGTTTCACTTCTGGAAGAAACTCACCGCAGGCAAACATCTGTGGTTACGTAATAACGCATCAACCATGGTGAGCCAGATTGTGGATACTACCGCGGTCATATTGATCACGCATTTCTATGCACGTGCGTTACCGGTAAACGATGGCGAACCGATCTGGCCACAGCTGTTTGTATTTATAGCTTCAGGATACGTTTTTAAACTGGTTGTGGCCGCGGCGGATACCGGACCGATCTATCTTGCGGTCAAATATCTGCGCCCTTATCTCGGTCTGAAAGGCACCGAAGAGGCGACCGACGACTAACGTTCCACCTGACCGAGATTGGCGTGTATGACCGCGCCGTTGATGACCGGACTGTTGGCAGCCCACAACAGTGAGTCCGCAATTTCCTCTGGGCGCACCAGACGTTCGTATGCGCTCATGCCGCTGATCATTGCCATCGCATCTGCTGGTACGTGGGCGCGTAACATCTCGGTGTCGGTAAACCCGGGGCAGATGCATGCTGTATGAATGCCACGCCCCGCCAGATCCTGGCAAGTGGCGCGCATCATGCCCACCATCGCGTGTTTGGTTGTAACGTAGCTGAATGAGCCGGGCACCGCCTTTTCTGACAGGGTTGATCCAACGTAGAGAATGCTTGAGCCTGGGCCCATGTGCGGTATCAGAAACTGGTTGAGCGTATTCGGCGCGACCATATTGATTTCAATGATATCGCGGAAGTCCTGACTATTGGTTTCTGTTGTGCTGTCACTGGCGAGGCGGGCCGCATTGTGGATCAACACCAGCTCATCGACATCGACCAGCAGTTTATTCAGTTCAGGTGCCAGCGACTCGAGGAAATTCGGGTTTGCCAGGTCACACGGTAAATGATGAGCAGCTTCAAGTGGGCAGGGACGACGTGAGAGGTTGATAACACTATAGCCTGCGGAGGCAAAAGCTTCTGCCGTTTTCAAACCGATGCCGGCGCTTGCGCCCGTGATCACTAAATATTTCAAATGCCCTGCTCCATTTGTTCTGTATTGTCTAGTTCCTGACGAAACCAGGAGGCTGTTGCCCATTGACCTTCACCGGATGAACATCTTAAAACCAGATGATTGATGTCCAACTCAGCAATGTCCGGTCGATGGCGCAGCTTGTCGAGAAAATACTGCGCCATTTCTTCAACAGTGATGTTCCTGACCGGCAACAGGGTAAGGTCGCGATCCAGAAATGGAATGCGCTCACCATTGAAAATAATGAAGGTGTATTGGTTGTCTTTTTCGATCTCGAGGTAAGGAGATTGCGTCGGCATCAGGACCTGCTCATCCAGTTCATCACACAGCGCTTTGAGGGCCTTCTTAAGAATGTTGTAGTCGAAAGTCAGGCCATCTGCGGCGATTCTGGCGGTAGCATCCAGCGTCACCTGGAAGTTGTGTCCGTGCAGGTTTTCACGATCGGTGGCAGAAAACAGGGTGAAGTGCGCAGCGGCAAAGTGCAGGTACTCTTTGCTTATTTCGATGGTGGTTGTGTCTTGAGGCATAGCTATTTTTCCAGTCGGTAGACAACTGTAACCCAGGCTCCGGCAAGGTGTCGTGAAAGTGGTGGTGAGAAACTTTTTTCCACAGGCTGCTAGAGGTCTTCCTGGATGTGGTCGAGTACAAGACCATAGAAGTAATCTTCACCGCTGGCGCGCGTAAAATACCATCCCAGATGGGCATGACACTGTTCGCAGGCAGCAAGACGCCAGAAATAGCCCATGAACCAGCTGTCTGCCGCTTCCGGCGAGCCAGACAAAGCGCACCCTAGCGCGTTGGAAAAACAGCCCACCTGGTAACTGAATCCGTGTGGATTGGTGAAAAAGTGGCTGTGATTGCCGTTCACTGCAATTTTCATCGCCGCGCTGGTGATCACGTGGGAGCAACTGGCACAATAGATGTATTTCCTGTCAACAGTGTCATCTGCGCTGTCAGCCTCTAAGATCGCCTTCAGATCGGGGTCGAGAGTAGATTGGCTGGGCTCTTTTATTTCGCTCATTTTTTTCAGCTATAACCTGCAGGTACAGACAACGTTGGACTCATACACAAGCATCTTCGAGCGAGCCGCTTCACGCAAGGGTGGTGAAGCGGCTTTTGAGTCCCTGCTCGACGCGACAGTGTCTGAACCTCTGTCAGAAAAACAGCTGCTGCAGGTCTCTGATGCCGATATTTTAAGTGAGATGACCAAATGTGTGTTTCGGTCAGGCTTCGTCTGGAAAATAATTGAGGCAAAGTGGCCGGGATTTGAGCTGGCATTTCATCACTTTGATGTCATGCGGTGTGCGATGTTGTCTGATGAGGAACTCGAAAAGCTGCAACGCAATGTGGAAATTGTCCGCCACGGGCAGAAAATTCGCAGTGTGCCGGTCAACGCACAATTCGTTCTGGCGGTGCGGGCGGAGTATGGCAGCTTTGCGAAATTTCTCGCCGCATGGCCTCAGGATGATGTGGTTGGGTTGTGGGCTGAATTAAGAGCTCGAGGCAGCAGGCTCGGCGGCCAGACCGGGCGATACCTGTTACGTTTTATCGGCTACGACACGCCATTGCTGTCTGCTGACGTTGTTCAGGCGCTGGTTGCTGTCGGGGTTGTCGATAAAGCGCCGACAGGTAAGCGGGCGCTGCAGCAAACCCAGGCAGCCTTTAGTCAGTGGCAGGAAGAAAGTGGCTGCAGTTACAACCGCATTTCGCGCGTGTTAGCCTGTTCGGTGCCTTAGGGGAACCACTTCATGAACGCCAGAACACAATCTCAAATTGAGGGTCTGAAACACGCCGGTGTTGCTGTGCGCGCTGCTTTTGACGCCATGGTCGAGGTTTGCCAGCCGGGTATGACCACGCGTGAGCTGGATAACGTCGGGGCACAGGTGCTGAAACTTCATGGCGCTAAGTCAGCCCCGCAGCTGTATTACGATTTCCCGGGCGCCACCTGTATTTCAATCAATGAGCAGGCTGCGCATGGCATCCCTGGAGATACAACAATTGCTGACGGCGACATGATCAATATCGACGTGTCTGCGAATCTGAATGGGTTTGTAGCAGACATGGGTCAGTCTTTTGTTGTGGGTGATGCCGATCCGGAACAGGCGCGGATTTGTCAGGCGGTTAAAGAGGCGGTAGACAGCGCCATCACGAAAGTGCGTTCTGGTCGCTCGCTCAATGTGATTGGTCGCGCGGTGCAGGCGGTTGCGGATCGCGAGGGGTATACCATTGTGCAGAACCTCGGCAGTCATGGCGTTGGTGCGTCGATTCATGAGGAGCCTTCGTACATACCGTTTGATAATCCGAAAGAAACCAGACAACTGACCAGAGGAATGGTGTTAACCATCGAGCCGTTCTTCAGCACCGGGGTGGTCTGGGTACACGAAGAAGATGATGGTTGGACGCTGTCAGTGCCGCCTGGAGAACTGGTTGCTCAGTTTGAACACACTATTGTTGTGACCGATCGCGATGCGCTGGTGGTGACGGCTTAGCTTTTCGAAAAAGCTGAGCGTACAAAGATTTTTGGCGGCGGGAGGGGAAGCCGATGCGTTTTGAATTAACTGAAGAGCTGAGAAATTTTCAGGCAGAAATAGAAGAATTTCTTGCCAGGGAGCTGCCTGGGGATCTGGCCGAAAAAGTGCGTTGTGGTGCAGGGGTTACGAAAGCGGAACTGGCTGGCTGGACGCGTACGTTGAATGCCAGAGGCTGGGCTGCGCCAAACTGGCCGGTGGCGGATGGGGGTACGGGTTGGAACCTGATGCAGCGTCACATCTTTGATGTGGCATGTCGAGGCGCACATGCCCCGCAGTTATCCGGGTTTGGTTTCAACATGGTCGGGCCGGCGATTGCCAAGTACGGATCCCAGGCGCAAAGAGAATACTTTCTACCTAAAATCCTTAATGCAGATTTATGGTTCTGTCAGGGTTACTCCGAACCCCAGGCGGGCTCGGATCTGGCCAGTTTGAATACCCGTGCAGATCGTGAGGGTGATGAATATGTTGTTAATGGTCAGAAGATCTGGACCTCGGCGGCGGAGGACGCAGACTGGATCTTTGCGCTGGTCCGAACCAATTTCGATGTGCAGCAGCAGAAAGGTATCAGCTTCCTGTTGATGGATATGGATGACCCTGGCGTGACGGTCAAGCCACTCTATGCGTTTAACGGCAAACGTTTGTGGAATCAGGTTTTCTTTGACAACGTTCGTGTGCCTGTCAGTCAGCGCCTGGGTGAAGAGAATCGCGGTTGGACCGTGGCCAAAAGCCTGCTGGGCGATGAGCGTCTGCTGGTTTCAAGGGTTGCTGAAAACAAGCGAATTCTGAGCGTCGTCAAAGAAACGTTGGATCAACAGCTGGCCATGGGCCAGACACTGCCGGAAGCCCTTGCTGGTGAAATCAGCGAACTTGAAATACGTTTGCACGCGCTGGAAATGACCAGTCTCAGAATTCTCACCCAGGCAGATGCTGGTGGGCAGATTGGCGCGGAGCCTTCCATGCTGAAGCTCAAAGGCAGCCAGTTGGTGCAGGATCAGGATGAGTTGTTATTCCGCCTGATTGACTATCTGGCATTACCCACCGATCGCAAAAATGCGCCTCGAGAAGCCATCGGTCCAGATCTTTCTGAATACGTTGCTTCAGGTCGTTATCACCATCGAGGGTATACCATTGCGGGTGGTTCCTCTGAGGTGCAGCACAATATTATTGCTAAGCAGGTGCTGGGTCTATAAACAGTCAGCGGCATCCAATGCTATGTGGATGCACAAACCCAGGCCCACCAACCTCGTTTTTGGATGCGCGAGCATCAGTACATACAAACCGATGGGTAGCCAGGTGTGTAGTGGATGAAAGCCAATGCTGCAGCGCATCGGGTCATAGATAGGGTCAGCTAACAGATGGTCTATATCGATCAACATACCGGACATCATCAACAGATAAGTTTTGCGCCACTGCGGTCGGTAGAAAGCGGTGCTGACAAGTCCCGGCACGAGAAAGTGAAGTGCAATATGTAACATCAGGTTCTCAGCTTCCGGATGGCAGTCAAGTCGATAGCAGGATGCGCGTTGTGTTGAAGCGTTGGTGCTGTTGTCATGCTGGATGTTTGCTCAGGTCTAACCACCACAGCAGAACGTAGGTGATGCCGCACGCACCGGCGCCATAAATCATCAGATCCGAAGACAGGTAGTGAAATTGATATTCGGGATGGTTGCTCAAGGAGAAGTGCAGAGCGGCATGAACTGGCAGAAAGACGCACACCATACGACGAAACGTCAGCCGTATTTTAGGGTTCTGATTGGCACCCAGATACAGAGCAGCAAGAAACACAGGTAAATGCAGCCAGATAAACCACTTTGATGCAACGCCATCGCTCATCTCTGCCAGCACCCAAAGCAGCCGCCACTCGGCATGCAGGGCAGCATCCAGTTCGTGGGTGAACAGCAGGGCAAGCCCAAGATTGAATAAAATGGTGGGGCCGCTCATCTACTGGTAAGTGCGACCTTTGTGTTTCAGCCAGCCGTGCGGGTGCCTGTTGGCGGGATCATGGTGCGTCCAATGCACCACACCACCTTTGTTATTGTATTCATACTCACCGAAGAAGGCGACGGTGTCGCCTCGGCTTAAGTTGGCAATTCGGGGCGCCAGATCGATATTGTGCGCCACTAAAATGGTCTGGTCTAAAGCCGTTTCAAGCAGAAAGCGTTGGTGCCTGCTGCCGTTATTATCATCGGACAGTACTCGCACCACTGTGCCTTCGCCGCTGATCTGCAAGTCACTGATCTGGCGATTAAAAGCGTCGAGAAGCGCTTGTGCGTTAGCCGTTGATGCGCTTTCGGGTGCCGTTAAGTTATGACCAGGTGCGGCAGTATCCAGTTGGTTGTAGCCGAGCAATGCAAGGACTACAGCAACAGCTAAGGTGGTCAGCTTACTTTTACTCATGGTAAATCACGTGTTTTTGCGCATTATTTGGCGGATGCCAACAGTTCTTTTAAATCACTGTCGGGGTCTGCCAGCAGCGCCTGGTCGACGCTTTTGCCAATCAGTTGCTTACACACCATGAATTCTTTGGGGCTGTTGACTGCATCAGCAGCAACGACTTTGCCATCGTCCAGGTAAAACACCGCAAACTGATTTTCCGCCATGTCGCCGCGTACAATCTGGCTGCTGCCGTCGGCAGAGAAACCAACCATCTGTAGTTTCAGTTCGTACTGATCGGACCAGAACCAGGGTATGGCGGCATAGACTTTGTCGCCGCCCAACATGTTTTCAACGGATACCCGTGCCTGTTCCATGGCGTTAGGTACAGACTCAAGCCTCAGTCTGCGGTTCAGCAATGGATTGGGGTGGTTGCTGCAATCCCCTGCTGCGTAAATGTCAGGGTCGGATGTACGGCAGTGATCATCAACCACAATACCGTTGTCCACCTCCAGACCGGCATCCTGTGCAAGTTCTACGTTGGGGATGATACCTATGCCGACAATCACCAGGTCTGCGTCGAATTCGGTGTCGCCGCATAACACCTTGCGCACCTGGCTGTCACCGGAAAATCCTGTGACGCCGGTGTCGGTATGAATATGAACGCCCCGGGAGGTATGTAACTGGTGGTAGTAGGCTGACATTTCCGGCGTTGTAACGCGTTGCAGAATACGCGATTCCATTTCCAGAACATGTACGTTCAGCCCCTGTTCTACGCCTACAGACGCAACTTCCAGGCCGATGTAGCCGCCGCCGACAATCACCAGGCTTTTGCCGGGCGCCATTTCAGCGCGAATGGCGTCAACATCAGCGATGGTACGCAGATAATGAATGCCGGGTAAGTCGGAGCCCTCAATACTGAGCATGCGTGGGCGACTGCCGGTGCTGATGATCAGTTTGTCGTAGGCAAGCGTTTCACCATTGTCGAGACTGACTGTTTTATTGTCGCGATCGATAGCGGTCGCCGTAGTGTTCAGTTTCAGGCTGATGTTTTTGTCTTCGTAAAAGGATGCGGGCCGCAGGTAAACGCGATCGAGGCTCTGTTCACCGGATAAATACTGCTTCGACAGTGGCGGACGCTGGTAGGGCACATGCGGTTCGTCGCCGATGATTGTGATGGGCCCTTCGTATTTTGCCTGTCGTAGACTTGCCGCTGCCTGTCCTGCAGCGTGACCTGCACCAATAATCACCATCCCCGACATAATCCGTCTCCTTAAACGCAATCAATCAAAAGGCCTAGTTTACCCTGTCGTGATAAGCTTTTCGCACTTTCAATTGTCATCGCGGGGGCGGGTTGTGGCTGAATTTTTAACGCTGCATGAGATCATCAGAAAAGCGCGTGAAAACCTTGATCAGGGTGCCTGGGATTACCTGATCGGAGGTGCGGACACGGAAAGCGCTCTGCGGCGCAATCGGGCAGGGGTTGAGTCCTGGCTGTTCAAGCCACGTATTCTGAATGATGTGACAGAGGTGGTCTGTAATACCGAATTGCTGGGTCAGCCGTTGCGCATACCGGTCATCATGCCGCCGATTGGCTCTGTGCAGGCATTTGAAGCTGGTGGCGCTGCCAGTGTGGCAAAAGCGGTGGATGAATTTGGCATCCTGCAGGTGCTCAGCTCGGTGTGTACGCCGGATTTTGAAACACTGGCCGCTCAACATCCCGGGCCGCGTATTTATCAGTTATATCTCACCGGCGATGAAGCCTGGATGGATGACATCATTAATCGCGCCCTGGAAGCTGGCTACACCGGGTTTTGTTTAACCGCCGATACCCAGACTTATTCACGCCGGGAGCGGGATATTCTGAAACGCTATGTGCCTTTGTCCGGACGAATTGCCGGGGGCGGCGTCTTTAAAGCCCAGGCCGCGATGACCTGGGATACCGTTGCCCACATCAAAGAAAAGTTTTCCATTCCCCTGCTGATCAAAGGGGTGGGGGTAGGTGAAGACGCCCGGCGCTGTGTGGAGATGGGGGTTGACGTTGTCTGGGTCAGTAATCACGGTGGCCGTCAGCTGGATCATACGCGTGCCTGCATTGATGCCCTGCCCGAGGTTGTAGAAGCCGTTGAAGGTAAAGTGCCGGTAGTGGTGGATGGTGGTTTCATGCGCGGTGCTGATGTGGTCAAAGCGCTTTGCCTGGGTGCAACTGCCGTTGGTATGGGTCGTTTTGAGGGCCTGGCTCTGGCCGCTGGAGGAGCACCTGCGCTGCTAACTGCGTTGGGGATTCTGGAACATGAAATTAAAACGACCATGGCGCTGGCGGGGGTTAACAGCCTTACTCAATTGAATCCGGACCTGCTCTGTCGAGATGCGCCGTTGGCCACATCACATGTCCTGTCGGCTTTCCCGTTGTTGAGTGAAGGCTACTGAAGAATCAGGGTCGTAGCCGCTACTTCGAGTCGCGCGGCACCGGCATGGGAAAGGGGGTGACTTTGTCACCCTTGCTGTCGACCACTTTTGCGACGCCTTCTTTTTCTACTTCATCGATTCGCACGATGGCGTGCATGGGGATGAATGAGCGCTGTACGCCGTCGAATTCGGTGCGCAGGCGTTCTTCGCTGGGGTCGATCAGCATCTGTGAGCGGGTGCCGAAGGTATAGTCTTCGATCTCCACAAAGCCATAGAGCTCGCTCTGGTAGATGCTGTGTGCATACAGCTCATAAATCTGACCTTGATTGTGGAAAATCACGCGGTAGATGTGTTTTGGCTGATCTCGTTCGCTCATAAAAGGTACTTCTGGGTCTGTAGGCATTAGCGCCAGGGCAGAGATTGGTGCAGTTTGCCAGGTTTCAAGGCCCGGGAGCTAGGGAAACTCGCGATAAATTGTAAGTGTCCTGGTACAACAACCTTCAAGGAAGCCTCAATGAGTGTGGTTCTGTGTGCTGGGTTTACCCTATAATGCGCGCCCTTTTAAACCTCGCCTGTTGCATGTAATGGCCAAAAAACTGTTTGTAAAAACTCACGGCTGTCAGATGAACGAGTACGACTCTGCGCGTATGCATGACGTGCTGCGCGAGCAGGGTGATTACGAGTTGGTTACTGATGAGAACGAGGCGGACGTTATCCTGCTCAACACCTGTTCGATACGGGAAAAAGCACAGGAAAAAGTCTTCCATCAGCTGGGCCGCTGGCAATCGCTGAAAAAAGCCAACCCGGACCTTGTCATTGGTGTTGGCGGCTGTGTGGCGAGCCAGGAAGGGGATGCCATACGTGCTCGAGCGCCTTATGTAGATATGGTGTTTGGTCCGCAGACCATCCACCGCCTGCCACAGATGGTGGATGCTGCGAAAGTACAGAAGCTGCCGGTGGTAGACGTCACGTTCCCGGAAGTGGAAAAGTTTGATCTTCTGCCTGAGCCGAAGATGGATGGCCCCGCAGCATTTTTGTCCATCATGGAAGGCTGCAGTAAATATTGCTCGTTCTGCGTTGTACCTTATACACGCGGCGAAGAAGTCAGTCGATCAGTTGATTCGGTCATGCAGGAAGTTGTTGCTCTGGCCAGGCAGGGTGTTCGCGAAATACACCTGTTAGGGCAGAATGTGAACTCCTATCGGGGGGCAATTGACGATGACTTTGCCGATCTGGCTGAGTTAATACACTACGTCGCGGCAGTAGAGGGTGTCGATCGGATACGCTTTACAACGTCGCACCCACTGGATTTTTCCGACACGCTGATTCAGGCCTATGCTGAAGTGCCGGAGTTGGTTGATCATCTGCATCTACCGGTACAATCTGGCTCTGATCGTATTCTCCAGGCGATGAAACGCGGTCATACGCGTGCCGATTACGTAGAAAAAATTGCTCGACTGCGCGAAGTCAGACCCAATATCAGTTTATCTTCTGACTTTATCATCGGTTTTCCTGGCGAAACCCAGGCCGACTTTGATGACACCATGGCGTTAATAGAAGAGATTGGCTTTGATGTTTCTTTCAGCTTTATTTACAGCGCCAGACCGGGAACGCCTGCTGCGGCACTGCCTGACGAAACGCCTGAGGCGTTGAAAAAGGCCTGGCTGCAGCAGTTGCAGAGCCGTATCCGTGAGCAGGCTGAGGAGATTTCACAGCAGATGGTCGGCACACGGCAGAAGTTGTTGGTTACTGGGGTATCGAAAAAAGATGCCAGCCAGCTGGCTGGTCGAACGGAAAACAACAGAGTTGTAAATTTCACGGGTGACCAGAATCTGGTCGGCGAGTTTGTGGAAGTTGTGGTGACTGAAGCGCTGCCGAATTCTCTTCGTGGCGAACAGGTGAGCTGAAGAGCCAGAAAAACTTCATTTGACAGGGTTTCTTGTCGGTCTATGCTTGGGCCCTGAGTTGATCTGTCGCAAAATACTATGGTGAAAATTGGAAGAAAATAGTTCCGCGGAATCTTCGCAAGAGACACTTGCCGAAGACCAAGCACAAGTTGTCGCCCTCACCCGCAGGGTAGTACTAGAACCTAACGATTCCCAACGCCTGAGCGCGCTGTGTGGACCAGTCGACCAAAATCTCAAACATCTGGAAAAACGTCTTGCGGTCAGCATTCGCAATCGCGGTAACGAGTTTCAGGTCAGTGGACCTGAGCCTCGAGTAGAAGCCGCCGCGGCGCTGCTACATCAGCTGTATAGAGAGACCCACGACCGGGACACCATTGATCCTGATTTTGTGCATCTGTATCTGCAGGAAGCCGGGGTTGAAGCCCTGGTGCAGAACACTCCGGTTACGCAAAGCAAAGCCCATCAGGGTGGTGATGATTCCGCTGAGTTGATCATCCGAACTTTTAAAAAGCCGATTAAACCGCGCGGTGGTAATCAGCAGGCTTATACACGTTTGATACGAGCACACGACATTAATTTCGGGATAGGCCCAGCCGGTACCGGTAAAACATTTCTTGCTGTGGCGTGCGCTGTGGAGGCCCTGGAAGCGCAGCGTGTGTCACGTATTCTTCTGGTCAGGCCGGCAGTGGAAGCTGGTGAGAAGTTAGGGTTTTTACCTGGGGACCTGGCGCAGAAAATCGACCCCTACCTGCGCCCGCTATATGACGCATTGTATGAAATGATGGGTATTGAGCGGGTAACCAAGTTTATTGAGCGGAACATTATTGAGGTCGCACCGCTTGCTTATATGCGCGGGCGAACGCTCAATAACGCTTTTATCATTCTCGATGAAAGTCAGAACACCACAGTGGCGCAGATGAAAATGTTTCTGACGCGCATCGGCTTTGGCTCTACCGCGGTGATTACCGGTGATATTACTCAGATAGACTTGCCTCGGGGCGAGCGCTCCGGGTTGGTAAATGTGCGTAATGTGCTGCGCAATATAGACGGTATCAGCTTTACTCATTTTAGCTCTAAAGACGTGGTTCGGCATCCTCTGGTGCAACGTATTGTTGATGCTTATGCTGCTGCCGAAAGTCGTGCTGATGCGGATAACGGTCGAGATGCCAATCGTTCTGCAAGTTGATGCCGCTACAACTGTTTCTTTCGAAACGCTCGAATCCCGTATCCATACTTGCCAGCAAGCCTTAAAAGAATTGTTGGTCGATGATCGTCTCGGGTTCGATTTGTGTGTGCGTATATGTGAAGAGGCTGAGTCGGCACAGCTCAATGAAGATTTTCGCAATAAACCCTACGCAACAAACGTTTTAAGTTTTCCAGCAGATGTTGATTTGCCGGAGGGTGCACCTGTGCTGGGGGATCTTGCGTTGTGCTGGCCGGTGTTGCAGCGCGAAGCGCTGGCGCAGAATAAAACAGAACTTAATCATTTCAGTCATCTGTTTGTGCACGGTGTTCTACATCTGCTTGGGTTTGACCATGTCACTGATGACGAGGCTCAGGAAATGGAGGCGATCGAGATTCAGGTACTGCAGAGGCTCGCGATAGCAAATCCTTATATCCATTGCGACTAGACCCTGGCTTTGTGGTATATATGCGTTCAAGGACACTGACCCGTTGCTAAATGAGCGATAATACTGAGCGTGGTGAGGCATATACAGAAGATGCCAGCCCTGATGACTCAGGTCGAAACGACACTCCCCGCAGGGGTGTGCGCGAATGGCTGACCGACCTTTTTTCGGATGAGCCTGAAGACCTGTCTGAGTTAATGGAAATTCTGCGCGAAGCAGCAAATCGACAAATGTTCGACGACGAAGCGTTGAACATTATATTTGGAGCATTGCATGTGGGCGATATGCATGCCCGCGATATCATGATTCCGAGATCCTCTCTGGTTGTTGTGCGTGAAGATCAGGAGCCTGCTGAGCTGCTGCCAATCATTATCGAATCCGAACACTCCCGTTACCCGGTGGTGGGTGATGATGTCGATGATATTAAAGGCATTCTGCACGCTAAAGATCTGTTGCCACTGGTGCTGGAAACCGACCACAGTAAATTTTCCATGAAAGACTGCATTCGCAAAGCTACGGTGATCCCCGAGAGCAAGCGACTGAATGTGCTCCTGCAGGAATTTCGCGCAACGCGGAATCATATGGCGCTGGTGGTGGACGAATACGGTCAGATCTCCGGGGCTGTTACCATCGAAGATGTGCTTGAGCAGATTGTTGGTGACATCGAAGACGAACACGATGTACATGACGACAGCGGTATCAAACAGATGGAACCGCAGAGCTTCCACGTGAAAGCCAACCTCCCCATCGACGATTTTAACGAGCACTTCGACACGCAATTCAGTGATGAAGAGTTCGACACCATTGGTGGCATCGTGCTGCAGGCGTTTGGTCACCTGCCGGAACGGGGTGAGACGGTTGAAGTTGAGACACTCAAGTTTGAAGTGCTGAATGCAGACTCGCGTCGCTTGCGCCTGTTGCGGGTGAACACCCTCAAATGATCTATCTGATGGCGCTTGCTCTGGGCGCCATTTACAGCCTGGGTTTTGCGCCTTTCGATTTCTGGCCCCTTACGATGGTGGCGATTGGCGGCCTCTACTGTCTGTTACAACTTCCTGTTTCGCAACGCAGTCCCCGACAGGCCGGTCTGGTGGCCTGGCTGTTTGGACTTGGCCAGTATGGCGTTGGGGCTTCCTGGGTGTACGTCAGTATTCATGTTTATGGAAATGCGCCACCACCGCTGGCCTTGTTTATGGTGGCGCTTTTTGTAGCGGTACTTGCCTTGCTGTTTGTATGGCCATTGGGGTGGTGTTTCAGTCGACTGCGCACGCCACGCGGGTCCTGGTTCAGTGTATTTGCCTTTGTTGCGCTGTGGCTGCTGTTAGATTGGATGTCCACCTGGCTGTTCACAGGCTTTCCCTGGCTGCTGCCGGGCTACGCCGGTCTGGACACCCCCATCCAGAGCCTCGCACCGCTGTTTGGCGTGTTGGGAACAGGCTTGTTCATGTGTCTCAGTGCTGCAGCGTTGGCGGCGATGGCGGTAAATCGTCGATTTCAGCTCAGCTTTTTTGGTCTTGCGCTGCTGCCCTGGCTGGTCGGGTTTGTCCTGGCGCCGGTTAACTGGGTAACGCCTGAAGCTCAATATTCCGCGGCTCTGGTGCAGGGCAATATCGACCAGGCGGTGAAATGGCAGCCTGATCAGGCAGTACCGAATGTGCGCAAACATCTCGAGTTATCTGCCGACCATTGGGATGCTGATATTCTGGTCTGGCCGGAAGCCGCGATTACGCTTTATCCCCAGCAGGCTCAGGGTCTGCTCGAAGACCTGGCCCGACAGGGACAGGCAACACAAACGGATATGGTTGCCGGCATTCCCGGCGTTGAGATGGTGGGTGAGGGGCAGTATGAATTTCAGAACCTGGCTATTGGCCTGGGTCGTGCCCGAGGCCGGTTTGCAAAGCAGCATCTGGTGCCATTTGGGGAATATGTACCGTTGGAGGGGCTGTTACGGGGCTTGATTACTTTTTTTGATCTGCCAATGTCGCGATCATCCCCGGGACGGGCGGATCAGCCGAATCTGCAGCTTTCTTTTGGATCTGCGGCAATGGCGATCTGTTACGAAATTGCTTATCCGGCAAGTATGCGTCAGCGTGCCAGGGATGCCGCGGTGTTAATTACCATCTCTAATGACACCTGGTTTGGTGCCAGCATCGGACCCCTGCAGCATATGCAGATTGCGCGGATGCGTGCGTTGGAGAATGGCCGTTGGCTGTTGCGTGCCACGAACAATGGCGTGACCGCAATTGTTGCACCTGACGGTACTATACAGGGGCGCTTACCTCAGTTTGAAGCAGGTGTGCTGCGTGGTTCCATCCATGTCATGAACGGCGAAACCCCATTTAAAGTGATGGGGCACTGGCCTGCGCTGGCCTATGTGTTTGGAGTATTGTCATTCGCATTGTTGCGCCGCTGGAGAAAATCCGCAAGCACAACAACTTCGCCGCCGTTGGCAGGGTCGTGATCGTAAGCGGCGCAACAGCAGGCAAGAAAACGCTCGGCGCCTAAATCTTCGGGTTGGCGTTCTTCGAATTCAAGCACCATTTCCACACAGTCACACATACGCAGTAAATCATCGCGGGCGTAGGCGAAACGCAACAGGGCCGCCATCAGCGCAGGGCTCATCAACAAAGGTATGCCCCGGTTGGCCATTTCAAATGGCAGCTCCATGACCCAGTCGCAGGCGATGGTGAGTTTGTTCTGATTTAGATTTTCCATGGCGCTAAGTTAGCGCTGTGGTGGTGAATCGTTTGTGAATGGTAGTCCCGTTCAGCAAGCTGTTATCTATGCTGTGGCCACAGCCTGCATGAATGCAGACAACTTCTTGTTATCGAGCTGGTGGTTGGTGCGCACACCCGAGCAAAGATCCAGCCCAAAGGGTTTAACCTGGCTGATCGCGCGACTGACATTGTCTGACGCCAACCCACCTGCCAGGAAAACCGGTTTCTCTGTGGCCGCAATACAGGCGGCGCTGATGGCCCAGTCGTGTGTTCTGCCGGTACCACCCAGTTCAGTGACCGCGGCATTAGGGCGTCCGCTATCGAGCAGGAACGCGTGTACATAAGGCTCGTACTGCCGTATCAGCTCTATAGCGCCTGCGTCTTCGACATGAATCACCTGTACCCGGCGAATATGGGGGAGCGCTTTGATGATTATGGGGTATTCCATGGCATCAATATGGCTGACAATCTGTAGCGTGTTGGTGCCACAATATCTGGCGTGATCGACGATACCATCAGCCTCTGTGCGGGATGTGAGCAGAAATGTTGCCAGCGGCGGTGGTGCAAATGCGGCAATCTGCGCAATGGTGTCATCGTCAATCGGTCCGGGACCAGATGGCATTTCAGCGACAAGGCCCAGAGCATCAGCGCCGGCAGCAATGGCCATGTTCGCTTCCTCGATAGATGCAATGCAGCATATCTTTACGCGTGTTCGGTGCATGGTTGTTCCCGGTGATGGTATCCTTCTCGCCCTCTCAATTTAGCAGGTTTTCGCAACGCCCATGAACGCTGTGTACGACCCCCATAAAGTCGAAGCCGACGCACAACAATTCTGGCACGACAACGCGTCTTTCCGTGCCACTGAATCCGCCGATGGCGAAAAGTTCTACTGTCTGGCGATGTTTCCTTATCCCAGCGGTCGCCTGCATATGGGGCATGTGCGCTGTTACACCCTGGGTGACGTCATCAATCGCTATCACCGCCTTAAAGGCTTCAATGTGATGCAACCCATGGGTTGGGACGCCTTTGGCCTCCCGGCTGAGAATGCGGCGATCAAAAACGATATTCCCCCTGCGGTCTGGACCAAGGACAACATTGCTTACATGCGCGGCCAGATGCAGCGGCTGGGTTTCGGTATCGATTGGTCGAGGGAATTTGCCACCTGTGATCCAGAGTATTATCACTGGGAGCAGTGGCTGTTTGTGCGCCTGTATGAAAAGGGCCTGGTGTACAGAAAGAATTCAGTGGTCAACTGGGATCCGGTTGATCAGACCGTGCTGGCAAATGAACAGGTTGTTGATGGCCGCGGATGGCGATCGGGCGCTGTGGTAGAGCGGCGTGAAATGGCCCAGTGGTTCCTGAAAATTACAGCCTATGCCGAAGAGCTCTTGACCGAGCTTGATGAGATGGATGGCTGGCCGGAATCTGTAAAAAGCATGCAGCGTAACTGGATTGGTCAGAGCCAGGGCGTGGAGATCGACTTCGAAGTGCAGGGTGCAGGCGAAACCTTAACGGTTTTTACGACCCGACCAGACACATTGCTGGGTGCCACCTATGTTGCCGTGGCGGCAGAACATCCGCTGGCGCAAACTGCTGCTGCGCAGGACCCTGGTGTTGCCGACTTTGTCGCCCAGTGTAAACAGGCCACAACTGCAGAAGCGGACATGGCCACCATGGAAAAAGCAGGTGTGGCTACCCATCTCAAAGTTGTGCATCCGCTGACCGGTGATCTCCTGCCGGTCTGGGTGGCTAACTTTGTCTTAATGGAATACGGCTCGGGTGCGGTGATGTCGGTGCCTGGCCACGATCAACGCGACTGGGAATTTGCCAGAAAATACGATATTCCAATCGTGCAGGTCATCGAGCCGACGGGTGATGAAGCCTGTGATTTACAGGTAGAAGCCTTCACTGAGCATGGGCGTCTGGTTAATTCCGGTGAGTTCGATGGTTTGCTGTTCGACGCCGCTTTTGATGCGATCGCCGATGCACTGGCAAAGCAGGAGACAGGTCGTCGGGTAACCAATTATCGTCTGCGCGACTGGGGCGTTTCGAGACAGCGTTACTGGGGCTGTCCAATCCCGATGATTCACTGTGGTGATTGCGGTGTTGTACCTGTGCCGGAAGCAGACCTGCCGGTTGTTCTGCCAACAGACGTTAAGTTTGAAGGCGTCAGCTCACCGTTGCAGAAAATGCAGAGTTTTCTGGATGTTAATTGCCCCAAGTGTGGTGCTGCTGCACGACGTGAAACTGATACGTTTGATACGTTTATGGAGTCGTCCTGGTATTACGCCCGTTTTGCCAGCCCTGATGCCAACACGCCCATGGTGGACGAGCGGGTGAACTACTGGGCACCGGTCGATCATTACGTGGGTGGCATTGAACATGCGATTCTGCATCTTTTGTATGCACGGTTCTTTTATAAGCTCATGCGCGATGAAGGCCTGGTCGACTCCAACGAGCCGTTCAAGCGGCTGTTGATGTTGGGTATGGTCCTGCAGAATGGCAAAAAGATGTCTAAGTCTGCAGGAGACGCGGGTGATCCACAGAAGCTGCTGGATAAGTACGGGGCAGATACCGTGCGCACGGCAATGATGTTTGCTGCACCGCCGGATCAGTCTTTTGAGTGGAGTGAAGCGGGTCTTGAGGGTGCGGCCAGGTTCATAAAAAAATTGTACGCGCTGGTTGAGGATCATCAGGCGAGTGGAGTGGTGGCGGCATTAGATGTTGCGCAGCTGAGCGATGCCGCAAAAGACCTGCGGCGCAAAACTTTTGAAACCCTGATGCGTGCAGACGACGATTACGGGCGGCGGTTGCAATTCAACACCGTAGTTTCGTCGGTTATGGAGTTGTGTAACGCGATCGGTAAATTCGAGACGACAAACGCCGCAGATCGAGCGGTGGTGGATGAAGCGCTGAAACATGCTGTGTTGATCATTTCTCCTATCGCCCCTCATGTGGCGCATCATCTCTGGCATCAGATGGGTGAGACCGGCGCTCTGGTTGCGGCAAGCTGGCCGTCGGTAGATGAGCAGGCCCTGACGCAGTCCACGGTAGAAATTGTGGTGCAGGTTAACGGCAAAGTCAGAGGTAAAATTGATGTTGCGGCGGATGCTGATAAAGATGATGTGCTCAGTCTTGCGAAAAGTGCAGACAATGTCGCCCGACACCTGGAAGACAAAACCATCCGTAAAGAAATTGTTGTCCCTAACAAATTAGTCAACATAGTAGTGAGCTGAGCTATGCTAATGAGAGCCTTGTTGATAAGTGTCACGCTGATCCTGGCGAGCTGCGGATTCCAGCTGCGCTCGTACAATTTCAGCGGGGCGGTCGACAGTTACGCGCTGGTTGGCAAAACCCAGCTTGGCGTTGCGCAACCCCTGCGGACGGGGTTGCGGCAGGCGGGTTTGCAGGAAGTAGAAGCTGATCAGGCGGAGCTCATTGTCGAGTTGCTTGATCAACGCCGTGACCGACGTAGCGTGTCTACTGCAGGACGCGCCCGTGCTGCTGAGTATGAGAGCAGTTACGCTGTGCTGTATCGGTTGCTCGATGGGCAAGGCCAGGAACTTGCACCAGCCAACTGGGTCGAACGCCAGCGTGTCTTCCGCGTCGATTCGGACAATATTGTTGGTAGTAGCGAAGAACAGGCTCTGCTGGAGCGAGAGTTGATGTCTGACGTCGTTGGTCAGATTATCCGCGCCATGGATGCGGTCAGTCGCCCGGCGAGCAATGCAGGTTAAAGCAGAACAGCTTGCCAAACAGGTCGCCGGTCAACTGGCGCCGATCTATCTGATCTCCGGAGAGGAACAGCTGCTGGTTGATGAAGCCTGCGACCTGATTGTTGCAGCTGCGCGCCAAGGCGGATTTACCGAGCGCTCGGTGCATCACGTTGAGCAGGGTTTTCGCTGGCATGATCTTCACCATGATGCTGCAAGCATGTCGCTGTTTGCGGAGAAAAAAATCCTTGATGTACGTGTACCGCCGAAGAAACTCGATAAAGAGGCCTCGAAAGCGCTGCGGGACTGGGTAGAAGATTTAGGTAAGACTGCGGATCTTGACCACATATTGTTGATGAGGACTGGCCGCCTGGATAAGAACCAGCGTACCAGCGCGTGGTTCAAGGCTCTGGACAAGGTCGGTGTGGTTACAGTCATCTGGCCGTTAGAGCCTGATCGTCTGCCCGCCTGGCTCGGGCAGCGTGCGCGTCAACTGAATTTGCAGATAGACAATGATGCAACCCAATATCTTGCTGATCGTGTTGAGGGGAATTTACTGGCCGCGGCACAGGAGCTGGAAAAGCTCGCTATCCTCGATTTGCCCTCGCCATTAACCCTTGAATCAGTGGTTGCCTGTCTTGAAGATGCATCACGCTACACCAGTTTTGATCTGATGGATGCAATGATGTCTGCGCAGCCGGCTCGCGTGGTCAAGATTCTATCGGGGTTGCGTGAGGAGGGTACCGCGCTGTTTGGAATTCTTGGTGCGTTTACTGCGCAGATGCGCCGCCTTTCTAATACCAGAGGTCTGCCTCCCGCCAAAGCACGTCTTGCCCAGCAGTTTCTCGCGCGCATACGCGACCCTGGAATGGTGTTGGCGGAGTGTGCAATCATCGATCAGCAGGGCAAAGGGCAGTTGCCCGGCGACGCATGGATGTCGTTAGAGAATCTTATTCTGCGACTGGCAGGCTTGAAATCGATGCCGCTCCCCAGTCAGGACCAGCGGAAGCTGGGCTAGCACTTTCCGGTTAAACGATGCTGCCAGTCAGAAAACTGTGATCTAGATCGCTGTTTGCTGGCCATTGGTGCTCGCTGGTATCAGAAGGGCTTCCGGTGGCAGTTGACGATATGCCAGGGAGGTCCGATGATGGGGAGAGTGTTTCGGTAGCCATCAACGGCTGCTTAGCGAATTTGCCGTAACCTGTTCATGATGAGTCTGGCCAACGGTATTGGAGAAAAACAGTGTTTAACAGAATGAGTTTGCAGGCGGTTGTGATAACTGCCGTGTTAGCAGGTACGTTTCTGCCTACCGCGCTGGTGTCGTCCGTATGGGCAGCCACCACCGAGTCGGTAAAGGCCACCAGCTGGGTTGGCAGAGTTGTCGTGACTGCAAACGGTGAGCTGTTGGGCCGGGTGGAAGACCTGGCTGTTGACGTCGAGCAGCAGCGGGTAAAATTTGTTGTGGTCTCAATTGGTAGTTTTCTGATTGATGAGAATCTTATTGCGGTAGACCCAAAAGCGCTTGGCGAATCAGAGGATGGACGCTATCTGGTGGTCTATGCTGACAATCTCGATCGCGCGCGTCGCTTCGGTACGGATACCTGGCCTGACAGCGCGGATGTGTTGCCTTCGGCAAGCCGTCAGCCGCCGCCGGCAGAAGTTGCAGCAGCAGATGAGAGCAACGCGCCGGCCGGCACCGGTCCACAGGCAACCATCAGTGATGGGCGTCGCACCGCCACGCTGAAAGCGGGCGAGAGAAATGCATCTATTGAACAGACCGGCCGACAGGCTGAGAGTGCCAAGAGCGATGTTGTTCAACCGAAGAAATATGCCCGGGGCAACGCGGATGCCCCCCTCCTGGCAGACAGTGAGTTCGAGCGGCTGGACGAAAATAACGACGGCTATCTCAGCCGTGGTGAAATCGGCATTCGCCTGAACGAAGGTATCCGCTATCAGGATTATGACCTTGATGATAATGACGGCATTGATCCGTTCGAATTCCAGCTACTGAAAAACCGCAGCTGAAGCGGAGCCAGACCGGGCAACTTACGGGAGCATTAGATTTGTTGAGATTACACTTTGCACCGAATTCACGCGCAGGTCGCATCTTATGGCTGCTCGAAGAATTGGACCTACCCTACGAATTGAACCGTATGGATTTCCATCCCAAAGACCTCAAGTCAGACGAACACAGGGCTCGACATCCGCTGGGTCGGGTGCCGGTGCTTGATGACGATGATGTCAGTATTTACGAATCCGGAGCGATTGTGGAATACGTGCTGGAGAGGCACAAAAATGGCGGTCTGAAGCCGCCGGTAGATTCACCGGATTTCCCAGCTTACCTGCAGTGGTTCCATTACTGCGAAGGCATGGTCATGCCGCCGGTCAATACCATTGTGGTTCAGACCGTTTTGCTGCCACCTGAGCGTCGTGATGAAAAGGCGTTGGAGCAAGCCAAGCGGCTGCTTACCAAGTCGTTGGTTGCTGTGGAAGAAGCCCTCGCGGGCAAAGATTATCTGATTGGTGATTTTTCAGCTGCGGACATTATGTTGGGGCATGCGTGTTTCATGAGTAACCGACTGGGCTGCGTGCCGGACGAGATGGTAAACCTGAAAGCTTATGTCGAGCGTATCGCCGCGCGGCCCGCGTTTCAAAAAGCGATCAACAGCTAAACGCTTAGGAATCGGCGTTGGCAACGTCCACCAGAAGTCCGGTAATCGCCCGCGGTAATTGAGTGGCTACAATTGGGGCGCCGCTGCTCAATTCGTCGCTGCGGATCAGAATGCGATAGCCGTCAGCCTCACTTTCAAGTTCTCCCACGCGCTGAATTGTGTGCCCGACCAGGCGATTGTCAACCACGCTATAGATACGATTGTTGTCGTAAATTGACTGTACAGGCACTGCAATGACATCAGTCTGTGCGGGCAGCTCCACGGTGAGATTGAAGACCCGCCCCAGTAAGGTTTTGCTGGCTTCTGCTTGCGTGAAAGTGAAAAACGCATCCATGCCAGTCTGACCCTTGCTCACCTTGGCAGCCAGGCGGGTGAGGATTAAACGATGTCCAGCTTCAGTGGTGGCAAAAACCGTATTCTGCAGGCTTGGTGTGGAGAATTCTCCGGCATAATTTTCTGGAACCTGTACACGTACTTCAAAAGTCTGGCTATCAGCCATTTCGATCAATGGCATGCTGAGGTTGCTGTGATCTCCGGTGGCGGCCAGCACGGCCAGCACCGGTCCATCAAATGGAGCGCGTATCTGTGTTTTTTCCAGGTCCAGATTCGCTTTTGCAAGCAGGGCGCTGGCCTTGGCTACGCGAGCTTCATGTGCCGCTATTTCATTGGGAAGATTAGCCAGCTGTTGCTGGTGGGCGCGGTAGTCGATGGCAGCCTGGTCTGCCTGTGCCCTGACTTCGTCTAACAGACCTTTTGCGATGAGGCGTTTTGTCATCAGGTCCTGGTGGCGAGCAAGCTTAGCGTTGGCTACGTCCAGTTTGGAGGCGAAGTGTTCTCTGTTCATTTGTTCCAGGTCGAACTGGTTACGCATACTGGCTAAGCTGGCTTTGTGCTGAGCAAGCTCGGCTTCTCGCTCAAGTACCAGCAGCTTGCTTTCGCGGTCATCAAGTTGGACCAGAAGGTCGCCTTGTTTAACCCAGTCGCCTTCCTGTACGGCAACTCGCTGAATGCGCGCAGTTAAGTCTGAGCGTAAGTGCGCAATACGATTCGACTCCAGACGTCCAAATGCTGAAAAGCTTGGCTTAAGCGTTTGCGGTTCCGCAGATGTTATAGACACCGGCCAGGCTTTCTCTACTGGCGTAGCAGGCTCTGCGTTTGGCCCGGTGGCAAATATCGACACACTGGTCAGTGCAGCGCCCACCAGGATGCCAAGTGCGATAAATAGCTGCTTTTGTCTAGGCGTGCGGGGTAGGAAGTTCAGGCGTATTGGCGATTTCATGTTTTTTTCCAGACAGTGTTTGGACAGTAGTGGTAAGGCGTGTGCTTGCCTGTTCGAGAAGTAGAATAAGAGCGGGTACAACAATCAGCACTAACAGTGTCGCCAGGCTCAAGCCAAAACAGATGGTGATGGCGATAGGGGCAAAGTACATCGACAGGGTTGAGCTTTCGAACATCAGCGGCAGTAGCCCGGCGATGGTGGTGAGAGAGGTCAGGATGACCGCGCGAAAGCGTGATTGCACCGCCATACGCAAGGCTTCGACAAGCGAAGTGCCGTCATCGATGTGGCGGCGCAAAAAGCTGATCAATACAATCGAGTCGTTTACAACAATTCCGGTCAGGGAGAAAAAGGCCAGCAGTGACATGGCGCCGATATCCCAGCCGGTCACCCAATGTCCGAGGACGGCGCCGGTAAGCCCGAAAGGAATGGCGGCCATGATTGCCAGAGGCCACAAATAAGAAGAAAAAACCCAGACCAGAATCAGGTAGATAAGCCCCAGCGTCAGCAGGGCGCCCAGGGCCATGGTCTCGAGCATTATTTTGTCCTGTTCCGTCTGGCCGCCCAAGCCAAATGTCAGGCCGTGGCGGTCAAGGAGTTCCTGCAGACGATTTTCTTCAATGTCGCTGACAATAGACATGGCATTATTCACGGCTTCGTTTACGTCGGCAGAAACAGCAACGGCCTGTTGGGCGTCGGAGTGTCGAATGACATCGATGCCGCGTCGGTTGTAGAGGACCGCAACGTTAGCAAGCGGCACATACGCTCCGTCGTCCGTGCGTATGGGGAATTTCTGTAATGATCCGAGGCTTTCGCGCTCGTGATCAGGCAGCATGACGCGCACCTCAAGTTCATTGTCGAGTTCGTTGAATATCTGCACGCGCTCGCCAGAGTAGGCCGCGCGAAGCTGGCTGCCAATGCGCTCGGCGGTCAAGCCCAGGGCTCGACCACTGGGGGTCATTTCAAAAATGATCTGGTCTTTGCCGTAGGGAAGGTTGTCCGTGACATTGGACACCCCGGGGTAACTCGACAACATCGTCGAAAGATCTTCTGCACCCTGCTTGAGTTTTTCTGTGTCGTTGCCGCGAAGAATCAGGGTTATATCCGGCTGCCCGTTATTAGCACCGCCGTCAACGGCGATAGTCAATTGCTCAACGAAGGGTGGTTTAGTGACCAGGCTTGTCCACAAGTCGACAAAATCTGCCGGGCTTGTATTGCGCTGTTCCTCAAAGGCGTACTGTACATTTACGGATGCATATTGCTCACCCTGCAGGCGGTCGTTGTTGAACCAGGCACGATTGTAGCGGGCGGTCCAGCCCAGGACATTCTGTTCGCCGGTTTGTTTGTTCGCCTCAACGAGGGTGTTTTCCAGATGTTCTACGAACTCGAGTTTCTGTTCGTCAGTGGCTGAGCCGGCATATTCCACGTTGGCGTAGGCGGATTCAAAGTCGAAGCCAGTGACCAGATTGAAACCCACGTGCTGGGATGCCACCAGCGAGATGGCCACTAATACGCCACCGAATGCCGCGCACAGGGTGGTAGTGGGGTGGCGCAGCGCTTTGTCCACTAAAGGCATGAATCTGTTGTCTCTGAAATGCGCAAATCCTGCCTCAAATCTGATTCGCCAAGCGGGCTTTTCCTGCACGCTCACCCTGGCCAGGGAGTGTCGCAGATGTCCGGGTAAGACCAGAAAACATTCAATCAGTGAAGCGACGATCACACACAACAGTACGGTTGGCAGTGCAAGCACCATATCGCCCATCATGCCGCCCATGATCAGTAAGGGGATAAATGCTGCCATAGTGGTTAAAGAAGAGGTCATGACGGGTAGAAACATGCGTTGCGCGCCAGCAACGGAGGCGTCGGCGGCTGACATCCCCTGTTCGTGATAACTGACAATATCCTCTCCGACAACAATGGCATCGTCGACCACAATACCCAGTGCCATAATGAAGCCGATCAGCGCAACAATAGATATGCCGTAGCCAAATAAGGCATAGAACATCGCCAGCCCCAGCATGAAGCTGACAGGTATGCCCACGGTCACCCAGAAACCGGCACGTGCGTTAAGAAAAAGAAACAGCACAGCAACCACCAGCAGCAAACCTGACATCCCGTTTTGCGCAATCATTTTGAGCTGGGTGCCGAGCAGGGCCCAGACGTTGTTGATTTCTTTTACTTCAACCCCGGCAGGCAGTGTCTGGCGAATATCTTCCATCCACGACTTAACAAGTTTGTCGGCCGCGTATGCATCAGAGCTGGTATCGCGCCACAACATCATTTCAATAGCTACTCTGCCTTCGCTGGTCACGCGCGGCTGTCCCTCCTGGGGGCGGCGTACAACGCTGGCAAAGTCTTTTAAACGTAACAGCTGCCCTTCAGATTCAAGTTGCAGCTGTTCAAACGCCAGTGGATCTCTGCGTTGATCCAGGCTGCGTAACTGGTGTGAGCCCTGACCACGTCCAACGGCGCCGGCGGGGACGTCCTGGCTGACCCGTCCTACTTCCGCAGCGACATCCTGCAGGGTAAAGCCCAGCTCCTGCAGACGTGAGCCACTGACTAATATGGCAATTTCTTCGGTAGGCAGGCCGTCATACTGAATACCTTCGATACCTCGACGTAGAAGGTCTTTTTCAAAACTGCGCACGAGTGGAATCAGTTCTGCAAGGGTGCCGTCGCTGGTGACCAGCAATGTTGAAACCGGTTCGGTATCAATTAAACGGGCAATTTGAGGAGGTTCAATATCACGTGGAAAGTTGCGGATGTTGGCAACACGTTGTTTGACCGCATCCAGGGCCAGAGTCATATCTGCGTCATAGTTAAATAACGCCTGGATGTAGGTGTACCCGTTAACGGTGCGAGATGCGAGTTTGTGAAGATCTTTAACCGTTCGCAGCTGCTGCTCAATGGGCGTGGTAATCAGCGCTTCAATGTCTTCTGCGGCAGCACCGACCCAGGTCACCTGCACGGATACGAGTGGAAAATTTGCCGGTGGATCCAGCATGGTGGGCATGCTGCGTGCAGCCCAAACGCCTGCCAGGATCATCAGTATCATGACCATGTTGGCGGCCACTTTGTGCTGGGCAAATTGTTGTATCACTGTTCCTCCAACAGATTCCGGGGTTACCTTGTCAGTCGCCCGTATGACAACTGAGGGTTACAGAATCTGTGCCAACTCTAGAGTCGGCCTGCAGAGCCGTTTAGTTTGGTCTGTAGAGGAATTTTTGTGCAGACAATGCAGAAGTACTTAGCCTATCTGGCCACAAAGTGGCCAGATAGGCCCGCTGTTCAATCAGATAAGCTCAGTCCGATGAGCCCGGCATTGGCGCCCTGGCCAGTGGCTAGAACCACATACTGTTTGCCATTGCTCATATAGGTCATGGGTGTACCCCATGGCCGCAGGGGTAGTTCAATCTCCGCAACAACCTGACCGTTGGATTTATTAAACGCACGCAGGAGGTTGCGTTTGCCATCACCCTGGCCCAGAAACAGCAGCGTATCGGTAACGACCGGACCGGTGCCGGACCCGCCGAGTGGGCCTGGGTCAGCCAGGCCCAGGTCGATCACCTTCTGCCTCGGCCCATCACCGTTGGGTACCATCCAGGCGTGGTTGCCGGTGGATAAATCGATGGCCGTGATGCGGCCGTAGGGCGGTTTTGTCAATGGTAAACCTTGCGGCCCGGCAAGCCGGTTGATGCTTGCGCTGCGGACATAGTTGAAGTTGGTTTCATCTGGGTTGCCTTTGCTGAGTTTGACAACCATCGGCCCCGTCACGGACGGGACGTAAAGCATCTGGGTCTTAGGATCAAAGGCGGCCCCGGACCAGTTCGCGCCGCCGCCCCAGCCGGGTACGTTAATGGTGCCTTTCAAGCTGGGTGGTGTGTACAGCGGACCGTAGTCATAGGCGCTGATGATCTGTTCGGCTTCTTTACGCAGCGCCGGGCTGAAATCAGTGAGGTCATCAATCTGCAAACCCTGGCGATCAAAGGGCGCAGGTCTGCTGGGAATAGGTTGTGTAGGAGAAGTTATTTCGCCGGGCACCTTTGATGTTGGCACTTTGGTTTCGTTGATGGGCCAGACCGGTTCGCCGGTGACGCGATCAAACACGTAGACAAACGCCTGTTTGGATACCTGAGCAACCGCTTTGATGGTTTTGCCGTCAACGTTGATGTCCACCAGCGTCGGCGCAGCGGGCAGGTCGTAGTCCCATAAACCATGGTGCACCATCTGAAAGTGCCAGACCCGCTCACCGGTTGCGGCGTCCACGCACACAAGGCTTTCGGCAAACAGATTCTGTCCCAGGCGGTGACCACCGTACCAATCGTTTGTTGGCGTGCCGGTAGGCAGGTAGACATAACCCAGTTCAAGATCAGCACTCATGCCGGTCCAGACGTTGGTGTTGCCACTGTATCGCCAGGCTTCATCCTGCCAGGTATCTGCGCCAGGGGTTTTGCCCTGGGGGATGGTATGAAACATCCACGCCTGTTCCCCGGTGCGGATATTGAACCCGCGCACGTGTCCCGGCGGCATTTCTTTGTTGCGCGGACCATCCATGATTGAAGAACCCACCACCAGGATGTCTTTGACAACAATGGGCGCGGAGATCACAGAGTACAGTTTGCGGTCAACCGCTCTGCCTAACCCCAGTGTCAGATCTGTACGACCGTTATCCCCAAAATCTGCCACGGGTTTGCCGGTTTTGGCGTCCAGCGCCCATAGGTAGGCATTGTTGGTTGGCATCAGGATGCGCTCATCTTCGCTGTTTTCAGCGTCCTGCCAATACGCCACGCCACGATGATTGAAACCCAGGTTAGTCGGCCTGCCTTGCGCGTAGGAGCGGGTATCAAACGTCCAAAGGGTTGTGCCGGTATCCGCTTCGATGGCAGCAACCTGTCCGAGCGATGTGCTGATAAACAGCCGGTTGCCTATTTTCAACGGCGTTGATTTGAAACCCCAGGGGGTTAAGGCACGGTTAGCTTCAACAATGGAGTTGTCCGGAGATGTCCATTGCCAGGCCAGGCTTAGTCTGGCTGCGTTAGACGCGTCAATCTGGTCCAGCGGTGCGTATTTGGAGCTGCCTGGATCGTTGCCGTAGGTTGGCCATTCGGATGCGCCGATGGGTGTTGCCGCCGATGTCATGTACAGGCTCAGGCTGCACAGCCAGGCCAGGTGTAAGCGAGGGGTTCGAAAGCGCATGGCGTTACCTTTGTCGGCTAATTTATTTTTGTTTCTGCAGTTCTACCCAGTTCAATCACACCGAGTTTGCCGTCTGCGTTGGTCAGCGTGGTAACCGAGCAGTTGTCCGGCGCAAATATGCGCATCCTGTCGTCGCTCTGAGCGGCACCCACCGCCGCATTTATCGCGACATAGTGGCTGAACATAACGCAGTCTTCTTTAAGATCCAGAAGGCAGGCCACCAGATCCTGCTGCCATTGCACAAACTCTGGCGCCAGCTCACTCCATGTGCCCTGCATGGCGTTCTGCAGCCACGCGGCGCGTTCGTTCAGATCTTCACTGGGAGAGGGTATCTCCGCGACGCGTTTTTCAATAAGGATGTCTTTCTGCCAGTGGGCCGCAAGCGGTTCTGCGGTCTGATAGGCGCGCGCCAGCGGACTGGAAAAAATAGTCACAGGACCATCGCTCACCAGGTCGGTGGCAAGTAACTGCGCCACATTTGCGGCCTGTTTTTTTCCCAATTCACTTAAACCGGGATCTTTGTGAGTGCCAAATCCAGCGGCAGCTTCGCCGTGTCTGACCAGATGAATCTTTGCCATAACTTTCTACCTCTGAGCAGATTAGATGCTGATTTTTATTTGTTGTCCCGTACAATAGCCGGCTTGCCCAAAACAACAGTAGAGATGGAAACCGTGAATGAGCATGCGGCCGACGGTCTAGATATTAACTTAGTCCCCGACACAACTGTCAGTGTGCGGGAAGCATTTGGCATTGATCAAGACCTGGATGTGCCTGCATTCAGTCAGCGTACGTCTTACGTACCTGAAATCGATCCTGATTATCGGTTTGATCATGACACCACCCTGGCCATTCTGGCCGGCTTTGCGCACAACCGCCGCGTGATGATTCAGGGTTACCACGGCACCGGTAAATCGACGCACATAGAGCAGGTTGCCGCGCGTTTGAACTGGCCGTGTATCCGTATCAACCTGGACAGCCACATCAGCCGTATCGATCTGATCGGTAAAGACGCCATCGTGCTCAAAGACGGTAAGCAGATCACCGAATTTCGCGAAGGTATTCTGCCCTGGGCGCTGCAGCATCCCGTGGCCCTGGTGTTTGATGAATACGATGCCGGTCGTCCTGACGTCATGTTTGTCATTCAGCGCATACTTGAAGTGGAAGGTAAGCTGACCCTGTTGGATCAGAACAAAGTCATCACACCGCATTCGCATTTCCGCCTGTTTTCCACCACCAATACAGTGGGTCTGGGTGATACCACCGGTCTGTATCATGGCACCCAGCAGATTAACCAGGGGCAGATGGACCGCTGGAGCATTGTCGCTACGCTTAACTATCTGGAGCACGATGCTGAAGTGGATATCGTTCTGGGTAAGGCGAAGTCTTATGGCGAAAGTGAAGCTGGACGTCGCGCCTTATCAAACATGGTTAGTGTTGCTGATCTCACGCGTAAAGGCTTTATCAATGGTGATGTGTCCATTGTCATGTCTCCACGTACCGTGTTGACCTGGGCGCAGAATGCAGAGATTTTTGGTGATGTTGGTTTTGCCTTCCGGGTGACCTTCCTCAACAAATGTGATGAGTTAGAACGTCCGATTGTGGCTGAGTATTATCAGCGCTGCATGGGCGAAGATCTGGGTGATGCCACCCAGGGTATTTCGCTGAAAAGCGTGTAGCCGCCAATCTCGTTTGTCATTGGTTGAGCAAAGCTTATGAGTGATGCAGAAAGCCCGTTAGAGCCGTTTAAACGGGCGATGACCGCAACCATGCGGGCGCTGGCAGAAGACGAGGAGTTGGACGTCAGTTTTGGCCCGGGTGCACCCAGCGCTCGGGGTAACCGCCTGCGTGTACCTTTACCCGGTATCGGTAGCTCTGATGAAGAGATTAATGCCGTCCGCGGCATCGGTGATCAATACGCTTTAACGCTGCGCCATCACGATGATGCGCTGCATGCGCGTTATGCACCAAACGGTGGTCCTGCCCAGGAGATGTTTCAGTGGATTGAAGATGCGCGTGTGGCGGCTATTGGCAGTTTGCGTATGGAAGGGGTTGCGCAGAATCTCGATGCACGCCTGGAAACCCAGTGCAAACAGGCAGCCTTTGACACCATCACCGCAGAAACGGAAGCGCCCCTTTCTGTAGCAGTTGGATTGCTGGTGCGCCAGGAACTGACGGGTCGACCACTGCCCCCAAGCGCGGAAAATGTGGTGCGCTTCTGGCGTGATCATATTGAATCCCATGCTGGGGATGCCATTCGTGCGCTGAAAAGCAGTATCGGAGACCAGGCTGAATTTGCCACTCTGTGCCGCAGCATTATTGCCGATCTTGGGATGGCTGCGGACATGGATGATCCCCAGGATGGTGATACCAATCAGGATGATATCGACACCGTAGACGAATCCGAAAGCGCTGATAGTGATTTTGCGCCTGAAGATGTCATGATGGACGACGAGTCCATGGGTGAGGAAAGCGCCGACGGCGACGCCACCATGATGGAAATGGACGCCGACATGGATATGGACGAATCGGGGGCTGAAGCAGACCCTGACGAAGCGCCGAATCCGATGCCGGATGAAGCTGGACGCATTGCCAAAGACATCAACTACAAGGCTTATACCGAGGCCTTTGACGAAACCATTCGGGCGGAAGAGCTCTGTGACGCCGAAGAAATGACCCGCCTGCGGCAACTGCTCGATCAGCAATTAGTGCCACTGCAACACACGACCTCAAAGCTTGCCAATCGATTGCAGCGACGTTTGATGGCCAAACAGAATCGAACCTGGGAGTTTGATCTGGAAGAAGGTGTGCTCGATGCCGCGCGTCTGACCCAGGTGATTATTGACCCGGTGAACCCGCTGGCGTTCAAGCAGGAAAAAGAGATGAAATTCCGCGACACCGTGGTGACCCTGCTGATCGACAGCTCCGGTTCCATGCGTGGCCGTTCAATCACTATCGCGGCGATGTGTGCTGACATCCTCGGACGAACATTGGAGCGGTGTTCCGTGCGGGTTGAGATTCTTGGCTTTACCACACGTGCCTGGCGTGGGGGTCAATCCCGCGAGCAGTGGATCAACGAAGGTAAACCCGCAAACCCCGGGCGCCTGAATGATCTGCGCCACATCATTTACAAAGCAGCTGACGATACCTGGGCACGCACGCGTCGGAATATCGGTCTGATGATGCGAGAAGAACTGCTGAAAGAAAATATCGATGGTGAAGCGCTGATCTGGGCGCACAACCGAATCGTGACGCGTACTGAAGACCGTAAAATAATGATGGTTATTTCAGACGGCCTGCCGGTTGATAACTCCACCCTGCTGGTGAATCCCAGCAACTATCTTGAGCAGCACCTGAAATACGCCATCGATATGATTGAGAATTACTCGCCGGTGCAGCTGGTGGCTGTAGGTATCGGTCATGACGTGACCCATCACTATAAACGCGCTGTCACCATCACCGATGCTGAACAGCTGGGTGGCGCCATGACAGAGCAGCTGGCAGATCTATTTGATGTGAATGCCTGAGTAAGGGTGGGGCGCTTGCGTGCCGTTTACAGGCAAGCAAGCACGCCCGATATATAATGCTAAATCAGCGTGTTACGGCCTGCATTCTTTTGATTTCCGGTGGTCCAGCCATCTTACCTTTAAAGCCGGCGCCAGCAGCTTTGAAGTGCTCGGACTGGCCGTGAGCAGCCAATGCTTCTTCGCTTTCGTACATTTCCAGAACAACATAGTTGCCATCTTCATCTTTGCACAGCTGATACATCAGGCAGCCTGGTTCATTGGCGTTTACGGCGTCCGACAAATCCAGAAAAACGGATTCGAATTCTGCAGCCATTTCTGGTTTTACGTTTAGCTTTGCGGTGACTCCGATCATAATCTCTCCCTAAAGTTTTGTAGCCCTGTGAAGAATAAGGACTCGTATGCACCGACGCAATCTACTTGAGCAACTGAGCGACTATCTGCATCGCCATCCCCAGGAACAAGAGACTGTCAGTCGCTTTATCGATTTTGTGCAGGCGAACCCCCGTTGTTTTGAAAGGGATTGCTGGGCGGGGCATGTGACGGGTTCAGCCTGGTTGGTGGATACCACGCGCAGTCGCCTATTGCTCACCCATCACAAGAAGCTCGACATGTGGCTGCAACTGGGTGGCCACAGCGACGGTGACGCGGATACACAGAAGGTTGCGTTGCGTGAAGCCACTGAAGAATCGGGCCTGACTGTGCATTTACTGCGCGCAGATATTTTTGATGTTGATATACACGAAATTCCAGCACGCAAGAATGATCCGGCACATTTTCACTTTGACGTTCGCTATGCCTTCAGTGCAGCTGATGACGCCTATGTGGTGAGCGAAGAGTCGATGGACCTAGCCTGGGTTGAGATCGATCAACTGGAGCAGTTCACGGTCGAGACCTCAATCCTGCGAATGCGGGATAAGTGGCAGCAGCAGAGTTAATCTGTTTGCGCGGTAGAGTTCTCGGGCAAGCCTGATTCGGACATCATGACCTGCTGGATCAGTTTCATGTTGCCCAGAATTTTATCTGCCTGGGGTTGGGTCAGGCCGTACTGAGCACTGGCTTTCAGGGTTTCAAACTCTTTGCCTAAGCTCGTTTTATAGCGTTCGACACACTTCTTCCAACGATTCTCCTTACGCTGGTAGCGCTGCAGCGTGTACGTATCGACGTCCCATTCCGTATGGGTGCTGCCCATGTCGTCAGTGACCTGTTTCCGCTTGCCCGGTGCTTTCGGGAAAACACATTTGTTTTCGGGTAACTGCCACGACAGAGCCTGTTGTACCTTTTTATGCACCTTGGGTGCGTCTTCGCTGAGCGCTGGATAGGCCACGATGAGCAACAGAAAGAAAATGGTGGGCAGAACCGCTTTTGTCACTGTTAGGAGCCTCGTAGTCAAAGAATCGACGTTAGAGATAGTAACCCGAATGGGTGATGCCGCGTCAATGTCGGACATTTAGCTTGTCAGCGATGTTTATATGTTACTTGTAGTAACAAGTGGGTGCTCAGTACCCGAAACTGCGTTTGAGCAGTGTTTTTACTGTATTTGCAGCGATTTGTTACATTGACTTCCCCGCCAACAGACGATTAAATGCGGGCCTGCGGTGGAACTGGAGAGGTAAGACCAGGTCGGTTTTTGGTTTGAATTCATTGCAGATGGAAGCTCCGATCGCTGCTTCGAAAAGATTGATAAGAGGTAAGAAGGGTTACGAGGGGTAATCCAAAGTGGTCGCCGAGACTGCTCACTGTGCTGCGAAATCCACGTCCAGTGAGTTCTGCTGTTTGCCCCAACTGTAATCCTTTAAGCTTTTTGAAAAAAGTTAAGTCACACAAACATGTTTCGAGGGGAAACTATGTATAGATCATCGTTTGGACGATGGGTTGCCGCATTTGCCGTGCTTGCCTTGATGCCGCTCAGCCTAAATACCTTTGCTGCAGAACAGTCTGCAGGCCGTCAGATTGAAGAAGTGATCGTCACCGCTGAGCGGCGTGAAGCTTCCATTCAAGACACGTCTATCTCCATCACCGCTTTTACCGGTGAAATGCTGGATGACTTCGGTATCCGCAACCAGGAAGACCTGCAGAACTTCATTCCTGCAACCACCATTCAGCCTTATGACGCAACCATTCGCGGCGTCGGCCGAAACTTCCGTGCATTAGGCGGCGACCCGGGTGTTGCAACCTACATGAACGGTGTTTACTCAGAAGATCTGTTGACTGCAACCGCGGCGACCTTCTGGGATGTGGAGCGTATTGAGGTTTTACGTGGCCCACAGGGCACGCTGTACGGACGCAATGCGGTGGGCGGTGCCATTAACATCCTCTACAAAGAGCCCACCCATGAATTTGATTACGCTGTGAAAGGCATTGTGGGTAATTTTGGCACGGCTGAAACGTATGGCATGCTTAATGGCAGCATCATCGAAGATAAACTGGCTGCGCGAATTAATTTCAGTATTCGTGATCGCGATGGCGTGATTGAAGACATCGGCCCAGGCGATGACATTGATGGTCTCGGCACCGCAAACGTGGCCGCGCAGTTTTACTTTACCCCTACGGACACGTTGTCAATGAATCTGCGTTACAACGAAATGTCTATTGATCGCAGCATGGGTGGTGCCAACGGTGCCGGCCAGGTTGTTTTAAACGAAGAAGGCCAGCCTTTCCGCAATACCAATGCAATTGTGCCTGGTTATCGCGCGATTGATCGAACCAATACAGACTCAGCAAACTTCAGCGATAATGACTGGTTTGATCCGTCTGCGCCGGTACTCAACTTTACGAACCCGACTACGGGCGCCCTTGTAGAAGGACAGCGTAACCGTTTGGGTGTTGACGTTGCAGAGTTTGATGGATTTCGTAATGCAGCAGCTTCGCTAGACAGCTTTGGCGTCACCAGCGCGGAAAGTGCAGCGCGATATAACGAATGTGTGTTTGCCGGTGATATCTCGGGCGATGATCTGTGTACCGCAACCAACGGTGTGAACAAAGAACGTTTTGACCAGGAAGGCATTCAGTTCACCACAACCTGGGATGCCTCAGATGCTCTGCAGGTGAAATACATCTACGGACACAACACACTGGTCTATGCCCGCACCACGGATGATGACAACACCGCAAGCTTGATTCAGGATCGCCAGTTTTATGTTAATCACGAGGCGACCTATTCGTCCCATGAATTTCAGGTGTTCTATGACTTCAACGACACTATGTCGGTGACCTCAGGTATCTTTTTCTATGAAGCGGAAATTGACCAGCGTGGAGATTACTACTCAACTGTAGGTGAAGATCGATACATCAACCCCTATGTCGATTCATCGGGTATCTATGCACCGATTATAGCTGCGATCCCAGGTGCAATTGGTGCAGGTACCTTCAACGGGGAGATGCCCACTCTGCATTCCGCGCGTGCACTTTGCCAGGATCCGGCGACCCGCCTGCCCCAGTGTGCGGTGAACTACGCAACCCGCAACCCTGCGCCAGCTGAGAACAACAACCTGCATATCGGGCTCTGGGAAGGTGACAGTGGTCAGAATGGTGATCTGAACGTATCTCACGGTCCCAATACCCTGGGTAGCGATCTGCTTTACCATACGGAAACTAAGCGTGATGCATTTGCTGTATATACCCAAGGGGTTTGGGACATCAACGAAGACTTCACCTTGACGGTAGGTATTCGTTATGCAGAAGACGAAGTGGATGCACAGGAAAACCTGTTTCGCTACACAGAATCTGCACCGGGCTTCCTGCCATTTTTTGGAAGCTCTATCTTTGACTTCAACCTTGCTAACGGTGGTCTTGTGGTAGACCCCACAGCGCCTGGCGGCTATCGTGGTACCCGTAGTGCGGTGAACGGTGGCGTTCCAGCTGCGGTCAGTGTCTATCGTGCCTTCAGCAGAACGGACAAAGAAACCACCGGTCGAATTAATCTCGATTGGAACGTGACTGACAACACGTTGCTGTATTTGTCTGCCACATCTGGCTACCGTTCTGGTGGTAACAACCTGGTGTTCTTCAGTGCCACACCGGCTTACGATCCTGAAGAGCTGATTGCTTATGAGTTTGGTTACAAGTCGCAGCTGCTGGATGGTTCTCTGCAGTTGAACGGATCGTTCTACTACTACGATTATGAATCCATTCACACCGTTGCTACCGAAGTCACACCGCCATTGGTTGCCGGTGGTGCGCCGGGTACCACTACTTCTGTATTACCTGCGCCAGGTGCCGAGATTTTTGGTATCGAAGCGGAAGCCATGTGGCTGGCGACAGACAACTTGACCTTGGGCGGCAACTTCAGCTACACACCCAGTGAATACACTGAAGACTTATTCCTGCAGGACCCTGCTGAAGTTAATACGCCAGTATCTATATTCCCAGATGCAAATGCGTTAACACAGAACATTAACGGCAACCAGGTTGTACAGGTACCTGAACTCAAGTACACCGCCTGGGGCAGCTATGCTTTCCCACTGGGGAACGGCTCACGCCTTGAACTTCTGGGTGTATATAACTGGATTGATGAAGTGTACTACTCACCGTTTGAAAGCACCGGTGAGCGTGCTAAAGCCTATGACCGTTTGGATCTGCGGGCAACCTGGACCTCTCCAGATTCACATTGGATTGTGTCAGGCTTCGTGAATAATGTTTTTGATGACATCGGTGTGCTGCAGATTCTGCGTGAAGGTGAAGCGGAAATGTTCCGTCGATCTGCAGGTACAACAGTACCCCGCCTGTTTGGACTGGAAGTGACTTATTCTCTGGGTCAGCTTTAAGCTCAGTTGATGAGTACCTGACCATGAGTCAGGTATCAATTAAGGGCGCTTTTCCAAGCGCCCTTTTTTGTGTCGAAAGTTCGATTTTTCCTTAGCTCAGTTGTCTTAAAAAGACGATTGTGATCTGTTTCTTCTTCAAGTAGTCTCAGAATTGTCCTGCCCAATTTCGGTTACTGTTTAGGTCCTGAGTTTGATTGGTCGGTACGAGTGCCACAATAAAGTGGCGAATTTTGATCAATGTGGAGATCCTAAATAGTGAAAAAGCTATACGTAGGTAATCTGGCATGGGGTGTCACTGACGAAGACCTGCAAAATATGTTTGCAGAGTACGGTAGTGTTGCTTCTGCTGTAGTGATTACAGATAGAGAAACCGGTCGCTCTCGCGGGTTTGGTTTTGTTGAATTAGAAGATGGTGCAGACCAGGCTATTGAGGCGCTGAACGGCCAGGAAATGCAGGGTCGTCCGTTGCGCGTTAACGAAGCGCAAAGCAAAGACCGTGGTGGTCGCGGTGGCGGCGGCGGTGGTGGCAACCGTGGCGGCGGCGGTGGTCGTCCCTTCTAGATTGAGACTTTAATCTAAGTCGGCTAAACCCCCTGTTAGGTGCTTCCTGCAGGGGGTTTTTTGTTTCGGGGCTGGGTTTTTATGTTAAAGCAAAGACTCAGTAAATTTGGATTCCATGCGCAGGTAGTTAGGTAATCCACCGGGGACGTCGGCGAATATCTTCTCCCATTCATCACCAGAAAAAATGCCAGGCATAGCGCTGTCCCGAGTTTCTTTATCTGGCCAGGCAATTATCCAGGTGATGTTCGCTGGCCCAAGCTTGTCCAGCGCCTCACCATTCACCTCTCCCGGGATTTCACCATTTACCCAGAAGCCAACCAGGTTCAGTTCGCGTTTGAGATAGGGCAGGGCTTTTGTTTTAGCCCAGGTTTTGTATTCTTCAAAACGTGTAGGCTCAAAGTGATAGTTGCGTATTTCATAAATCATATCGGCTGTTCTCCAGGAAAAATAGGGCTCAGGTATACAGGTGACAAGCCACGTCACGGCGGGCTGCATCTGGTTTATCTACATCGACTAATGAAATCAGCTGCGGTGTGGTGTGATGACAGATTTCCATTACTTTAGGACAGCGGTTGGCAAATCGACATCCTGCCGGAACATTAACTGGAGAGGGGATCTCGCCTTCAATCGCGGTTGAAGGTCGCTGTCGCTCCAGTTGCGGGTCTGGCTCTGGGTTTGAGCCAATCAGAATCTGGGTATAAGGGTGTTTAGGATTGAAAAACAGCTCATTCGCGGTGCCAACTTCTACCAGGCTGCCCAGGTACATGACCGCCATGCGATCGCTGACATAACGCACCATAGATAAGTCGTGGGCGATAAAAAGCAGTGTCAGGCCCATGCTTTTCTTCAGTTCGTCCAGCAGGTTGACCACCTGCGCCTGTACAGAAACGTCAAGGGCGGAAATTGGCTCATCACAGACTACAAACTCAGGTTCAAGTATCAGTGCGCGTGCAATGCCGATACGCTGACGCTGGCCACCAGAAAATTCATGGGGATATCGGGACATGTGGTCCGCTTCCAGACCCACACGTTCAAGCCATTCAGCCACTGTGTCGCGTACGGTTGCAGAGGGTAGCTGCCGGTGCAGGCGTAACCCTTCACCAATGATTTCGCCCACAGTCATACGAGGATTCAGAGACGAGTACGGATCCTGAAAGATCATCTGCATATGGGTGGCGTGGCGCTGGAAGTCCTGAGGACCATATTTCTGCGGTAGCAATTCGCCTTTAAAGCTGACGCTGCCGCTGGTTTTATCATGCAGTCCAACCACGGCTTTGCCGAGGGTTGATTTGCCGGAGCCACTTTCGCCGACCAGGCCGACAATTTCGCGTTCGCCGATATCCAGTGAAATGTCGTCAACCGCATGGACCCGTTGGTTCGGACCGATATCGAAGTACTTGACGAGGTTCTTGATGCTGACAAGATTGCTCATGCGCCGGACCTGACCGCTTTATTGATGCCGTCTATCTGTGTTGTGTTGTCAGGGTGGTGCAACCAGCAGCGGGTTTCATGTCGCTCCCCGAGGATGTAGGTCTCGGGGGGATTATCCACACAGATCTGCATCGCATGTGGGCAACGTGCACAATAGCCACAGCCCGCTGGCGGATGGAACAGGTCAGGTGGGGAGCCGTCAATCGGGGTCAGGCGCGCATCAACGCCTGGCTTGTTTGTTGGCATCGCAGCTCGCAGCCCCATGGTATATGGATGGCTGGAGCGGTAGAAGATATCGTCGACATAGCCATGTTCTACCATTTGGCCGGCATACATCACCAACACTTCGTCAGCCATGCGTGCAACAACACCCAGATCATGGGTAATCAGAATAATGGCCATATTGGTTTCGCGCTGAAGGTCTGCCAGCAGATCAAGAATCTGTGCCTGAATGGTCACATCCAGGGCTGTGGTCGGTTCATCAGCGATCAGGATCTGGGGCTCGCAGGCGATAGCCATGGCAATCATTGCGCGCTGTAACATGCCGCCGGAAAACTCAAACGGATATTGCTTAGCGCGCTTTTCAGGCTCTGGGATTTTGGTCAGCGCCAGTAACTCTATCGCCCGGTTGAACGCCTGACGTTTGCTGTAACCGCGATGCACGATCAGCGTTTCAGCAATCTGGTTGCCGATGTTCATAGTGGGGTTTAACGACGTCATCGGGTCCTGAAAGATCATACCGATCTGGCCGCCGCGGATATCTTCGCCATTGATGGTTTTGCGGCCGATGATATCGACGCCATTCATCATTGCGGTCCCTGCGGTAATCCGCCCGGGTGGTATCGGTATCAAACCCATGATGCTTTGTACGGTTACGGATTTGCCACAACCGGATTCACCCACAATAGCCAGTGTTTTACCGGGTGCAACATCAAAGCTAACCCCACGTACCGCCTGCACGGTGCCGCCGTAGGTGTCAAATTCAACGGCCAGATCTGTGACGCTTAGAATCGGTTCGGACATAACTACTCTCTGTTGCGCATGCGCGCATCCAAGGCATCCCGCAAGCCGTCACCCAGCAGGTTGAAGGCCAGGACGGTCACGCTGATCAACAGCGCGGGGAAGATCAGTTCATGAGGTGTGGTCAGCATGGTTTTAATGCCTTCATTACACATCGAACCCCAGGATGGGGTAGGCGGCGCAACACCCATGCCAATGAATGACAGGAAAGCTTCGGTGAAAATTGCGCTGGGCACTGCAAAGGTGATGGTGACCAGAATCACCCCCATGGTGTTGGGGATCATGTGACGTAGAACCAGGTAGTTGGTTTTTGCGCCCAGCAGACGTGACGCACTGATATAGCCTTCTTCACGGATCTGCAGGATCTGACCACGTACCAGGCGAGCGGTTGATGGCCACAACAGCAGTACCATCGCCAGCAGCATGGGCATAATGCCGCTTTCACCTGGCCCAATGGCAAAAACCACCTTGAATAAAATCATGAACAACAGGAAAGGTAACGCAACCACAAAGTCGGCAAAACGCATTAAGACCTGATCGGTCATGCCACCGAGAAAACCGGCAACGCTACCGTAAGCAACGCCAATCAAGACGAAGATGAATGGGGCGAAAAAACCGATGAACAGAGACACTCGGGCGCCATGCATCAGTCGAGCGAGCATGTCTCGTCCCAGATAATCTGTGCCCAGAGGGTGCAGGGGCAGCGTGTATTGGGTGCCAAAGACCGGCTCCTCCTCGGTGCCCAACATGCCGCGGGAGATGGCCTCGCGAGGTGCCATGACACGTATCACCTCACCTTCTATCGTATCAACGTGATCGTGTAACTCATTACCGTTCGCATCAAGAGCGACAATGGAATAGAAATAATTGCGTGGCTTAAGATCCAGGCGATCTTCGAAAAAGTTCTCTTCTGCGCCGGTTTCCTGCAATGGCAGTCCATAGGCCCGTTCAGCTCCGATCGGAAACAGGTTCCTGTAAACCCGATAACCTCCGGTCGCGACAGGGTTTTTATCCCATGTCAAACGAACGTATTGAGTGGTGGGTGGCTGCACGAAGTTGAGGCCAGGGCTGGACAATTCGCTGGACGGATACCAGGGCTCGTATTCCGGCACCAGTTGTACCGTTCTGTTGGCAAATGGCGGCTGACTGATCTGATCGACATCCTGCACGGAAGGGTCGATCTGCCAGAGCACAGGGCCAATAAATGTAAACAGGAGTAAGCCAGCAACCAGATACAGGGAATACAAAGCCCTCCGGTTGGCTTTCAGACGAATCCACGCATCCTGCCAGTAAGACAGCGATGGTCGGCTGATACCGTGTATCTGCTCGGTCTGTTCTATTTTCTCAAAGGCGCCAGGGGCCAGTGTTTGCTCTGTCATGGCGCTTACTCCAGCCTGACCCGTGGATCAACATAGCCGTAAATAATATCGACCAGAATGACCATGAAGACCAGGAACGCACCGAAGAAAACCGTGGTGCCCATGATGACGGTGTAATCCAGCTGTTGTACGGCCTGGACAAAGTAACGACCAAGACCGGGGATGGCAAAGATAATCTCAACCACAAAACCGCCGGTAGTAATCCCGGCGATAGAAGGCCCAAGCACGGTTATGACAGGCAGAATCGCGTTGCGTAACTGGTGGCGGGTAAATATTTTCGTTGCCGGTACGCCTTTGGCTTTTGCAGTGCGAACAAAATCAGAGCTGATGATCTCAAGCATCGACGAGCGCATCAGGCGCGTAAGATACGCCATGGTGCCTAGGCCAAGGACCATCGAGGGCACAATCATATGCCAAACAGTTCCCCAGCCGCCGATAGGCAAGATTGAAAAACCCGCAACGTCATTAATGTTTACGAGACTGAGCTGGCCAATCGCTGCGACAACAAAAGAAGGCACCGATATGCCGAGAATGACCAGAAACATAATAATGGTGTCAGGCAACCGATTTCGATACAGGGCAGTTAATGCACCCCACAGAATCCCGCCGGCACCAGCAAACAGAATGGCCAGAATGCCTAAGGTTGCTGATACGGGAAAATGCTCGCGGATGATGTCGTTGACCTTACGATTTTCCTGGGTGAAAGAGATGCCAAAGTCACCCCGGGCGATGTTGCTCAGATAAATACCGTATTGAGTCATCAGCGGCTTATCCAAGCCGTATTTGGCTTCAAGGTTTGCGCGTATTTTGTCGCTTAAAGCTTTATCGCCGGAAAGCGGATCGCCAGGCACAGCGTGCATGGCAAAAAAAGTGGCGGTAGCAATGAACCACACAGTGATAAGACCTTGAACAATACGTTTAAGTGCGTACTTCAGCATGTGGATGGGCGTAATAGTTTAGCGGGTGGCATCAGCTAAGATTCCGTTGTATCAATGTAGGCGCGGGTGAAGTCCGTAGACGCGCCTATAACCCGTTGCTTGACGTTTTTCAGATGCGGGTGGGTCACGAAGGTCACGCCTCGTTCATACATCGGCAGCTGGGCAACATCGTCGAATAGAAGCTGTTGAATGGCGGCAAAAATTTCCATACGGGCGCGCGGGTTTACCGAGTTCTGCGCCTGTTCAATGAGGCGGTCCATTTCCGGGTTGTTGTACAAACCCCGATTATTTTTATTCCAGGAGGCGTATAGGTCGCCAAAGGTCAGCGGATCGTCATAGTCCGGACCCCAGCCCGCAAGCACCATATCAAATTCACCGGCGGTCATTTTAGCCAGGCGTTGTTTGAAGATCTGTTTATCGATTTTCACCGAGATACCCAGTTTGGTGCGCAACACCTCCTGCACCCACTCTGATTGCAGGCTTGACAGCGGATTGTCGCCGCTTAGCAGAATCAGTTCCGGAATTTCTTCGACGCCTAATTCCTGCCTGGCGAGCTCCAGATGTTGCAGCGCTTGGTCGTGATCAAGGACAAGTTCAGGCGCCGGATATTCTTTGCGAAATTTATCTTCAACACCCTGCAGGAAGTTCGGGAACAAGGATTCACCAGGAATGTATCCTGGTAATTTAGTGACCTTGTAAACCAGCTCTTCCATATCCAGAACCAGTTGCAGGGCCTTGCGAAGATTGCGGTTACTGGTGACGTGGTCTGGTCGGTGATTGAAGTCCAGGAAGAAGACAGTGCCGTCCTGGGTGCGCTCAATATGCCAGCGTTGGGCCATGGCGTTGGTAAGGTTTTCTGCTAACAGGGTGGTGAACGCAATCCTGTTGTCTTTGAAGAAATTCAGTTTTGCAGTGCTATCAGAGGTGATGTAACCGATATTGATCTGTTGCAGAGAAATACTTTCCTGATCCCAGTAGTAGGGATTGCGTTCTAACAGGAGGCTGGAGCCATGGATCCATGAAGAGATCGTAAACGGCCCTGAATACAACATCTCCCAGGCGTCTGCACCAAAGCGACCGTTGGTCGAATTGTAGAAGTCTTCGCGGATGGGCAGGTACGTTGGAAATGCGACCAGTTTATCGAAGAACGCTATGGGTCGTTCAAGATCGACAACCAGGGTTTGATCGTCTATCGCCGTGACGCCCAGTTCGGTATATGGAAGTTCGCCTTCGTTGACGGCTCTGCCATTTTTGATGGGGTAAAGCAGGAACGCATACTCGGACGCGTTTTCCGGTTTCAGGGCAGTTTGCCAGGCAAACACAAAGTCGTGGGCGGTAATCGGTTGGCCATCACTCCAGCGGGCGTCGTCCCGCAGCCAGAATGTCGCCTGTGTTTCGGTGACTTCCCAGCGTTCGGCGATAGCAGCTTCCAGCTTATCGTCCATGCTGTTGCGCAGTAACCCCTCCATGACATGTCCTAGTACCATGCCGGAAGAGGCGTCTGTGGCCAGGGTTGAGTCCAGTTGAGGGGGTTCCGCTGCGATGGCAATCGTGATGCTCTGATTCTCTGCATCAACAGCTTTGGCCGATACGGTGCTAGAGCCCACCATGCTGGCCAGAATCTGCAGCCCCCACATGAGCAGCCCGAAGAAGATAACAGTGGCCAGCCCGAATCCTAAGAGCTGCTTACCGGCTGCTTTGGCAAACGATTCTTCGCCGTCGGGCTGGGTGTAGTTCACGTCGCTCATAGATCTTTATCGGGTCTTATGTCACCTGTTTCAGCAGATTACCTACAACGCGCTCTAAATGCATGAGTGAATTACACTCATCGACCTGATGGGAATAAGCGCCATATTTGCGCATTTCTGAGTCGCCGGTATTCCAGGAAACCCGGGATTCAGGATTCAACCAGATAACACGCTTACTGCGGTCGTACATTTCTTTCAGAATCTCAGCGTGAGCTTCGCCATAGTTGTTGCGCGCATCACCGAGAATAATGATTGTAGTGCGGTTATCGACGTCATCCATACACAGTTTACGAAAATCCAGAAACGCCTGACCGTAATCTGTAGAGCCGCCGGCATAGTCGCGCAACACTTTGGCAATGGCGTCTTCTATCTTATTTCGGTTGAAGAGGTCAGTGACTTCTGCAAGATCTGAGGAGAATGCAAAGCTGCGTACTTTAGGCATCACTTCATCGAGGCTGTATAAGAACATCAGCATAAAACGTGCGTAGGTGGCAACGGAGCCGGACACGTCACATATGGCAAAGACCTTGGGCCGGTCAATTTTTACCGACTTCCAATGCAGATCAAAAATGGCGCCGTCGTAGGACATGTTATGCCGCAAGGTGCGCGGTACGTTCAATGCGCCGCGTTTGAAAACTTTCTTGCGGCGGGAATGCATGGTGGTCAGCTTTTTGGCCATCTTGAACACCATTTCCTGGATCAGGCGGAAATTCCGGTGTTCTACGTTAGACAGTTTGACCTTGCGCAGCAGCTCTTCGCGCAACTTTCTGCCAGAGACATCGGCATTGAGTAGAAACTGCCGCTCGACATAGTCGCGCACCTGTTCCCGCAGCCAATCACGGCGGCGTTTTAACTCCTGCCCCAGTCGACGGGCGGGTATGGACGGGGCTTCGCGCAGGTTGCTGATCTCCTGATTGAGATCTGCCAGGCCCATTTCATCCATGATGCGCCGGGTGTACAAACCCTTCTGGGTGAAAATCTTGATTTCCCGCACGCCAATCGCTTCGCCAGCCTCTGCCATCGCGACGGTCAGTTCAACTTTGGAGTTGGACATGAGCAGTTGCGACAATTCGCCGCTGGCTTCACTCATCTCACCGGGGCCGAGATCCTCTTCGGGTTCTTCTTCATACAGATTGTTCGGCTTCTTGGCTTTGCTTTTCTTCTTTTTGCCGCTGGCAGGTTCTCCTGGCGGGCGTTGGCCACCACTACCACCTTCGCCACCTTCACCATCCTGATCTTCGCCGGCTTCGCCATCGCTATCTGCTGCCGCGCTGTCGCGGTCGCCGCTGAGCTCTTCGAAGGTGAAAAACTCGTCGAAGCAACGATCAAAGGTTTCTTTTTCGTCAGATGTTTTAGGCAACACCAGCGACAGCGAATGCTTCAGAAATTCACGATCACGATAGCCCACTAGCTCAACGGTATTCATGGCATCCAGCGTCTCAGCGGTAGACACACGTACGTTTGCCATGCGTAAGGCGCGGATGAAATTAGTAAGCTCGCGTTCCATTATTTATCTTGTTGGCAAATTACTTACGAATTTTGTTAGTGATGGAGGTCAGTTCTGACTCAACGTTTTCGATGTCTTCCTGGAATTTGAGAATGACATTCAGCGTGTCTTTAACCAGTTTGGGTTCCAACGACTCGGTGTGCAGCAGTAACAGCGTACGCGCCCAGTCTATGGTTTCCGAAATAGCCGGAACTTTCTTCAGGTCCAGGCCGCGCAGTTCATGAATGAACTCAACCATCTGACGACGTAACTCGTCCGACACCTCAGGTACGCGGGCACGAATAATACGCTGTTCCAGTTCCACATCTGGGAACGGGATATACAGGTGCAGACAGCGCCGTTTCAGGGCGTCTGAAATTTCACGGGTGTTGTTGGAAGTCAAAAACACCATGGGCGGTTCTTTGTTGGCTTTGATGGTGCCAATTTCAGGAATGGAGATCTGGAAATCGGAAAGAATTTCCAACAGCATCGATTCAAATTCGTGGTCAGACTTGTCAATTTCGTCAATCAGCAGGATGCAGCCATCGTCTTCCTGCAGTGCTTTCATCAACGGGCGGGGTTCTAGGAATTCTTCGGAAAAGAAAATGTCACCAAATTCATGCAGGCGCTTAACCGATTGAGTAAAACCTTTGGCGCCATCAAGCACCTCGTCTAACGCCTCCTTCAACACCTGGGTGTAAAGCAGCTGCTTGCCGTATTTCCATTCGTAGATTGCTTTGGCTTCATCCAGGCCTTCGTAACACTGCAGCCGGATCATAGGCAGAGCAAACATCTCTGCGGTGGTTTTCGCCAGCTCGGTTTTACCGACACCCGGTGGTCCCTCAATGAGGATGGGTTTATTCAGATGAAAAGCCAGGTATACCGCGGTCGCGATCTGGTCGCTGCAGATATAATTGTGTTTTTCGAAATGCTGCTTGAGCGATTCAACCGACGCCGCAATTGCGTTTACATCCGCCATCTAAAAAGATCCCCATAAGAAGTACAGCGCACACAATATTGCACACGCAAAGCCCGCCATTATTCCAGTGCGGCGGGGTATTGTATAGCCAGCTATCACCAATACATTGTATTGGTTTGGTGTGCGGCTGGCGTGTTTAAGGCTGTTCTACCGGCTGGCGAGGTGCGCTGTGCATGCGCATTAAGCCCTCCTGGGTGGTAGAGGCCACCAGATCACCGGCCTGGTTATAGATCAGGCCGCGGTTAAAGCCTCTGGCGCCGCTGGCAGCAGGGCTGTCCTGGGCGTAGAGCAGCCATTCATCCGCGCGAAACGGTCGGTGGAACCACATGGCGTGGTCAAGACTGGCCATCTGCACATTGTCCTGCATAAAACTGATGGCATGCGGCCGCGTTGCAGTATCCAGCAGCGACCAGTCTGACAGATAAGCCAACACACACTGATGTAGTCGTTGATCATCAGGCAATGCTTCCCGGGTGCGCATCCAGCACATCTGTGAGGGTGGTGCGGGAGCCGGATTCATCAGATCCTGAGGGTCTACCGGGCGCATCTGTATCGGTGACGTACTGCTGAAAGAGTCCTGAAACTCCTCTGGCCAGTCTTTGGCCTGTTCAGCGCGTAATTCGCTTTCGTCCACCAGTGCGTCCGGTGATGCGGTTTTTGGCATGGGAAACTGATGTGAGAGTCCTTCTTCCTCCACCTGAAAGGAGATGGATAAAGTGAAGATCGCTTCACCTCGCTGGATCGCCACCACCCTCCTGGTGGTAAAACTGCGGCCGTCACGAATGCGATCCACTTTATAAAGGATAGGAATACGGGTATCACCTGCGCGCAGAAAGTAACCATGCAGCGAGTGTGCATGGCGGCTTTCTTCAACGGTCCTCGAAGCGGCCACCATTGCCTGACCAATCACCTGGCCACCATAGACCCGCTGCCAGCCCTCATTGGGGCTGGTTGCGAGGTAGTGGTTCTGCTCTATCTCGGTGAGATCCAGCAGTTTGATAATGTTCTGCAGTGATTGCATGGCGCCGTGAGTTCCTTGGTCGGTGCGTTGCTAGTACTTGTAGCTTTCCGGCTTGAACGGCCCTTCGGTGGTAACACCGATGTATTTGGCCTGAGTATCGGTAAGTTGTGTAACCACACCACCAAAGCCTTTAACCATCAGTGCAGCCACTTCTTCGTCCAGTTTCTTCGGCAGTACTTCAACGGTGATCGGCGCGCGCTGATTCTCAGGCTGGTCAGCCCAGGCCTGCTCGAACAGGTGCATCTGTGCGAGCACCTGGTTCGCAAATGAGCCGTCCATGATGCGGGAAGGGTGGCCTGTGGCATTGCCCAGGTTAACCAGGCGACCCTCGGACAGTAAGACAATGTAGTCAAAGCGGTCATCAGAGCGGAAGATCTGGTGAACCTGGTCTTTAACCTTGTCCCAACGCCAGTTCTTGCGCATGTATGCAGTATCAATTTCGTTGTCGAAATGGCCAATGTTACACACGACAGCGCCGGACTTGATGGTTTGCAGCATGGCCGCGTCACACACGTCAGCGTTGCCGGTGCAGGTCACAATCAGGTCAGTGTCCTGCATTAAACGCATGTCGATGTCTTCGGTGCGGCCGGTATTGATGCCGTTTTTGTAAGCAGAGACAACTTCGTAACCATCCATACACGCCTGCATTGCGCAGATAGGGTCTATTTCACTGACCCGTACAATCATGCCTTCCTGACGCAGGCTCTGAGCTGAACCTTTGCCAACGTCTCCGTAGCCAACAACCAGTGCGCGTTTGCCGGCCATGAGCATATCTGTCGCTCTTTTCACGGCGTCGTTCAAGCTGTGGCGACAGCCATAGCGGTTGTCATTTTTAGATTTGGTGATGGCGTCATTCACATTGATCGCGGGCACTTTAAGTTGATCTTCGCGCATCATTTCCAGCAGACGATGAACACCTGTGGTGGTCTCTTCGCTGATGCCGTGAATGGTTTTCAGCATCTGCGGGTATTCGTTGTGGATGATCTGGGTCAGGTCGCCGCCATCGTCAAGCAGAAGGTTGGCATCCCACGGCTTACCGTCCTTCAAAATGGTTTGCTGAATGCACCATTCGTACTCTTCTTCGGTCTCACCTTTCCAGGCAAACACAGGTACACCGCTTTGCGCCATGGCTGCAGCGGCGTGGTCCTGAGTGGAGAAAATGTTACAGGACGACCAGCGCACTTCGGCACCCAGGGCTGTGAGGGTTTCAATTAACACAGCAGTCTGAATGGTCATATGAATACAGCCGATGATCTTAGCCCCAGCTAGAGGCTGTTGATCCATGTACGTGTTACGCAAAGACATCAGCGCAGGCATTTCGGCCTCGGCCATTGAGATTTCTTTGCGGCCATATTCAGCGAGAGATATATCGGCGACTTTGTAGTCGGTCATGTCAGTTTCCTTTATTCAGGGTTGAGGGTGGTTGGATTGAGTGAAAAGTTAAGCAGTGGGTGCAAATGCACTCACTTGAACGCGAAAACCATTTCGCTGGGCGAGAAATTGTTGATGAACAGGGGTCAGGCCAGCCTGTGCGGCCCAACGATTTAAATCTTCTGTTTCAAAACCGAGCCAGATATCGGCGCACAGTTCGCTCACCCAGGTTTGTTCGTGGCGACACAGTTCGGCGACCACCAGTAAGCTTTGATCCTTCATCAGTGCGCGGGCCTGTTTGAAAAATTCGGCAGGTGCCGGGATGTGATGTAACACCATGGCGGCGGCGATAAAATCGAATCGCTGGGTGTCCTGCATGGTGGAGAAGTCCTGTTCCAGCAGAGTGACATTCTTAAGGTGGTGCAGGTTTTTTCTGGCTTCACTCAACATTTCCGCGGCATTGTCGATGCCTGTAATCCTTTTGCACATCGGTGCCAGGGCCAGCATCAACGCGCCGTTGCCCGGGCCGATTTCCAGCGCATTGTGTACCGGCAGGTGGCTGTGATTGCGTAAACAATCCAGCACCGTGTTGATATACACCTCTGGGGCGCAGATCAGTGCGGTCTGCTGCGCTAAGGCATCTGCCTGGTGGGCAAAGAAATGTGCGGAACGTTGTACCCTTTGCTGGTAAATCTGCTGCACGTTATGCAGCAGCTCGCCCGCCAGCGTTTGACTGTCAATACAGGCGAACGCAGCCTGGGTGAGCGGGTCTTCCGCGTGGGCGCGCTGGTAAAAAACGCTGGTGCCTTCCTGACGTCTGTTCACCAGGCCTGCATCAGCCAGCTTTTTCAGATGGTGGCTGAGGGCGGGCTGAGGTTTGTCGAAGATGCTGCAGAGTTCCAGCACCGCAAACGAGTTCTGTGCCAGCACGGCAAGAATCTGGGTGCGTAAATGATCGCCCAGTGCTTTCGACAGGCGCACAACATCAACCGCGGCGATGTTGGCGGACTTAGCCTCGATGGTGGGCTGTGTTGGTATGGAGGAAAAGGTCTGCAAAATAGAAAAATGTCTTGGTCTGGATTGCGGGAGCGGCGCATCCTAACAGTCTTGACGGTCTAATATCAAAATATTTTGATATTGATTGCAGGCATGCCAGCTAACCCCTTGCGCATCAGGCTGTGTGTGCCAGTATTCGCAACGATTTTGTTACGGATTCAAGCCCATCGTGAGCCCCAGACTGGACAGTAAACTGCCTGATGTAGGCACCACCATATTCAGTGTGATGAGCGGTCTGGCTGTGCAGCACAACGCCCTCAATCTGTCCCAGGGTTTCCCTGATTTTGATGGTCCCGCACCTTTGCTTGAGCGTGTGCAGTACTACCTGACCCATGGCTTCAATCAATATCCACCCATGACAGGTGTTGATTCATTACGCTACGCCGTGCGCGACAAAGTGGCAGATCTGTATGGTGCCCAGGTGGATGGGGATACCGAAGTCACCATTTCGGCAGGCGCCACCGAAGCGCTGTTCTGCGCGATTGCTGCGGTTGTTCGTGCCGGTGATGAAGTCATTGTTTTTGACCCGGCTTATGACAGCTACGCACCCGTTGTGGCGCTGCAAGGCGGCAAAACAATCCATATTCCGCTGTCAGCACCCGACTTTAAAATCGATTGGAATCAGGTGGCGGCAAAGCTGTCAGATCGAACGCGCCTGATCATAGTCAACACCCCGCATAATCCAACCGGGGCAGTCTGTGGGGAAGCAGATATTGCTGCGTTGCGTACGCTTGCCGAGCATCATGATTTTTATATCCTGGCGGATGAGGTCTATGAACACATTGTGTTTGATGGCCAGGCACACCTGAGTATGTGCCGATATCCGGATCTGTATGAACGGAGTTTTGTCGTGTCATCTTTTGGCAAGACTTACCATGTGACGGGTTGGAAGGTCGGGTACTGTGTGGCACCGCCAGATCTCAGTGCTGAGTTCCGGCGCATACACCAGTTTGTGAACTTTACCGTCAACACACCTGTACAGCTTGGCCTGGCAGATTTTCTGCACGCTCATCCGGAGCATCATCTGCAGTTACCTGATTTTTATCAGCGCAAACGCGACTATTTCTTAACTCAGCTGCAAGGCTCAAAATTCACCTGGCAAGCCAGTGCCGGTACTTATTTCCAACTTATTGATTATGGGGCGTTGAGTGCTGAGCTGGATGTTGACCTGGCAAAGTCTTGGACCGAACAGCTTAAGCTGGCTTCTATTCCTATCTCGGTGTTTTATCAGGACCAGAACTGTGCGCCCAAGTCGCTGCTGCGATTCTGCTTTGCCAAAGATGATGCCACCCTTGCTCGCGCTGGAGAGATTTTGTGCAGCCTCTGACTTTGAGCCTGGTGCAGACTGAGACCTGCTGGCATGATTGCGCCGCGAATCTGACAGTGTTTACCGAGTTGCTGCAGCAGGTGCTTGACGAGAGTGATCTGGTCTTGTTGCCAGAAATGTTTTCTACCGGGTTCACCATGGCAAGCACAGAAGTTGCGCAGACTATGCAGGGTGACGCCGTTGCCTGGTTACACGATAGTGCGGTGGCGTTGCAGAAACACATCTGCGCCAGTGTGGTGATCAAAGATGCTGGCCAGTACTTCAATCGTTTTATCTGTGCGAGCCCAACCGGCAAGCTGTTTACCTATGATAAACGTCATTTATTTCGCATGGCAGATGAACACGAACACTACAGTGCAGGTCAAAATCGACTGGTATTTGAGGTTAACGGGTGGCGCGTATTAGCCAGTGTCTGTTATGACCTGCGATTTCCTGTCTGGCTGCGTAACAGCAACGATTATGACCTGATGGTCTGCGTCGCCAATTGGCCGGCTGCGCGGCAAAGCGCATGGAATACATTGTTGCGCGCTCGAAGTATCGAAAATCAGGCGTTTGTGGCCGGTGTCAATCGCGTTGGCACCGATGGCAACGGCGTTGTGTACGCGGGTGGGAGTGGAATTTATGCGCCAGATGGTGAAATTTTGGCGGAACAGATGGAGCATGCTGATATCATCACCAGGACGCTGAACCCCGCAACCTTATTGTCGTTGCGGTCTTCGTTTCCAGCCTGGCAGGACGCTGATGAATTTCGGCTTGTTGAAAAATAGGAGTACATAAGAAAAGCGATGAAAGTAACAGGAGTAGGCATGAGACGTGCTAAATGGGTGATGATTGCAGGCCTGGGACTTATTGCCATGGCGTGTGGTCAGGCAGATGGTCCGCCGGCATCCACTGGAGATGCAGCAACAACCTTAGCTGCGGTGGAAGAAACAGCCACAGCGCAGCCTGTTCATCCTGGCGAAAAGACTTACCAGAATTATTGTTTTTCATGTCACACACCGGGTTTGAGTGGCGCCCCGAAGACAGGTGATGCGCAAGCCTGGGCGCCGCGCATCGCCAAAGGCGCTGATTTGTTGCTTGCGACAACCATTGAAGGCATCCCACCCGCGATGCCACCACGCGGCATGTGTTTTGATTGCAGCGATGAGGACCTGGCTGCCGCTATCGACTACATGGTCGAAAAGAGCCAGTAGTGAAAAAGATCACCAGAAATTAGTGAGTCTGACCAGAGGGCTTACTGATATGGCCACTCATTGGTAGGAATAGCCCATTAAAATCAAAGGGTTAGCTGTTGGAACGATTCATGCAAAGATTACTCGATCAAACCCGTGGAGGGTTCGATCAAGGTAATTTATCTGGAGATGAGAATATGGCGTACGCGCGACCAGGGGATATCGTTTCCCGACGCAAAGGTCTGGTGATGCATCGAGGGGTTGCCCTGGGTGATGGCCGAGTCCTGCACAACACGCCGTTTCGCGGCGAGCACGTCTGCTCGGAACGTGAGTTTCGTGCCGGCAGGCGGATGTATATCTCAAGCCCTGGTGCAACTGAGCGGCACAGGATGTTGTCCCGGGTGCATACCCACCTGGACAGCGGGCGTGGCTATAATCTGCTGACCAATAACTGTGAACACACAGTTACGCGCGCTACTTCCGGAGATGCCCGCAGCCCACAACTGCATTCATGGGTGCTCGGCGGTGGCTTTGCCGCAGCAACCTTTGCTTTGACCCGTCACCCGATGGCGGCAGCTGCGGCTTACGCGGTGGGCCGCAAACTCAGCGCCAAACTGACCCGGGGAATTCATCGCCGTAAATGACTCAGGACTTTGTGATAGGTTCTAAGTGCCGATAAGACTGGTCATGACGTCTGGTTTCTGTACATTGGCAGCCAAATAACGCGCGGATTAAGTCATGAACCTTCGGGATTTACGCTACCTGGTTGCGGTAGCGGAGCACAAACACTTCGGTCGAGCAGCGGAAGCCTGCTTTGTCAGCCAGCCGACGCTGTCTACACAGCTGAAAAAGCTGGAAGAGACGCTGGACGTGACGTTGATCGAACGCACCAACCGCCAGGTGATGTTGTCCCCGGCCGGCGAGCAGATTGTACAGCAGGCACAGAAAATACTCCGTGAGGTGAACACTCTGACCAGCATGGCGGAGCAATACCGCGATCCGCTGGGTGGTGATTTTCGCCTGGGCATTATTCCCACCATAGCTCCGTATCTGCTGCCAAAAATCTTAAGCCCGATGCGTCGCGCCTTTCCCAATCTGCGCCTGCAACTCACCGAAGGTCAGACGTCGCAGATCACGCGGATGTTGAAACAGGGTGATCTGGATGCGGTCATCCTCGCATTGCCATTGCTGGACGATGCTATTACTGAGCTGGCGCTGTACAACGAGCCTTTTCTGTTTGCGGCGTCCAAAGATCATGCGAAGGCTAAAAAAACGTCGGTAACCCTGGCAGATCTGGAAGACGAAGAAGTGCTGCTGCTGGAAGACGGGCATTGCCTGCGTGATCAGGCTCTGGATGTGTGTAACGCACACCAGGCGGTGGAAAATACCAGTTTCCGTGCGACCAGCCTGGAAACGCTGCGGCAGATGGTCGCGTCCAACGCGGGCATCACCCTGATGCCGAAGCTCGCCGTTACTAAAGGCGGAGGCGTTCGATATATTCCTTTTAAAGATAAGCCGCCGCATCGCATTGTTGGTTTATGCTGGCGCAGTACGTCAACGCGAACCGCTTTGCTCGAAGAGCTGGGCGCCGTGCTGAAGAAAGCAGCGGCGCAGGAACTTACACCCTAACTGGAGAGATCTGCCGCGAGGCTTGCTGCTGTTTCAGCGCTCACATCGACGCTGTAGGGTAGTGCGTCGTGATCGATGCCCATCGCTATGGTTTTGCCTGCTTTGGCGTCAGCAACACTCTGCGCATCCAGTTCGAAGCGCATGAAGTGTACAGCGGATGCTTTTTCCTCATTCGATCGTTCAAGATCGTCATTGGCGTTAGCGTAGATTTTACTGTTATCACCCACCTTCACCCATACTTTATGCTCGATGCCTGGCATGGTGGTCAGCGCGACACGCCGCTCTTCCGCATCCGGGTATTCGATCATGAAGGTGGCTTTCCAGTTGCTGCCGTCAGGTATAAGCGGATTATAAGCGCCGAGTTCTTCTTCTATTTCCGGGCCCGTGAAAATCTTTTCTATACGCAACATTTCCTGCACCTGGTATTTCATGGTGAGGGCGTCTTCAAAATAGAGCGTGGCATGATCGCCCAGGCGTACCTGGCGGTTTTTCTTATGTGCGAGCACTTCTGTGCGAAAGTCACTGCGTTTCTCTGAGTACTCTTCCAGGCTCCATAAATCTGCGCGAGCCAGTTTTTTATTAGATTGCATAAGCTTTTCTTACCATAGATAGAGGATGTTGGGGTTCCTGCTCACCTTCCATGCCATGGGCTATCAGGCGCCCAGCCATGGGACAGTCAGAACCGAACGTATCGGGTTCTGCCTCAGTGACCCGGCGGACCACCGGGCGCGCAATTTTCATCGCTTTTTCGTAGGTTTCTTCTTTTACGGCGTAGGTGCCGTCATGGCCTGAACAGCGCTCTATCGCGGTGACTTCTGTATCTGGAATAAGTTGCAGGAAATCGCGGGTTTTCATGCCGAAATTCTGCACCCGTTGATGGCAGGCCACATGATAGGCAACTTTGCCGAGACTGTGACTGAAGTCTGTTTTCGCAAGCCCTGCTTTGTGGCGCAGCATCAGATATTCAAAGGGATCAAAAAAGTGCGCCTTGATGTTTGCGATATCCTTATCTTCCGGGAACATCAACGGCAGTTCCTGTTTGTACATCAGGACACAGGAAGGAATCGGCGCGATGATGTCATAACCTTCTTCAATGGCCGCGAGGAAGGTTGGCAGATTGGCGTCTTTTAAACTGGCAACTTTATTCAGGTCACCCAGTTCCAGTTTGGGCATGCCGCAACATTTAGCATCCTGCAGAACTTTGACGCTGACACCGTTGTGCTGCAGGACGGCAATCATGTCTTCGACGACCTGCGGCTCGTTGTGGTCGCCGTAACAGGTGACGTAGATGGCTACTTTACCGGTAGTCCGGTCAGTGCTGACAGGTGCTTGCCCGGCGCTGTGGTGCTCAGCAATGCGTTTGGTCAACGGCTTGGCTTCAAAATGCGGAAGTGGCGCATCGGCGTGTATGCCAATGGCCTGCTCGCCGATCTTGCGTAAGGTTTTTGAGTTCGCCGCCGCATTGGCAGCCTGTGCGACACCAGGAATCGAAATGGCGTCAAAGATAGGATCGGTTGAGGTGATTAAACGGTCACGCCACTTGGTGTCCTTTTCTTTAAATTTGTATGATTTGGCACGTAGCATCAGATGTGGAAAGTCTACCGCCCACTCGTGTGGCGGCAGATAAGGACACTTGGTCTCCGCGCACAAATCGCACAGGAAACATTGATCAACCACTTTCATGTAGTCGTCTTTGTCGACGCCATCTACTTCGAAAGTGTCGGATTCATCGACAAGGTCGAACAGGGTCGGGAATGAATCACACAAACTGACGCACCGGCGGCAGCCATGACAGATGTCGAAGACTCTTTCGAGTTCGGTGTACAAATTTTCTTTGTCGTAAAACTCATCGCTACGCCAATCCAGTGGCTGGCGGTTAGGGGCTTCTAAACTGCCTTCGCGCATGATCTATCCTTCAACGGTTAATATGGTTGTTCTTCCTGCAACGGAAAAAAGCCAGAATGAGAGGTACAAAAAGGGCTCGCGGGCGAGCCCTTTTATTTGCTGCGTCGGTGTTTTCCGATGCGCAGACTGCGTTACGCCATTGCGTCCAGGGCTTTCTGGAAGCGGTTAGCGTGTGAACGCTCTGCTTTAGCCAGAGTTTCAAACCAGTCCGCAATTTCGTCGAAACCTTCGTCCCGTGCGGTAGCTGCCATGCCCGGGTACATGTCGGTGTACTCGTGGGTCTCGCCAGCAATCGCGGCTTTCAGGTTATCGCCGGTGCTGCCGATGGGCAGACCAGTCGCTGGATCGCCGACAGCTTCCATATACTCGAGGTGTCCATGGGCGTGGCCTGTTTCACCTTCAGCGGTGGAACGGAAAACTGCGGCAACGTCATTTTCGCCTTCAACATCAGCTTTTGCTGCAAAGTAGAGGTAGCGTCTGTTTGCCTGAGATTCACCTGCAAAGGCGTCTTTCAGGTTCTGCAAGGTATTGCTGTCCTTTAATTCCATAGGATTGGAACTCCAATAATGAGTGGGTTTGTGTTTCTCGCGAGTCACACAGTTAAGTGACTGCTTATAAGTATATGCTTTCAGTTGATAGTGGCTATTTGATTGTCTGAATGGTGGTCATAGGCTGTACCTATCAAATGAGCCCTAAAACTATGCCGCGTCAATGATAATGATTCTTATTTACTTCACAAGAACCGGCTTGCGCCGCGGGTTACAATGCCCGGGTTTGTTGTTCACAGCCTACCAGCGGATACAGTTTATTGGACATTTATCGAGCCGAATTTGTGCGCTTGTTTCGGCTGGCGCTGCCGTTGGTATTAACGCAACTGGCGCAGATGGGTTTTGGTCTTGCAGACACCATAATGGCGGGCCGTGTGAGCTCTGTGGCGCTGGCTGGTGTGGCACTGGGCACGGTGGTGTTCTGGCCGCTGATGTTTCTGGTTGCGGGCATCGTTATGGCTATCACCCCAACAGTCTCTCAACTGCGTGGTGCGGGTCAGCTTGATGTGGGTGGTGAAATTGTTCGGCAGGCTATGTGGATCGCCCTCGTCGGCGGCATAGTTCTGGTTGTTGTGTTCCGCAACCTGGACCCTTTTTACCACTTGATTGGTGTTGATCCTGAGGCGTTGCCAGTCACCAGGGCTTATCTACTGGCGATGAGTTGGGGGGTGATCCCCGCACTGTTCTATTACTGTCTGCGCTATCTCTGTGAAGGTTCCGGCTGGACGATGCCTGCGCTTCTGATTACCGCATCTGCTCTGTTGCTGAAACTGCCATTAAATTACTGGTTCATCTACGGTGGGTTTGGTGTGCCGGCTATGGGTGGTGAGGGTTGTGGCTGGGCGACAGTGATTGCTCTGTGTTATCAGCTGCTGGGTATGTTGCTGGTGGTGCGTTTCTCACGGCTTCGCCAGGCCGGCTTTTTTGAGCGCTTCTCCTCTCCAGACCTTCGTGCCATCTGGCGCTTAGTTGTTTTGGGTGTGCCGATCGGCTTGGCCACTTTCCTCGAGTTTTCTCTGTTTTCATCTCTAACCCTGATGATTGGACGCTTAGGGGTTGAATCTGTTGCCGCGCATCAGATCGCCAGTAACGTAGGTGTGCTTGCCTTCATGGTGCCCTACGCTTTAGGCATGGCGGCGTCTATTCGAGTGGGAGAAAATGTTGGCGCGGGTGACCTTGCCGGTGCCCAGGTCAGTGGGTGGGTGGCGCTCGGTACCTCGTTAGTTTTTGCGTTAGTGGCTGCGCTGACCTTGGTCTTTGGTCGCGACCTTATTGCGTCCTGGTACAGTACTGAAGCTGCGGTTGTGGCGCTGGCAGCACAGCTGATGATCTTTGTCGCCATCTATCAGCCGTTTGATGATCTGCAGGCAACCGCCATGGGGGTGCTGCGAGGCTTTAAAGATACCCGTCGACCTTTCCTCATCGCCGTTATGAGCTATTGGCTCATTGCCTTTCCAGTCTCCTGGACACTTGGCTTTGGTTATTTTGAATCCCTGGATTACGGCGTTTATGGGTATTGGGTCGGGTTGATTGTCGGGTTGGCTATTGCGGCGGCAGCCCTGCTTGGGCGTTTCTTCTACCTGATACGTCGACCTGAAAGGGTCAAGGCATTGGCCGCGGCCTGATGGAGTTGTGGCTGGCCATCACTTTAGTCGCTGCGTTTCTGCAGAATGTGCGTTCTCTGCTGCAGAAACGGTTAACCGGTGCGTTGTCTGTGAATGGCGCGGCTTATGTTCGTTTTCTCTATGCCCTGCCGTTTGCCTGGATGTATGGACTGTGGCTCTGGCAGGGACAATTTGAAGGCTTGAATCCCGAGTTCTGGTTGTACGTGCTGACCGGTGCGGTGGCGCAGATTGTCGCAACTGCCTGTCTGCTGCAGTCGTTTACCACCGGTAATTTTGCCGTAGGCACAGCCTATTCAAAAACAGAAGCTGCACAGGCGGCATTGTTCGGGCTGGTTATACTCAGCGACACCGTTAGTCTGTGGGTTGTTGCCGGTATCTGCTTAAGCCTGGCGGGTGTGGTGTTGTTGTCCGGGCGGGTGGGTCTGGCGGATCTGCTGAAACCCAACAGGGCCATGTGGCTTGGTCTGGCGGCCGGCGCTGGATTTGCGATTTCTGCGATTGGTTTCCGCGGCGCAAGCCTTTCGTTGGATGCGGGCACAGTGCTGCAGCGAGCAGGACTTACCCTGTTGGTGGCGCTGACTTTGCAGACGCTGATTATGGGTACTTATCTGCGCCTGCGCGAGCCTGGTCAGATCAGCAAAGCTTTATCTGCCTGGCGGGTGGCGTTGTGGGTAGGGGTTATTGGTATGGTCGCTTCGGCTGGCTGGTTCACTGCCATGACGCTGCAGAATGCCGGCGTCGTGCGCGCAGTTGGCCAGATTGAACTGCTGTTTACGGTGTTCACGTCGATCTGGCTGTTAGGTGAGCGTTTGCATCGACGCGAAGTGCTTGGGATGATCCTGGTGGTGAGTGGGATCTGGTTGTTGATTTAGGAGAGATGATGGCGGTGCAAGAGACGGACCGAGAGGCAGTGGAATCAATTGTTCACGAAGGCTGGGCTGAGGTGGTGTTGAATCGGCCAGAACGTAAAAATGCCATCAATGGTCCGCTTGGACTGGCTCTGGCTGCACGCCTTACGGAATTGGATGAGCGCGACGATGTGCGCGTCATTCTGCTGCGTGGCGCGGGTGGCGCATTCTGTTCCGGTCTGGATCTCAAGTCGTTTAATGAAGAGCCGCCGCCTGCCTGGGTTGCTGAGTTCCAGCAGATCTGGCGGGGTGCACATCGAAGCCTGTTTAACTGCCGTAAGCCTATTGTTGGTGCGCTGGAGCGTTATGCGATTAATGGCGGTGCTGCGTTGGCGATCGCTTGTGATTTGCTGGTTGTGGGCGAGACGTCGTTCCTGCAGGTGGGTGAGGCGCAGATTGGCATGGCCGCCCCCTACAACCTGGCCTGGCTGAGTTTGCGCCACAGCGAAGCGGCGATGGCTGAGTTGGTGCTTGTTGGCGACCGACAGGCGGGGCCGCGTCTGGTTGAGCTTGGTTTTGCGCAACAGAGTGTGGCTGACGATCAGGTGCTGACTGCGAGTAAAGCATTGTGTGAGCGCATGGCGACCTTCCCGGAGGGTGGGCTTGCGCAGATTAAAAAAGGCATGCGCGCTCGCCTGCAGGTGGATGCGGATAGCTGGTTTGACCAGTTCACCCAGGCGACAGCCTCTGTGTCGGCGCCGAAGCCAAAATCCATGGCTCGGGATCCGCGCTGATTCAACTGGTCAGTTTGTAATGCTCAATGCCGCGGTTGTCGTGGCTGGTATTGCCCTGACCAACGTGATCAATATGGAATACGCCGCTGACCTCGGTAGTAAGTGCAACCTGATCCGCATCGTGCAGCCTGATATAGTCTGACTCAATAAGGTCGTTAGCATCTGCCAGACTGTCTGCAAAGCCAATCTTTTCTGCGGCCTCTTGCCAGCCTTCGACAAACGTCATGGGAATGATCTCAGCGGCATCGCCGCTGCCATAACCAATGGTCAATATGCTTTTGCCTGTCACATCCATACCGTTGCGTAACGCATGTTCCATGCCGGCCGCCATCCATGCGGGTAATGAGGCCGTGTACAGGTTGCCGACTTCTTTCATTTCCTGCTCGCCCAGGGCTGTCATCAGCTCACCAAATCGATCTGTGGTGCGGAAGTGTTTCGCCGTTTTGCTGGATATGGGGAAAAGCTCTTCGCTGATATTACCTTCTTCGACTAAGCGGTAAACATCCGTTTCTGTGGTCAGTTCGCTGATTAACTGGTCTGGATCAACATCAGCACCGTGGGCGTAGTGTAATAATTCCTTATGGTCGTCTGCGTCGCCAAGCGCAAGGGCTAACAGGAATGTGAATGCAAGACCGGTCTCTGCCATACGCTGATAAGGCCGGTGCAGAAAACTGGCCACCATGCCACGCATGAAAGCGCTCGGTTTTTCTTTAACCCTGCCAAACAGGTCCCGCGCGGCAGCCAGCACTTCGTCGATATAACAGGTTGTGGAATACTTGCCATTAAATACCGGAAAATCCCGCGGCTGCAGGTAAGGGCCCTGGCTCTGACCCATAAAACGTACAAAAGGTTTGCGGAAATCCGGGCCTCGATAGGCTGAAGCGCTGCCGCTGGTTTCCAGATCCACACTCAAAAGCTTGGCTTCGGGTTCAATAAGCATGGCTACCGCGCCTGCGCCCTGAGTGGGTTCGCCACTGGATGCGCGCTCGTATTCGGCGATATCTGAACAGACCACAATGGCAATACGGTCGCGGCCGTCGGTGGCCAGATAGCGCGTCGCTGCTTTCATGGCGTATACGCCACCCAGGCAGGCGTGTTTGAATTCCGGAACTTCGCAGGCTCGGCTGATGGGCGCTTGCCCCATGTCGCGCAGAGCCTGGTTCACCATGCCTTTAACGATAATGGCGCCAGCGGAATTGTCCGTGCTGGATTCTGTGCCAAGACCAAGAAAACCGATCTGATTGGCGTTGATGTCATATTGTTTGATGAGTCGCAATACAGCTGTTGCAGCCATGGTGTATGCGTTTTCGTTGGCGCCGCGCATGCGGAAGCTGTTGCCCACAACATTGCGGATTTTCTCAAATTGATCACCCGTCCACTGGCACCACTGGGCCAGCTGCACGCGATGTGGAGGCAGATAGCTGGCAAAACCGCTGATGCCGATACCACCAGTTTTACTGGGGCTGTTGCTATTGGAACGCGCCATGCATTCTCCTAAGGGGGTTGAGCAGAACAAACGCTGCAAAGGCTGCGATGCGCATTCTAACTGCGCTGCACGCGAATATCGAGCAGCCAGAGGTGTGTTGCGCGCAGGTCATGAACGTGCCGGAAGGGCATCGGCAAATTCTTCGTTCAGGCGTGTCCATTCCAACCTGAACCAGGGTGTAAACGGCTCGGAAGGGTCTGACAGCACGGTGTCCAGTTCACCCGGGTCGGCCCAGCGCCAGGCGTCTATTTCGGTGCTGTTCGGGTTTGGTTCGCCATCGTATCGCCCCACATACACGGAGCATAGTTCGTGCTCGCTGCCGAGATCCTGAAAATTTGCCTGATAGGTAAACTTATACAAATAGTTCAGTGGCGTGCTGAAGCCCAGTTCCTGTTCGCAGCGTCGTACGACCGCGACGTCCATGGTTTCCCCTTCACGCGGGTGTGAACAGCAGGAATTTGACCAGAACCCCGGCCACAGACGTTTGCCCGCTGCCCGTTGCTGAATCAAAAGCTGGCCTTTTGAATTAAATATAAACAGGGAAAAAGCGCGGTGTAAGATACCGTCTCCATCATGACAGGCGGCTTTGCTCAGGTAGCCGACAGGCTCGTCCTGTGCATCGACCAGAATCAGGCGTTCGGCATCGTCTGACACTATTGCATTGGTTGCTGCCGCGTTGCTGTTGGATGTTGCTGACAAGATGCGCTCGCCGAAAAAGTGCCATTGTAACGAGTTAGGAGGAGATTTATGAAATTAAGTGTAGCCATGGCTTTCAGTTCACATACGCCTGTGGAATTTATCCGCGATGCGGCGCAACTGGCCGAAGCCAAAGGCGTGCATGGTATCTGGATGCCCGAGCATGTGTTGTTCTTTCCAGATTACGCCTCAACGTATCCTTACAGTGAAAGTGGCCGCATGCCAGGAGATCCCGAAGGCCTGCTTGACCCATTTACCGCTCTGACCTACATCGCCGCACATACCAGGACCTTGCGCCTCGGCACCGGAGTTGCCCTGGTGCCACAGCGTCAGCCCGTCTATACGGCTAAGATGGTTGCCGATGTCGATTATCTGTCTGGTGGCCGGGTTGATTTCGGCGTCGGCGTCGGCTGGTTGAAAGAAGAAATGGATAATCTGGGTGTTGATTATCACCAGCGCGGACGTTTATGTAGCGAATATATCGACCTGATGAAGGCATTATGGGCGCCTGGTGTGACTGAATTCAACGGTGCAACCCAGACTCTCACCGCGTGTCATTTCAACCCTAAACCTGTGCAGAAACCGCATCCGCCTATTTATTTTGGTGGTGAAAGTGCAGCCGCGCTGCGACGCGTTGCCCGGCAGGGCGATGGCTGGTACGGCTATGACCTTTCGCCCCAGGGGTTGGAAGATCGGTTACCCGATCTGGAAGGAGAACTGGCCAATGAGGGCCGCAGCCTGGCGGATATCAACATCATCGTTGGACCCAACCATCATCCGGTGACGCCGGAAACTGTGGCCGCTTACAGTGCTCTGGGTGTAGACCAGCTGGTGGTGCCTGTGTTTGCTTCCAATATCGAGAAGTTAGGCTTGCGAATCGACGCCTTGCTTGAAAATTAGGCGAAAGTCAGGGGTAAACAGGCGTCCATGCAGTCACTTAATTCTTACAAACGTCACATTCTCTCGACAGACACACCTGCTCAGAGCGCTACCATGCGGTGCATCAGAAGTTGGATGTAGTCGTATGAAAGTAAATCGTGACAACGAACAGGCTCGAGTCTGGTTCCGCTCCGAACGAGTGTTCCTGTCCGGCAGCAGTGATTGGTACTTCCAGACCCGCGAGGGCGTGGATGTCGGACCATACGAAAGCCAATTTGAAGCAGAAATTGAAGCAGGTTTGCTTAAAGAGCTGCTGTCTGAGTGTGCCGACGCGCGCGCTGTGCGCGAGGCGATCCGCGAATTTGTGCTGGATTCATACGCCATGGGTCGACCACTGACGCCATTGTTCCGTGATGACGTCAAGTTTGCCGACAAGCTGGCGGTGGCGTCCTGACGCCACCCGCAGCCTCCTCTACTGGCTGATTGTTCCTGACGTATCGAACAGCTTTTGTCTTCGTGCTAAGGCGCTCGCTCGCCAGACCTCGTTTGCGCGATAATACCCTTTCGATTGTTTTATGTTTTCAGGCAGCGTTACGCCGGCTTGCTTCGAGTCGGTGTATATATGCACATCTGGTATTACTTGTTTGGCTTCCTCGAGCGTGTTTACCCGAACAAATGCTATATGTTCACCTATTCCGGCGTATGCATAGTGGCTCCATAGTGTTGTCTTGCACTCAGTGCAATTCACGAGAATTTGGCCCTGACCACTTTCGGACGGAATGGTTTGCTCAACGAGACACCCGGTTAGAACCTGCAGATTGCTGACTTCGATGAGTGCATTAATCGCGAATGCCTCTCCTGTTTCCTGCTGGCACCAGGAACAATGGCAGCAGTGCACAACCATCGGTTCATCCATCATTTTGTAGTGAACTGCCCCGCAACGGCAGCCCCCGCTTTTCGGTAAGAAAGCGTTCATGCTAAACCTTCGCCTCCATAACAATGTTGAATGGGCTGCTTGTCGCTACACGGACCTGGCTGAATCCTGCGTCTGCAAGGATTTCGGAGAGCCTCTCTGGCCCTGCTTGTGCGCCCAATGCCAGACCCACCTCCTGGGATTTTGAACACGGCGTACAGACCGCGGTTGAAGCTGCGTAGTACATTCTACTCACGGGATTAACGTTTTGCGAAACGCAGTCGTTAGCGGCCGGTTCGACAAGTAATAAAGTGCCATCTTCAGCCAGCAGTTTCCGCGCATGCCGTGCTGCTCCGACAGGGTCCCCCATGTCATGTAGACAATCCATGAAACACACCAGGTCAAAATCTCTCTCATTGATGAGCTTTGCTTCGCCAACAATAAAGTTAATGTCGTGCTGGCCCAGTTCAGAGCTCGCCCGCTCTTTCGCCGTGCGTACCGATTTTTCATGATAGTCGTACCCATAAAACGAAGAGTTTGGAAATGCTTTTGCCAACGCAATGGTAGATGCGCCATGGCCGCACCCTATATCTGCAATGCGCGCACCCTCGATCAGTTTTTCTTTTACGCCATCAAGGGCATCGATCCACTCGCCTGTCAGAAACGTTTTGTAGCCTGGACGAAAAAGCGATTCACTGCCGCAAAACAGGCGGTGATTGTGATCTCCCCAAGCCATACCTTCACCAGTTCTGAATATCCTCTCAAATTTGGACTCATCCAGCCAAAGCGATGCCGCAACCTCCAGTGCAGGGATTAAGAAAACCGGACTGTTCTGGTCAACCAGAACTGGAATGTGAGCATCCGGGAGCAGGTAGCAATTCGATTCCGGGTTGTATTGCACGTATCCACCGGCAACCTGGTTGTTCAACCACTCTCTTACATATCGCTCATCTGTCTCGGTTTTCTCAGCAACGGCGCTGCTGGACAGTTCGCCCGCATGCGCCATGGCTGCATACAAACCCAGTTTGTGGCCCAGGTTTGTCATGACACCCGAAAACACTGCGGCAACATCTGCTACCACTTGTCCGGCAAAATCTTCAGTTGTTTTAGTCATGGGTGATCTCCTTATTCAGTTAAATATTCTGGTTACGTTTGGGGCGTCTTCGATACAGAGCTGTTCGATGATCTCCTGCGCTGGTAGTACGTCGTTTATTCGGGCGGAACTGGTGCCCGCATAGAGAGCAAGATCAAGTACCTCTCCGGTTGTCGTATTTACGGGCGATGCGATGTGATACCTCGGAATGTCCCAGCCCGCCGACGTTGTCGCAACGATATCCCCTTCTCCGGGACGCCTGCCGACAGGAGGGCAGCCATGCGCTTCCCATTCCATCAAAGTACGATTTCGAAGTACCCGAACACTTGAGTATGGCCAGTCGCCGTCAAAACACGGGGTCAGGACAGCGTCGTCTTCCACAGCGTTGGATATGGCTTGCTGGTAGCTTGCGTGGGCGTTGCTCTCGCTGGCGTTGACGAACCTGGTACCCAGGGCGGCCATGGTTGCTCCAGCATTCAGTACCTCGGTTACGTCTTTCGCGTTGGCGATACCGCCGGTTGCAACAACGGGAATCCTGTTGTCCATGTTAAGAACGGCTTCGAGTAGCGATAACAAAGGCGTTGATGATTGAACGTGGCCACCCGCTTCAACGCCCTGGCAGATTAAGAAGTCTGCGCCTGCATCTAAGGCCATGCGTGCGCCCTCAGCTGATCCGATCTGGATGCCGAGTATGGATTTAGACCTCTTTATCTGCCTGATCTTGTCAGTTGGCATACCCCACGACAGAGTGATTATCGGTACACCTTCTTCTACAGCCGCCTCGATACCTGGGCACTCAAACGTGCAAACAAAATTTACCGCAAATGGACCGTTACACTTTTCAAGTAAGTAGCGAGCAGTTGTGCGCGTTTGCTCCGGGGAGTGCCATGTCAGGGCGATCGACCCCAGGGCACCTGCGTTGCTTACAGCGTTGGTCAATTCAAGGGAGCATGCGCTGCCGATCGGGGCTTGCATGATGGGGTACTTCAGGTTTTTGAATAGGGACACAGCCAGATCTCAATGTTGTTAAGGCGGCCCCAATTTAGGTTCTGGCGTGATATTGTTCCAATCGAATTAATCTCTATGAGATATTGATAAATTGAATATCAGAAATGTGGATCTAAATCTGCTTTATGTCCTGCACATCCTTTTGCAGGAACAAAATGTCTCCAGAGCCGCAACGAGACTGAATTTAACCCAACCTACGGTCAGCGGTATGCTCGCTAGACTGAGGGATACGTTCAACGATCCCCTTTTCATACGTGTAAGTCACGGGTTGGAACCCACAACTCAGGCGTTGGGGCTCCAGGCTGATCTGGCTAAAATACTCCAGGATATTGATCTGCTGATTCAGCGCAGCCCGTTTGACCCGGGTACAAGCACTGCAACGATTCGCTTGTCTACAAACGACTACATGCAGTATGTGTTTGTGGTGCCGGCATTAAAGAAGTTAAAACAGGCTGCGCCGTTTATGAAGTTTGCAATTGTGCAGCCCGAAATTGGCACGCTCCATAACAAGCTCTTAAACGGAGATATAGATCTTGCCGTTACTATCCCTGAATTCACTGATACACGACTGCGCGAACAGGTGCTTTATTCGGATCAATACGTAGCAGTACTTCGCATTGATCACCCGCTAGGCAAAGGGCAGTTAACGCTGGAGAAGTTTATTGAAATGGACCACGGGATTGTTTCCCCAACTGATGCGGACTTCTTTGGTCCAACGGACGAGGCGCTCGCCAGGTTGGGAAAATCCCGAAGGGTTACGGTTTCGACGTCGAGCTTCTTCAGTCTTATACAGATTATTGCTACAAGCGATCAGGTTGCCCTGTTACCCAGGCGTCTTGCAGAGCAGTTTACAGACCGGCTGCAACTCATAGAGCCGCCTATTGCAGTAGAAGGCTTTAGTGCAATCCTAAGCTGGCATCAGCGCACTGACCTTGATCCCGTGCGGCTTTGGGTCGCGCAAGAGTTAACCGCGTTCGCTGATCAATTTTGAGAGCGATGGTTCGCCGAGATCCAAGAACTACAAATTCAGCCGGTAGTCCTGGTCGATAGAGTCATCAATCGCCTCGGCAACTGTGTTGTCGAGGGATTTGCGCTGTGCGTACATTTCGCCAAACGAAACACGATGACGTCCTTTCCATTGGTCAGGGTTCCACAGCTCTGAGCGTATGAACGCCTTCCCGCAATGAAAGAAACATTCCTCGACGGTGACTCGGATAGCCAGCACAGCGGGCTTGCCGCGAGCCGCCAGTTTTTCTAACACAGACTCATCAGAGGTTAATTCTGCGCGGCCGTTCACGCGCAACGTTTCGTTGGTTTGCGGAATCACAAACAAAACGCCGACATTCGGGTTGGCGATAATGTTCTGGTGGCCGTAAGCCAGCTTGTTGCCGGGTCGATCGGGGATAACAATTGTTTTGTTGTCCTCAACCCAGACAAACCCCGGGCTGTCGCCTTTAGGCGAGGCATCAACACGTCCTTCGGCGTCTGCTGTGGAAAGCACGATAAACGGGCTATCGGCGATAAACGCCGCAGCGAAGTCGTCGATGTGGTCGATGTTTTTTTCACCCAGTTCGGGATGGGGCTCTCCCACAATTTCGCGCAGCTGTTCAATAGTTTTTATTGTTGTCATCGTTGTTCCTGTAGGTTCTGCAGGGTAATTGTTTATCTGTTGCAGGGACATTTGCGCAGCGGTTGCCGCGAGCAGTAAGTGCCAAACCAGGTCCTTGTTGCAGGGATAAGTGCCAAGTCGATGATATTGCCGCGGTAGTGCCCCAGTTGAAATAAGGTAACGCAAAATATCTGCTCCCCAGCGTTTCATTTCAACGCCCGCTTCTTGATCGTAAATCACTAGCGCGGGCGCTGGGCTGAGGATAAGGAAATATCTCGCATTCGGTGTACACGAATTTTTATGCAGAGGGAGTTCCGGTAAATTTGACCGGGCGTGTTCGTGATCCAGGAACCGTTGTATGGAATTCATGTCTTTATCGTAATGAGAATCATTCTCATTAATACTAGAGGCTTTAAGTACAGCACTCAAGGGATGGATGGATTGCTAAACGGAAAACATGAAAGAAAACCGTGGTAACTGGTAGTTTCGGCTGAAGTGATTCTTCGTGGGCGCTTAGTTGGAAGCCATCGCGGTTGCGGAAACTGCCAAAACGACTTTTTCGTCACATAGTTTGTACGTACAGATCGACCTCAGCTGGTTGAGGCTTTATAACGTTTGACCATGTCTGGGTCTGCAAAATTGAAAATATAGGCTCGTCGTGGTCGATCCGAGTGATTGGCAGTTGTGAAGTGCAGTGTCCCAGAATCGTGTATCGTCGCGCCGCCCGCTTTGATCGGACAGGGGACGACCTTACTGTTATCGATATGCAATCCTGGATCAATCAAACCCAGCAGGCGATTTTCATCTTCCGGATCGCCATCCGTGACGCAATGCGGAAGAAGAGTGTCGTGCTTTGGTGATGGGTGAAAGTGCATACACCCATTGTCTTCGTCGGCATCATCGATGGCTAACCAGAATTGCAAGCTCGCGTGCCCTAACGGTGTGCCTGCAGGTGTAAACGGCATGGCCCCGTAGGCATCATCCTGATGCCAGGGTGTTTCGTGCGGGTGGCCGGGTGGTTTGTATAGCAACTGAGAGTAGAAAAAAGCAGGTTCCTCCCAGTCTCTTAAACGAGCGGCTATTTGCTTACCCGTTTCAAGTGCCTTGTTAGCTGCAAAAAGTGGATGGGCCTTCTCCGGGAACACAATCTGGCGCGTTTTACCGCCGAGGTACCGATCGCTGGCCTCGCCATTGTCGCTACTAGTTAGAACTTGATCGTAAGCACGTCGCAGTTCCTGCAAGGTCTCATCATCGATGAGGCTTGGCAGGCTCACAAATCCATTGAGAAGGAAAAAATCCACATCTGTGTCGGTGATCATGTGTTGCTCCTTTGGTTGCTAGATACCAACCTGCAATTTGGCTGAGATGGTGCCCGCAGTGGCTTTGACCTTTTCGATGGCAGCTTCAATGTTGATCATCGAATTTTTGAGTTTCATGAACGGCACGGTAAGGCTGGCGATAGCGCCCGGGTGTGTGGCATCAAAAATAGGTGCGCCGATATCTACCACGCCATCAACGAAATCACTCTCGTGGGCGATGCAACCTTCTCTGCGAGCAAGATCAGCATCCGCGGCAAATTGCTCGATATCAACACCGTCGGGCACAGTGGAAAGTAACTCGTTGAACAGGGCTGTTCTAACCTGTTCCGGCTGGAAGGCATAGAGGATACGCCCAGATGTGGATTGCATAATATGTCTTCTATAGCCAATTTTGAGTGAAAGCCCAACATCCCCAGGACTTTCCAGCCTTGCCACAACAACCATTTGTGTGCCTGTTCGGACGACCAATTGGCAGGATTGCTGCAGTGCATGTGTAAGCTCATGCATAAGGGGTAGGGCGACGTCGTACAGATTCCTGATTGGAGGGTTGCGCATACCCAGCTCAAATAGTTTGTTGGTCACCGAAAAGCGCTCATCCAGTGATCTTTCGATATACCCTTTGTTTTCAAGCACGTGCAGCATGCGATAAATTTCATGTTTGGATCGATCGAGCGCCTTAGCAATGGCGGCCATGTTGAGGGGCTCATCAACCGAAGACAGAAACTCTATAATCTCCAGGCCTTTTTCCAGGGCAGGCGCTTTGTATTCAGGTTTTTTTACGGCGGTTACCAATCTGAGTTCTCCTGGAGGTGCAGACGAATAAATGACCGTAATCCAGACGACCTAAAAATCCGTATCAAATTCTACTGCGATGGTCGTGACGTGTTCACTCAGGCAGCGTTCGGGTATGGTGATTTTCAGATCACCGAGCGGATCGGTCGCTGAAATCATGTCCATAATAGCAATATGGGTTTCGAAGGGTAAGTCGTTGCCCGTTGCTAGATGTCTGATAGATTTAACTTGTTTAACCGGCACACCTCTAACCGTCACCGGACACACTGGGTGCATCAGCAGATGTAGATAGAGGGTTTTGTTGTTGCGTGTGCTTGGGCCGTAAAACTGCCAGGGTTGCAGGCCAGGGCGGGTGCCGAAAATACTATCGCCGTTGTCCTGGGTCCATAAAGTTATGTCTCTCCAGATATCTGCCTGTTCTTTCCTGAGGTCCCCCTGGCCGTCCGGGCCTACGTTCAGCAGCAGGTTTCCGCCACGCCCTCGCACTTCGCACAGGGTTTGAATCAAGTCGGTGGACGATTTGTAGTTAGTGTCTTCGCAGTTAAATCCCCAGCTATCGTTCATCGTTAGGCAGGTTTCCCATTCACCTTCAGGTGGTGTGGGTGGGATAAACTGCTCCGGGGTTGCATAGTCGCCGTATCCGGGTAGCCGATCGTTGATAAGGATGTTCGGCTGTAAATCGTGAATCAACTGCTCAAGTTCGCCGCAATGCCAGTCTTCCTGGCTGTGTTCCCAGCCGCCATCAAACCAGATGATATCAATTTCACCATAGTTGCTTAGCAGTTCCGTTAGCTGTGTTTTCAGGTAGATGATGTATCGCTGCCATTGCTCGTTGGTCGCCGCGGGATATTGACCAAATTTATAAGGTTTATGCGCTTCTGTGAATGCTGGATAGTCTGGATGTTTCCAGTCTGGCAGAGAATAGTAGAACCCCACGCGCATGTTGTATTTTCGACACGCTTCGACAAACTCCCCAACAGGGTCGCCCTGATACCCACCCATACGAATGGAGTAGTCTGAGCAGGATGTTGGCCACATGCTGAAGCCGTCGTGATGTCTGGTTGTCAATATCGCATAGCGTGCGCCAGCCGCTGCTGCAGCGGAGACCCATTTTTCCGGAGAGTTTGGTTCCGGGCAGAATTTTGCTGCATTGGTGTGATAAACATCTACGTCCAAAACCTGGCCGCGGGGCAGTGAAAAGATACCGCCAACCAATGGCCATGAGGCCTCCCAACCAGCGTGTGCGTAGTGACCCCAGTGCACAAACAACCCAAGGCCTGCATCTTTAAACCAGTTCATCTACTTGCTCCTTAATGTTGCACATGTTCCTGCCAAGCCACGGTTCGCTGTTCCTGGGTGCCGAGAGATTCAATGCCCAAGCGAATTGTTTGAGCAGGTTTCAGGTAAATCGGCTCGGGTTTCTGACCCAGCCCAACGCCTGGCGGTGTACCGGTTGAAATAATGTCACCAGGTTGCAGACTCATGAATTGTGATAGATAGCTGATGAGATAGGGCACCTGAAAAATCATGGTGTTGGTTGAACCGTCCTGATATCTATGGCCGTCCACGTCTAACCATATGGCCAGATTGTGCGGGTCGGATATTTCGTCCCGGGTTACCAGCCACGGTCCAATTGGCCCAAAGGTATCTGCGCTCTTTCCTTTCACCCACTGGCCGGTTCCCTCCAGTTGGAACGCGCGTTCAGAAAGATCGTTGATGACCGTATATCCTGCGACGTGCTGATATGCAGATTCAGGTCGCACATGGCGTGCTTCTAGGCCGATAACAACGCCGAGTTCCACTTCCCAATCGGTTTTTTCCGAATTTCGAGGAATAATGATGTCGTCGTAGGGCCCACAAATTGCGCTGGTGGCTTTCATGAAGACCACAGGTTCTGCAGGCGGCTCAACCCCGGTTTCTCTGGCATGGTCAGAATAGTTAAGACCGATGCAGATGAACTTGCCTACGTTAGCCACGCAGGGCCCAATACGAGTGCCTTCGTCGAAACGAGGCAAGCTATTGAGATCCAGTGCGCTTATCAATGCGATGCTGTTGTCGGAAAGCGTTTCGCCAGAGATGTCGCTGATTACGGAACTTAAATCAACCAGACTATTGTCCGCTGCGATGACGCCTGGTTTTTCTCTGCCGGGATCGCCACATCTAACCAGTTTCATTGTACGTCTCTCCTGTTCATGCGGGCGCTCTTTTGTTTGCTGACCTAATTTGACCATCCACCGTCGATGACGTGGGTGGTGCCTGTTGTGAAGCTGGCTTCGTCGCTGGCGAGGTAAACTGCCAGTGCAGCAATTTCTGCTGGCGTACCGAGTCTCCCCATAGGCTGTCTGCTGATGAAGTTTTGACGAGCAGTTTCGGGGTCGTCGAATTGCTGTATGCGCTCATGCAGAGACGGGGTTTCTACGGTACCGGGGCAAATTGCATTGCAGCGCACACCATGTTGTACAAAATCAGCGGCAATCGATCTAGTTAAGCCAATCACGGCTGCCTTGGTTGTGCCGTAGATAAATCGATCAGGTACGCCGCTAACTGAAGAAGCCACCGAGGACATATTGACAATTGACCCACGCCCCTTTGAGAGCATGTTGGGTAGCCATTGTTTGATAGTGCGATACATGGAAATCACATTGAGATCGAACGAGCGAGACAGCGCGTCTTCTTCTGTTTCTAGCAAGCTGCCGTGATCTACGAACCCTGCACAGTTGAACAATATATCGATATCCGGATATTTCGAGGCAACTGCGGAAATGTCGACGCTGCTGGTTACATCCATTTGCTCGCAACGCATGTCCGGAAATTCATTCTGCAGCGCTGCAAGCAGTTCCGGGTTGATATCCGTTGCGATGACGCAGGCGCCGTTGGCATGAAAGGCTGCCGCGGTTGCGCGGCCAATACCCTGTCCCGCCGCTGTGACCAAAGCTGTTTTATCCTGTAATCGCTTTGTCATTGATGGTTTTCCTGAGTGCTAAGGTAAAACTCTGCAGCATTTGTACCCATGATCTGGTCTCTCTCCTCCTGTGGAAATTGTTCGAGCCAATGGCTCATGCAGCGCCACCAGCGATCGTAATTACCTGCAAGATTCAGCACCGGCCAGTCGCTGCCCCAGATCAGTCTGCGCGGACCAAACCAGTTGTAGAGCTGGTCCATAACGGGATAGATATCTTCGTCGCACCACTTTGGGCCAGCCTCAGTAATCAAGCCGGATACCTTGCAGTAGGCGTTCGTCTGTTCTGCGATCAGTTTCATATCCTTAGTCCAGAGCTGAAAGTTGCCAGCTGCGATATCCGGCTTGGCGCCATGATCAATCACTGTTTTCATATCGGGATAGCGGTGCAATAACTCAAGCAGATAACTCAAATGAACCGGCGTCACCAAAGCATCGAACGTGAGTTGCAGAGATTGCAGCTTCTTAAAAGATGGGTGCAAAACATCGCTGAGCATCCAATCCCTGTCCTCGATGTCTTGAATCATCGGCCTTATGCCTAGAAAAGCGGTGTGTTCTGAAAGCGCTTCCAAGTCGTTTACTGCTTCTGCAGAGGTCATATCAACCCAACCCACTACGCCCGCTATGGTGTTTGAAGCTTCTGCGAGTTTTAAGAGAAATCTGCTCTCATCAACAGTGGGTGCCGCCTGCACAACAATGCTTGCATCAATCTGATGTGTCGTAAGCATTGGTGTAAGGTCCGGAGGCAGATAGTCGCGGTACAACACCTTGTCAGCAGGTGACAGCCAGCCATAGTCGCCTCGATCCAAGCGCCAGAAATGCTGGTGTGCATCAATTACAAGCGGTTGTGGTTGGCTCATTGTTGCCAGGCACTCCCGTTTGGAAATTCGTATGTCCGAATACTTTCCGCGTGCATTTCAACGCTGTAGCCAGGCAACTCCGGCATTACGTAGTGCCCGTTGCTGATCCTGATTGGATCAATGAAATGCTCGTGAAGATGGCCGGCATGTTCAATCATCTGTCCGTTGTTGCCGCCCGATATGGCAATAGTGTCAAAGTATGAAAGGTGTTGAACGTATTCGCATAGGCCGACCCCGCCTGCATGTGGGCAGACGGGTTTGTCATAGGCTGCCGCCATCAGGAGGACGGCAAGTACTTCATTGACTCCGCCCAGGCGGCAAGCGTCAATCTGTACAAAGTCGATGGCGTCCGCCTGCAGAAATTGTTTGAACATGATCCGATTGTGGCAGTGTTCCCCAGTGGCAACTTTTATCGGTGCGACGGCTTGTTTGATTCTTGCGTGGCCGAGGATGTCGTCAGGATTTATCGGTTCTTCGATCCAATGTGGTTTGTAGGGTGCCAACGTATTAACCCAGTCAATGGCCTGGTCTACTTCCCAGACCTGATTGGCATCGATCATGAGTAGCAGGTCGTCGCCCAGTATTTTCCTGATCAGAGCGCAGCGGCGAATATCGTCCTGTAGGTCCCGGCCAACCTTAATTTTAATGGCTCGCCACCCTTCAGCCGCTGCCTGCCGTGCGAGTTTTTCTATCTGCTCATCAGGATAGCCAAGCCACCCCGCTGAAGTTGTGTAGGCAGGGTGACCTATTCTGGCAAGTTCTTGGATACGTGCCTCTTTATGCGGCAATTGTTGCTTGAGAATATCCAGTGCTCGATCAGCGTCCATAACATCGCGGATGTTGGTAAAGTCGACGGCACTGACCAACTGTTCCGGCGACATATCGGTCAGGTAGCGCCACAGAGGTTTGTCCGCGCGTTTTGCGAGTAAGTCCCAGACTCCGTTGACCACAGCTGCCGCAGCCAGATGCACAACACCTTTTTCGGGCCCCAGCCATCGCAGCTGGCTGTCACCTACAATTGACCTCCAGAATCCCGCGAGGTCTGCTTCGATGTCGTCCAGTTTAAGGCCGATAACTCTGGGTGCTAACGCCTGAATTGCGGCCACACATAATTCTGTACCACGTCCAATGGTGAAGGTAAGTCCACATCCATAGAGCGTGTCGTCTGATGTTCTGATGGTGCAGTAAGCGGCGGAATAGTCGGGATCAGGATTCATGGCGTCTGAGCCGTGCAGGAAGCGCGAGGTTGGGAAGCGGATATCGTTAACCTCGATGGCGCTTATGCAGGTAGTCATGCTGAATCTTCTCTTTATGAAATATTATTTTGCCAGTTAAACATAACATCGATTGGCCAACCACTTGGTGCCAGATGACTGTCTGAAGCATGTTTTGGGCTTCAGACAGCGCTCCATAACCATCTGCGAAATCAGTTATTACCGATTATGATCACATGGAAAGTCGATCTTGACAATATGGTTGCAATTATGAAACGCTAATTCACTAGCGAATGGTAGAGAGATATGCCCGCTTGTACTGGGGCACCAACAATAGGTGAGGGGAACCAGAAATGTTGAACTGTAGTGGGGGTTTTAACCGACTCATAATCACGAGCGTGGCTTTTATCGGGGCTTTTACTAGTCAGCCGGTGATGGCCGCAAGTGATTCCGGTCCGGCGGTACTTGAAGAAGTCATCGTAACCGCAACAAGGCGAGAGGAGAGCGCGCAGGATATACCGGTTGCGGTTTCGACCTTCAGCGGAGCTTTTCTTGAAGAGCGGCAGGCCTTTAATCTTGAAGATCTTGAGGGTCTGGCGCCCAATCTGCTTATCGATCCGGTGAATTTCCAGTCAGGTGGTGCGTCTATCACGATCCGCGGTATTGGCGTGTCTGATATTGATCGAACTTTCAGTCCAGGTGTCCAAGTCGTCGTTGATGATGTCACCTTTGGTTCATCTACTGCCAACCAAATGCTGAATGTGCTGGACGTAGAACGCATTGAAGTACTGCGTGGGCCCCAGGGAACGCTTTTTGGCGCTAATACGATTGGCGGCGCCATCAGCGTTACCCGTAAGAAACCCACCGGAGAATTTGGTGTTGAGGGTAAGGTAACCATGGGTGACGACGATCGACGGGATATCCACGTGTCGGTTGAGGCACCTATCATCGATGATATCTTAGCGGCTCGGATCTATGTCGCTGATCTGGAAGATGATGGTCCATTTACCAATGTATTCAATGGTAAAAGCCGGGGTTTCAGAGATTTTTTTGCAGTCTCGCCCAGCGTGCGATGGACACCCACAGATTCATTCGAAGCAACTCTGACCTACGATTACTACAAAAATGAAAGCGACTGGGGGATGGCCATAAACACCTCCGGGCCAAGTGAACTAGCCTGTCTTGGCTTGCTTTTCCCTGCAGGCGCCATTTCTGGTGCTGTGCCAGGTGTGCCCATTTGTGATGACCCGAACCGAGATCTGGAAGAGGTTAACCAGGATCATCCGACCGGCCAGAAAGTCACTTTGAATGCCGCGACCATACATATGAAACTCGATGTTGACGCCATTACGTTTGAATCCATTACCGGCTGGAGTCGCAGCAAAGAGAATCGAGAAACAGACTTTGACGGCGCACCACAACCGGTATTTGCATCAAAACAATTTGCTGATGAAGAATCGATCTCCCAGGAGTTTCGCCTCAGTTATGATCATTCCGAAAATCTGAATATGCTTTTTGGGTTTTACGGGGCTGCTTCGGACTGGTTGCGCGGCGCAAACTCTCTGTTTGTGTTTGACCTGTTCGGTTTTCCACCAGGCACCACGGAGATTGTATCTCGCGAGCAGGAAACCAAGAATATGGGGGTTTTTGCGACAACCAATATTGCCCTAACAGATCAACTCGAACTGTCTTTAGGCGGGCGTTACTCCTATGAGAAGCGCGAATTTATCTACCGAAACGGTTTTAACCAGGTCGGCGGGGGATTCTGGCCAAATGCTCCAGGTTTCGATAATTTTGCCGCAGGCAGCGAATCCTGGACCGAATTCACGCCTAAGGTTTCTGTCCAATACACCGTGCGCGATGATTTGATGGCCTATGTGTCGTTTGCACAGGGTTTTAAATCCGGTGGTTTCAACGGTCGTGGCAACTCTCAGGATACTATTGGCCCTTATGATCCAGAACTGGTGGATTCCTATGAGATCGGCATAAAAAGTCAGTGGTGGGGCAATCGGTTGCGATTCAATGCAGTTTACTTCCAGACAGATTATGAAGATAAACAGGAAGAGATTATCCGCAATAATCCAAATACCGGTGCGACAATTACAGCGGTTGATAATGCTGGTAACGTAGAAATTGATGGCGTGGAAATTGATTGGGCCTTGTTGATTAATAATCTGACGCTTTCCGGTTCGGTGGGCTACCTGGACGCTGAGTACAATTCGTTTGTATCTGATGGGATTGATAACGCGCCTTTTATTATTATGCGTCGCGCGCCGGAATGGACGTTTTCAGTGACTGCACAATATGCGATGGAAGTTGGTCCAGGTGAACTCCGCGCGCTGATCAGCTACCGCTATATTGATGACTATCAATCGAATCTGAGTCCGGGCGCTAACGCAGGCGGCACGCTGTTTAATGATCCGCGCGGTCTGGTTGAGCCGGAGCCGATTCTGGATGCATCAGTTACCTACGCTTTCGAAGTCAGTGATCACGAGGTTTACGTGAGCGCCTTTGGTAAGAACATTACCGATGAGGTGTACATTAATGGCCACACTAATGTTGGCAATCTCTGGTCAATGGGCAGTGTCCACCCTGGCAGTGTATTCGGCTTTGAAATTGGCGGTAAGTGGTAGTGTTGAGTGACGTAAAATTGGGCAGAACTGATTTGCGGGTTGGCCCTCTGAGTTTGGGTGGCCTTTTCGTGTCTTCTTATGGGGCCGAATTTGAAGACGCAAAAAAGGCGGTTCAAAGAGCCGTAGATCTGGGCGTGTCCTACGTAGACACTGCGCCGATGTACGGTAACAGTGAACAAGTCTTAGGTCAGATACTGCCGCAGATCGATTCGAAGATGGTGGTGTCAACAAAGCTTGGCGCCAGGCCTCAGCCTTTTGACGCCAAAGACGCGAGAGCGCTTCGTCAGTCGTTTGAAGAAAGTTGCCGTCTTTTAGGCCGCGATGAAATCGACGTCCTGATGATTCACGAACCCGATAGGCCCAGACAGTTTGATTGGTGGGACGACTTCAGCAGGGCCGAAGGTCCTGTCATGGAAGTGCTTGAGTCACTAAAGGCTGAAGGTAGAATTCGATACCTGGGTCTTGGTGGAACAACCGCCTATGAAATGGCAACGCTGTTGCGAACCGGCAAGTTTGACGTTGTCCTGACAGCGTTTAACTACAGCATGCTGTGGCAGGAAGCTGTCCATGAGCTGTTACCCGCAGCGCGTGACCACAATGTAGGTGTCGTTATTGGGTCGCCTCTGCAGCAGGGTGCGTTGGCGCGCAAGTGGGACGAAGTCGATACCGGCGCAACATGGCTATCAAAGCCGCGTCGCGAACAGTTTCAAGCGCTTTATGCGCTGCTGGATGAAATTGATATTCCATTACCCGAATTAGGTCTGCGTTTTGTGCTCTCCAATCCGGATGTGCATACGGTTTTAAGTGGTGTGCGTAGTGCGGCTGAGGTGGAGCAGAATGTCGCGGCGGCCGAGAAGGGTGCGTTGCCAGAAGATTTGTTAGGCCGTATCAACGAGATTGCGGCGATGGTGCCATTCAGACCGCATGATGAACCTTTTGCTTTGCCGTTTGGCCGCGCTTATCCAGGCTCGCCACCGGCTGGACCGATCTAACAGATCTCAGGAAACAAATATGAAAGCAGCCATAGTGGTTGAGCCTGGTTCACTGGAGCTTCGTGAGTTGCCCGTGCCGGAGACAGAGGATTATCAGGTGCTTTGCGAAAACCTCTTCGGTGCAGTCTGTGCAGGCACGGACGGGCATCTTATTGCCGGGAATTTGCCAATTCCTGGCATATCTTACCCACTTATTCTTGGGCACGAGTCCATCGGACGTGTTGTAAAAGTGGGCAACAAGGTCAAACACTTCGAGATAGGGGATCTCATTACACGCACGGGTTATCCGGGTTCTGATGACCTGCCTGCGTTCTGGGGTGGGTTTTCTGAATATGGTATCGCTACAGATGGGCTGGCTATGCGCGACGATGGCGTCGATGAGGAGCAGTGGTCTGCACACATGATTAATCAGGTGCTGCCAGAGGGCACCAATCCCGCCGCGGCAACAATGATGGTGACCTGGCGCGAAACCTACTCCTATATCTCAAGGCTTGGTGTCAAGCCTGGTGCATCTGTGCTTATCATTGGGTCTGGTGGCAATGGATTTTCGTTTGCAGTCATGGCCAATGCGCTTGGCGCTGGCACTGTCACCATGATCGGTAATCCGCACTGGCAGACGACTTGTGAAAAGGCTGGAATTGATGCGTTACTCGACTACAGGGCATCTTCATTAGAGCAGGATGTAGCCGCAGCAGCAGGTAGTGGTTTTGATTTGGTCATAGATGCGGTAGGCAGGACCGGTGCACTTGAAAAAATGATGCCCTTTCTTGCGCCTGACGGAAGGGTTGGGATCTATGGAATAGAAGATCTGGGTGATCGCATGGCTTATCTCAAAGTGCTTGCAGATGCCGGTGTTACGGTCCACGGCCCTGGCGAGTACAGTGAAGCTGAAGCGCACACAAAGGTTGTTGAGCTCCTGCAGGCGGGTCAGCTGGATGCGAGTATCTGGTTTGATGTCACTGCGCCGAAATTGCTGACTGAGTTTCAGTCTGCAATTGACGATATCAATGCAAAGCGTTCGCTCAAGGCAGTGATAAAAATAAAGGATGCAGCAGGCTAACCCGATTGCCCGCTAGTCCAGGTGGAAGACCTCTTCCATCGGCGCCCACCATTCACCTGGTTCCGCGGTGTCGACAGGCTCCTGGCAGGGGTCTGTGAGTATCCACCAGCGCTTTGTGGCCTCGTTCGCGGCGACTTTGGCCATATCAGCTTCATAGTCGCTGCCCGTATATTCCATATAGCTGAATAGCCGGTCATCGCGTAGGAAAATAGAATAATTCTGCACGTTTGCAGCCTTCAGGGTGGCAAGCACCTCTGGCCAGGCATCTGCGTGCAGGGTTTTGTACTCTGCGATTTTTTCGGGTTTGACTTTTATAATGGTTGCAACGCGTTGCATGTCATTCTCCTCTTATCAGAGCCGTTATGGTTGGGTGGGAACTGATGCATCTTTGTGGAGCAGTTTTTTTTCTTTCAGTGTCGTCCACAGCGCCGTGGGAATCGGCTTGGTTAGAAATTCGTTGTTCTGCTTCACTTCCGTTGCACTTCGCGCACCAGGTATGACGGATACAACCAGAGGATGCGCCAGCACAAACTGCAAGGCGGCTGCAGCCAACGGCACATCGAATTGCAGGCAGACTTCCGCCAGTTTATCCCTACGAGCCATAATGGCGTTAGGTGCCGCTATGTAGTCGTAGTGACTGCCGCCGGCGAGGAGGCCGGAATTGTAGGGACCGCCAATCACGATGCTGACACCTTTTTCGGCGCAGAGGGGAAATAATTTCTGTAACGGCTCTTGCTCTAACAAACTGTATCTGCCGGCTAGAAGTATTACATCGATATCGGTTTTTTCCAGAACTTCCAGGCACACATCAATTTCATTGACGCCAATGCCAATCGCATTTGCTCGGCCTTGTTCCTTCAATTGAGCAAGCGCCGGAAAAGCACCATCCAGCGCCTGTTTCATTATTCTGGCGTGAGTGCTGCCGTGAGTGAGTCGGCCTATGTCATGGACATATAGTATGTCGAAGTTTTCAACACCCAGACGTTGCGCGCTTGACGCTACCTGTTCAAACACGCCTTCTGCGGAATAGTCGAACACCTGTCGAAAAGGTAGTGGGTCGATAAAGCCGTGGTCTGGCTCTTGCCCGGCTTCAACCGGAATCAGCGTTCTACCCACTTTGCTTGATAGCGCAAACTCATCTCTTTTCTGGTTTTGTAAAAAGTGGCCCAGCCGCACCTCGCTGCGGCCGTGCCCATAGTGAGGCGCCGTATCGAAGTAGCGCATGCCGCTGCGCCATGCTTCGCTCAGAGTGTCAGCGGCGTCTTGATCGTCGATGCGTGTATAGAGGTTGCCGAGTGCCGCGCAGCCCATCCCCAGTTCGCAGATTTTGAGCCCTGTGCTGAGGATGTGCCGTGAATTCATGTGGTCAGGGTTTGATGGCCGCATTAGCTGTCACTTCTGTAAGCTTGGCGTCGATCTCGCCGCGCAAAGACTGCTGTACTTCTCTTGAAATCGGATAGTTCCAGAAGAGCGCCATCGCCAGGAGCGCCAATGGCGCACCTGCAAAAGAAAATACCGCTCTGAATCCAAGCATGGCTTCTTCAGTATGCACCGGGTCCGAAGGCTCAAAACCAAATAACGGAGGCAGTGACGTTCCAACCAGTATGCCCAGCGCGATACCTGCTTTGTTGATCATGCCGAAGACCGAGAAGTACAGGCCGGTTCGCTCCTCGCCTGTTTTTGTCTTATCCAGATCAACAACGTCAGCCAGCATGGAAGGCGCAAGGAAAAACCAGGCACCCAACCCTACACCTTCGAGCGCAATCAGAATGACCGCTGGCACCACATCACCTTCTTCGAGGAAGAAAAACCCTGCACATATCATTATCAATAGAGGCACAGTGGCTGCGAATGCTCGGTGTTTGCCATAACGTTCAGAAACCTTAAGCCATACAGGTATTGCTGCAATGCCAATGATGTTCTGCAGAAAAAGTGCGATTGGAAATGCATCTGGCCGAACAATGACTTCGGTCATAAAGATCAGGTTTAGTGAAGCCGCGATAACCAGTGACATCATGAGCGCTGTGAAGCCGATGGCGAGCCTGATCATAGGGCCGTTGTTGACCAGCACCATGGCTTTTTCTTTCCACGTACCTTGCTCCTGCGTAATCCGCTCCGGTTCGGCCTCGGGTAGGAGTTTCAGTGTCAAACCGAAAGATAGCGGTTGAAAAATAAGGAAGATGACCGCCAGTGCAAGCATGGTCGTTGCCGTGCCGGGATAACCCATCTGCGTCAGGATAATTGCAACGGTGAGGGCAGCTAATGTGCCAGCCATCTCGAAGCCACCTCGCCAGGCTTTAATAACCGAGCGGTCATCGTAGTCTTTGGACAATTCCGCGCCCCAGGCTCGGTAGGGGATGTCGATAAGTGTGTAGGCAAAATAGAGGATGAAAAACCAGACAAACAGGTACATCCCATCGGGGTTGTCGCTAGGCACAAACAACATCCAGACTGCGAGCATGAGTAGCGGAATGCCAGCCGCAACATAGGTCTTACGTCGACCGAATCGGGATTTAGAGTTGTCGCTTAAAACGCCAATGAGGGGGTCGGTGATGATGTCGAAAATGCGGGTGGCAAAAATTGCAAAGCCGACGACTGCGAGCGACACCCCTAGATCGTTTGAGTAAAAACTCGGGATGAAATTAACCACTGGCATGTAAGCGATGGAGTAAGGGAGCGCTGGTAAGGAGTAAAGGAGTAAGTGTTTGCGGCTGATATTCATCTGATTGCCCCCGGTTTCATTGGGTAATTGGTGAATACGCCAATTCCATTTATAAAACACTAATTTAAGTTTGAATAAGATAAGTCAGGTGCAAGGGAAGTTCAACCGCCATATAGGGGGATATTTGGCTATGGTCGACTCATACTTATCGGAGCTAATGCTTGTTGTTTGGTTTATGCATAAAATAATGTTTCGCAAGTAATTTGGAGTTGCTCAGTGCTTACCGTTTCAACGCAGATAGTCATCACTGCGCCGATAGAGAAAATCTGGGACGTGCTGACTGACCTCCCCGGTTATAACCATTGGAACCCTTATCTAAAGCATTCCCGTGGTACTTTGGCCCAGGGTGAGACGTTTAGGGTTATTGCAACCAGCGCTGCAGGTGATGTGACGCCCCTGGAGGTCAAGGCCGAGCGTGTGGAACCCTATGAGATGATATGGATCGGCGGGCTGGAGGACTTGAACCTGTTCCGCGGCGAGCACTGGTTTGTCCTTAAGGATCAAGGAGATCGCGTTTTTCTAGAGCATTTTGAGCACTTTACGGGTGAATTAGCCGACGATATTCTCGGTCGCATCCGCCCCGCGGTGGAAGATAATTTTTCCAGAATGAATAGCGCGCTAAAGAATTACGTTGAGCAGGGCGGCTAATCGCGCTAATTAATGATGCTGCACCGCTCCCTGATCCAGGGTTCTTTCAGTATCGTTGACCGATGCGCTGCTGCTTCCAGCCCTTGTTGTGGTTGACCGCGTCAGGTGTTCGCGCAGCACATTCCTGTAAATGTCATATCTGGGCAACTGCGCGCTGGTCAGGAATGCGCTCATTTCATGGTCCATTTTCTTAAATTGCCGGTTGGTCACGGTTGTGAGCTTGCGCTCCAGGTCCGCGATGTTGTTTTGTCTCAGCAATTTGTTCGTTGCAGAGGTTTGATTCTGCGCAAGGTGAGTAATGGCCTCTCGAAAAAGAGGTAGCTGCTCGTCGGTAAGGCCAATATTAACAGCTGCCTTGAGAACTTCGGGCTGCAGCCAGGGTGCTGTGCTCTGGGCCGCGTGGCTCATGATCGGAACAGCCATCGATAGCAGTATCATGAAAAAGCGGTACATTGGGCTTCGACCCTGCGAATGATATCCGTTGTACGCTACCAGAACCCGACTCGGGCTAAAAGAAGTGATGAATTGCCAGGCATCTGACTTAGCGGAAGGGTTTTTATGGCAGATGCAAGTTGGCCATCCCATCGGTAAGATACGCGCCTCTTTTATCCGGCGTAATTAATTCCAATGTCGCAGTCAGGTGATCAGGCGCAATTCTCGTTCGTCTCCATGGAGCACGACATCCTTGAATTGTGGGAAACCACAGGTGCGTTTGCACGCTCTTTAGAAAACACCAAAGATAAAAAGCCTTATATCTTTTATGACGGCCCACCCTTTGCAACCGGGTTGCCGCACCATGGTCACCTCGTGGCCAGCACGATTAAAGACATTGTGCCGCGCTACTGGACCATGAATGGCCGTTATGTGCAGCGGCGTTTTGGCTGGGACTGTCACGGTCTACCGATCGAACACGAAATTGATAAGCAGCTCAACATGTCCGCAGCCCAGGCGGTGGAAAAGCTGGGTGTTGCCGGCTACAACAATGAGTGCCGTGCAATTGTGCAGCGCTATGTGGCGGAGTGGCGCCATACCATTACCCGGCTCGGGCGTTGGATTGATTTTGATGATGACTACAAAACCATGGACGCCTGGTATATGGAATCCGTGTGGTGGGTCTTCAAGCAGCTGTGGGATAAAGGCCTGATTTATCAGGGTGTGAAGGTGATGCCTATTTCCACCGCCCTGGGTACGCCACTGTCGAACTTTGAGGCGACCTCCAATTACATGGATGTGCAGGATCCGGCGGTCACCGTGCTGTTCAAAATCAAGGGGCAGGATCGTTATCTTGCAGCCTGGACAACCACCCCCTGGACCCTGCCTTCCAACCTCGCTCTGTGTGTAGGTGATGATATTGATTATGTGCTGGCGCGCGATCCGGAAACCGGCCAGGAGATATACCTGGCAGCCGAGCGTCTGCCGCACTATGGCGAAATGGAAATCCTCGAGCAGGTGCAAGGTAAAGACCTGGTGGGTTTGGGCTATGAGCCGCTGTTTCCATACTTTGCCGGGCTGGGGGACGACGGCGCTTTTGTGGTGGTGAGTGACGATTACGTCACTGCGGACAGCGGTACCGGCATTGTGCATCAGGCGCCAGCGTTTGGTGAAGACGACTACCGGGTTGCACGGGCGCATGACATTGAAGCGTTTGTCTGTCCGGTGACGCTCTCCGGCGAGTTCACCGATGAAGTGTCGGATTTTGCCGGCCAGCATGTTAAAGAAGCAGATAAAGACATTATCAAATACCTCAAAGACAGTGGCATGCTCTATCGTCAGGAGGTGATTCAGCACAGCTATCCTTACTGCTATCGTTCCGACACGCCGCTGATCTACCGCGCTATTCCTTCCTGGTATGTTGCTGTCACTTCTATCAGTGACAAGTTGCTCAAGGCCAACCAACAGATCCGCTGGGTGCCGGAGCACATAAAAGACGGGCGCTTTGGAAACTGGCTGGAAGGCGCTATAGACTGGTCTGTCTCGCGTAATCGTGTGTGGGGTACGCCGCTACCCATCTGGATCAACGACGTCACTGGTAATGCCGTGTGTATGGGTTCGATTGAAGAGCTTGCACAGTATAGTGGTGTGACGGTGGACGACCTGCATCGCGAATTTGTGGATCCGCTGACCTTTCAGCTGGATGGCGAGGAAGGCACCTATCGCCGCATAGAAGAAGTGTTGGATTGCTGGTTTGAATCGGGCTCCATGCCTTATGCGCAGCTGCATTACCCTTTTGAAAATGAGAACATGTTTGCAGCGGGCTTCCCCGCAGAATTTATTGCTGAAGGACTGGATCAGACCCGTGGCTGGTTCTATACATTGACCGTGCTGGCGGCTGCAATTTATGACAAGCCGGCGTTCCGTAACGTCATTGTTAACGGCATGGTCATGGCCGAAGACGGCAAGAAGATGTCGAAGCGGCTGCGTAATTACACGCCGCCAGATGAGTTGATGGAAAAATACGGCGCTGACGCGCTGCGCCTGTATCTGATTAACTCAGGGCTGGTGCGAGGTGAAGAGCAGCGGTTTGCAGATTCCGGCGTGCGCGATATGACCCGGCGAGCGCTGTTGCCCTGGTACAACGCGTTTTCTTTTCTGCAGACCTATGCGGCCATTGATAACTGGGCGCCGGATAAAGGCATGCACTTTGGCGACAATGTGTTGGACCAGTGGTTAATGTCACGGCTGCAGACTTTGAAGTTGAACATCGCGACGCAGATGGAATCCTACCGACTTTATAATGTTGTCCCCGAATTGTTCGCCTTCATTGAAGACCTCACCAACTGGTACATCCGTCTCAATCGTGCCCGGTTCTGGGGTGAACAGGTAACTGCAGATAAAATCTCAGCCTACAGTACCTTGTACACAGTGCTGATGGAGTTATCGCTGGTGATGGCGCCATTTACACCCTTCCTGTCAGAGTACCTCTATCGTGCATTGTCAGGACTGACCGGCAAGAACCCGCAGCCGCATTCTGTACATCTTTGCGATTATCCGAAGGCCGAAGAAAGCTTTGTGAAGCCCGGTCTGGAAACAGCGGTTGATCGTATGCAGCAGGTTATCCTGTTAGGCAGACAGAAACGCGAAGATGTGAAAATTGGTTTGCGCACACCTTTGTCGAAACTCATTGTGGTGCATCGTGATCAGAACCTGTTGCAGGAGATGGGTGCGCTGGAGGGTTACATTGCGGACGAGTTGAATATTCGGGAAGTCGAATACTCATCAGATGAGTCTGCTTTCATTGAGCTGGTGGCTAAACCGAATTTTCCTCTACTGGGTAAGCGTCTGGGTAAGCAAATGAAGACCTACCAGCAGGCCATCAATGCAATGGATGCTGATGCAATAGCTGCGCTGCAGGCTTCCGGAAGTGTAACCCTGTTGGGTGAAACCTTTGATCTGCAGGAGATACAGGTGCTGCAGCAGGCGCGCGAAGGTACAAATACGGTATCTAATAGCCGCATTGCTGTAGATATTGATTGTGAGCTGACACCCGAGTTGGTGCGCGGCGGCTATGCGCGGGAAATGGTGAATCGGATTCAGCGGGCACGAAAGGAGCAGGGCTTCCAGGTCAGCGATCGTATCGATGTGCGTTACCACGCCCAGGAAGATTTGCTGTTGGCAGCGAGCGAGCACCAGGCGTACATTATGGCTGAAACACTGGCGCTGACTTCTGTTGCGCAGGACGAGCCCTGTGCCACCGTGACAGAAATTGATGGCCAACACTTTTCATTTTCGCTGAGCAAAGCGCTCAGTTCAAATAAATAGACGCACCGAGGCTGGTTTGAGGTACTTGTTTAGTCCACCCAACAAAGATTCAAGAGTGGATCATATGGGTACCTATACGCGCTCCTTGCCGGTTTCGCTGGATCGTATGTATGAAAACGCGCTGGACTGGGAGCACCTGCCTCATCTGCATGACTCAAGTTTCACAGACATTGAGTGTCTGGATGCAGGTGGCTGGGGTTGGCGCGCTCGGGTGAAAGATCCCCGCGGCCGCGAAAGTTTGCTGGAACTGCGACTGGATCGAGACTGTCGGCGCTGGATTACCCGCAATATTGAAGGCCCCAGTCAGGGTGCGGAGATCTGGACCCATGTGTTTGTCACCGCACCTCATCAACTTGATCTGGTCATCGATTTTTTTGTGCCTGGAGTGGAACCTGAGGCAAGGGAAAAAGTAGGGCGTGCTTACGCTACTGCATATGAGCGTCTGTATGACGAAGACGTGGAAATGATGACCGAGCGCCAGCGCCAGCTGGATATGCGTGTGGACGGCCCGCGTGTGGCAGACACATTATCCATACCGCTGCCTGACGACGCGCAATTGCCTTTGCCTGTGAGCTTATCTCAGCGTGATTTTCTGGTTAATCGAACCGGCGGGCAGTGGGTTGTTTACCCGGCGGCCTGTCCTCATCAGATGGGCCCGCTTGCCTCAGAACTCAGCCCTGCAGGTGAAGTTCGCTGTCCCTGGCATGGCTATACGTTCAGTGTGCACACCGGCGAGTGTACCAGCGGCGCAAGTTGTCGTTTTGGCCGGGTGCCCAACCTCTCGGTAGGGGCTGAGGTCTTGACGCTGTCCTGGTGATTACTTGCTGAAAGTATCAAAATAAGATTCTCTTTGTGGCCAATAAAGCTACTTTTCTCAGAATAGTACCGTAAATCGCTTCTTCCTCCATCATCAGCACTCCTTCAATAACGAGTGTAAAGATGATGAACCTATTTCAAAGAGTCACCGCCACGGTCACCCAATCTATCGATAAGGTGGTCGATCAGCTTGAAAATCAGGATGCCGTGGCACAAGCCACGCTGCGACAGGTCCGCAAAAATGCCGCTGAGGCGAAAGTCAGACTTGCGGCGCTGGCCCGGGATCGGGACGAACTCGCGGCGAAACTCGAGAGCCTGCAACAAGTAGCCCGGCGCTGGGCTGAACGTGCGGCGAAAATCGGTCACGAAGATGAAGGTAAAGCGCTGGAGTGTCTGCGGCGCCGGCGTCACGCTCAAACCCAGATCTCTCAGACCGAAACTGTTTTGGCAGAGTACGACGCTCGAGTTCAGCAGCTGGGTGCCAGTGTTGCGCAGATGGATGAGCGGCTGCTGTCTCTGACACAGAAACGCGACGTATTGCGCACGCGCGATGCGGTCAGCAATGCGCAGGGTGCTTTACGTCGCCTTCAGGATCAGGACTGTGATGGACTTGATGCGGTCTACGCGCGTTGGGAAGCTCGCCTTCTGGCGGATGAATACATCACCCCGGTGGTTGCGCCAACAGATGATTTTGAGCGCGGCCTGAATGATGAAGAGGAGCAGTTGTCACTACAGGCAGAGCTGGCAGCTGTTCTAAAAGACGCTACTGAAGCTGATAAACCCTCTGACACGGGGGTTTAGCGATGACTTCTTATATAAATCAGCTGAAGAGGACGTCCCTTGCGGGCGTCCTGCGAACATTGGGTGCGCTCGTGGTCGTTGCGGGTTTGTGCTCGCATCTGCTTGAAGGCTGGAGCGCCTGGGGTGACCTGAGTCGATTGTATGTTCTGCTGGCTGTCACAGGCGCGTTTGCCTTCACTGGTTTTGCGATCAGTGCGCAGCTGCGAGAGCAGAAAGGTGCCCGTGTCTTTGTCAGTCTTGGTCTGGTGGCGGTGGTGGCCAGTTTGACAACCTTAGGCGGTTTGTTGGAAGAAATTATTTCCTTCTCCGGGTCGCAGCCTGGCGGCGGATGGTGGGTTGATACGGTTGCTCTGCAGTCTTACACGCCTGGCCAATTAGGGATGATGTTCAGCATAGTGCTGCTCACCCTTGCCCCCGTTACCTGGATGGCCTATCGGGTGCTTGCTCGCGCCCGGGCCAGGCAATTGTCTTTGCTGTTTGCGTTCAGCAGTCTGTTGATCTGCCTGCCTGCACGAGAGTCATGGCCGCTGGGGCTGACCATTCTCATCAGTCTGGTGCTGCCATGTTATTACACTATCCGGGCGCTTAGGAGCCATATTGTCTTTGCAACATCGGAAGGTCGATTTGCGCTGTTGAGTTTGTTTTTTCCAGCGATTGTCATGCTGGCTCGGTTGTTCTGGCTTTATGAAGCGGACGTTCTGTTGTCCTGGATGTTGCTGAGCATAAGTTTTGTGGGTATCCACCTGCTGCGGCTGCAGGACTTGTCGAAATCGTTTTATCGGCCGCTTTTAAGTGTCGCCGGCCTTGCTGTTTTTACGGGCGTGGGAATGGCGACACTGTCGCTGCTTGATCCTTTGCTTGCTGATGAGCTGATACTGTCCCTTGGCGGCTTGCTGATCGGTTTTGCATTGTTCTGGAGCGGTAGCGTCCATCCCAGAGTGAAATCTGGTTTTGAGGTGCTGGCCGGTCTCTGTGTAGCCATTGCCGTGATTGTGAATCTACTGTTCAGTGATGCCTGGCTCGCCGCTGGCGCGGGCGTGTTTGCAGGACTGTTTGTGGGTCTATGTGGACGGCAGTTGATCAACCCGCCGGTAATTGTGATTGGCGCTGGAATGATGCTGGCATCGGTTTTAGCACAGTTGCCCGAGTTAGGTCGTTACATTGACTTTACGCATTGGATTACCCTTGGGGTGTTGGGCATGTCTCTGCTCGGCGTCGCCGTGTATGTTGAGAAGCGACAGAACATATCTGTGGACACCAGTCCTGACGATGTGCTTTAGGATCCCTTGAAAGTAGGTTTTTCTTTCTTCAAGTAGGCTTGTACAGCGACCGTTCGGTCGTCTGTACTGGCCGCCAGCAGGTTTTGATCAGCGTCCATATGCATCAGCGCGCCATTCAAGACGTTGCAGATCTGATTCGTAGAGCGCTTGATCATTTGCGCCGCGATGGGTGGCTTGTCTGCGTAGTGCTGAGCCATTTTATCTGCCGCATCGTAGAGGTTTGCAAGTGGCACCTGTTTGTCCAGGATGCCCCAGTTGAGCAGTTCGGGTGCTTCGATGCGCTCGCCGCCGATGACCAGTCTTTTTGCGCGGGCGGGGCCAGCCAGATGGATAATGAGCGGCAGACTTTTCCACATCAGATTCAGACCAATGTCTACTTCCGGATACTGCATAAAGCAGTTGTCAGAGCCGATTCGAAAATCGCACGCGCTGGAGATACATGCGCCGCGACCCATGGCCGCACCTGAAGAGAAATGTTTGCCTGCGCCTGTAAATACCACCACCCGGGTTTGTGGATCGTCCCGCAGAGACAGTACAGCGGTTTCTATCTCAAGCAGGTGATCGTAGTGCAGGGCATTGGCTTTGCCTGGACGGTTGAAGGTGAGCCATGCGATATGGCCACTTTTTGTCAGGGTCAGGTGCTGGTAAGTCATGCGCACAATGAATGGTAGCGCATTTTATTGTCGGGCTAGTGGGGTGGCTGGGGCTGGTTTTGTTTGTGTAAATGAGAAGAGTAGAAGGGCTGAGATCTTTCTAAGGATCTCCAGCCACTTCTACTCTTGAAGATAAGAGGGGCATCCGAGGAGGGGAGGGGAGGGGGGTATCGGATGACCCTCGCGGAACTGTTTTTGTTCGATGGGGAGTATGTTACTTTGGGTAACAATAAATGCAACCCTAAGTAACGCAACGTAACGTTGCGTTTATGCAACGATGGCCCTACTCTTGGGCTGTCAGAAGGATCTGAAAAACAACAGCTGCCGAGGGGTATATGTCATGAACTGGGACGACTTTCGCTTTTTTGCTGCGGTAGCTCGAGCGGGTAGCGTCCGTGGTGCAGCTGGCGAGTTGCAGGTGAATCCGTCAACGGTTACCCGACGTCTGGAAGCGCTTGAGTCGCGGTTGGGGGTTATGTTGTTTCTGCGCACAAATACAGGTTTGCAGATCACCGCCGAAGGCGCTGACGTTGCCAGGCAGATTGATGTTCTTGGTGAGCAGCTTAATCAGCTGGATGCTCAGTTACAGGGGCGAAATCAACGTTTGGAAGGCAAGATTCGCCTGGCTGTGCCTGATGTACTCGCGGTAAGTTTTGTGTTGGCCGATCTGGCGCAGTTCTGTGAACAGTATGATGAAATTGAGCTGGAAATCATTCCTGTACATGGCAACCTCGATATTGCCAATGCCGACGTTGATGTTGCTATTCTGGCGACGGAAACCCCGCCGGACACAATGGTTGGCAGACCCCTGTATCAGGTGGCTGTGGCGGTCTATGGCAGTCGTAAATATATTGCCGAGCATGACGTCTCCTCAGAAGATGCTGCTGGTCTTGCTTGGATTGACTGGGCAGCACGTGGCGAGGTGATGGGTTTCTACGCCAGCCTGCGAGAACGGTATTTTGCTCAGAGTCGGGTACGTATTCGCTGCGATCAGGTTTTTATGCAGCAGACCTGCATTCGGGTGCATATGGGCGTTGGTGTGTTGCCTTGTTATCTCAGTGCTGATCAAGGGCAATGGCCTGAGCCTGAGCAGCTGCAACGGTTGCCGCAGATGCCTGTGCAGAAAAGTCCGACTCTGTGGCTGCTGACCCACCCGGAGTTGCGCAATGCCCGTAGGGTGCAACTGCTGGTGAGTTTGCTTCGTGATGTTTTTGCCACCCGTCAGCAGGCTTTGCTGGATGACTATTTATAGGCTTGGATAGCGTCTTTATCCTCGACAATTCTTGCGTGTGGCAGATCGCTGGCGCAAACTAGCGGCTCCATATTGAACGGGGAATCACAGCGACAATGCCAAGCGCTCCGCTCCGGCTTCGCTGCGAGTTCATGCAAAATCCATTGGGCGTGGATGTCACATCACCACGCTTTTCATGGTGGGTGAACGACTCACGGCCTGCTGAAGTTCAGTCGGCCTACGAGATCCTTGTCGCTTCCAAACTTGCGCTCCTGAATCAGGACCAGGGTGATCTCTGGCACAGTGGCCGCGTTGAAACCCATCAGACTCTGAACGTTGAATATCGCGGCATCCGCCTTGCTGCCGGGCAAAAAGCCTGGTGGAAAGTACGCACCTGCGACAGTGATGGCGTACCTGGCGACTGGAGTGATCCAGCCAGCTTCGAAATGGGCCTTCTGCAAGACGCAGACTGGCATGGACCCTGGATTGCCGGCGCGTTGCAGGGCAGTGCTCGACGGGGCGTCCACGCTGTGGGTCTGCGTCGAGATTTCCTGATTACTCAGCCGGTAGCCAAAGCGCGACTCTACATCGCCGTAGCGGGTGACTTCAAACTTTATGTAAACGGCGTGTCTGTTGTTCCCGCGGGCAGTCACGCAAGCTGGACCGCATTCGGGGAAAAAGTTTTTTATCAGAGTTTTGATGTCACTGAACGGCTTCTGGCCGAACCCAACGCGGTGGCTGTGTTGCTCAGTGATGGCTATTTTGCCGGTGCTTTACCCGGTTTGGGTAGAGCCCGATATGGCAATCGACCTTATCTGCGTCTGCGCCTTGTCACCACGCTGGCGGATGGGGAGCAGTTCGAAGTCAATTCTGATGAGCAGTGGCGCTGGGCACCCAGCCATCTGCTGGCTGCGGATATCAACGCTGGGGAGCATGCTGATGCTGCGCAATTGCTTGAGGGTTGGACGGAGCCGGGTTTTGATGACGCGGGCTGGCAGCCGGTAGAAAGAATCAGCTTCAACCCGGATCTGAGAAGTCTGCCGCATGCTTCCTTTGGCGTGACACAGGCGCTGCGCCCCATGACCGAACCGTTGGTCACTAAGGCTGCGGGACGCAGTACGGCATTGTTTGATTTTGGGGATCAGCTGGTTGGTCGGGTGAATTTGTCTCTAAGGTGTCGTCAAAGTGACATGCTGGTGCTGCACTACAGTCTTGATAAGTCGTTTACCAATGCCAGCGAGGATAGTCTTATAACAGTTGCGGATGCGACTACCAGTCATGAAGGACTGTTTGCGCTGCATTCGTTTCGTTATCTGAAAGTGGAGTTCACGCCCCACTTGACCGAGGTCAGCCATGCCACAGCGTTGCGCATTGCTGCGCTGGAGTCGAGTCCTGTGAGTGTGCGCACTGACCATGCCACTTTGAATCAGTTGTTTGAAATCATTGATAACAGTTTTAGAAGCGCAGCATTTACTGTGCCGATGAAAGGTGTTGCGCTGGCAGATCGCTTGCCCGACTTTACTGCTGCGGGCACCTGGATGCCCTATTTTGCTGGTCAGGACAGAAGTCCCGCTCTGGTGCTGAAGTGGCTTGAGGACGCGCTTGCCAAGCTGATGCCCGCGCGCGGTGCGCCTGCGAGCAGTAATCCTTTGGTACCTGCAGTAGTGGGTGCAGACGAATGTTTACCCTACGACGAATTTGCTGAGTTCGAAGCGCTGGTGGCGACGGTCTGGCAACATTACCGCAGCCACGGCGATGTGCAGGTACTTGAACGTGCGTATCCACAGTTGCGAGCCATCGCGCTGAGTTATAGGCATGCCAAAACACATCTACTGCGCGCCCCGAGCAACACCTCTCTGTATGGTGACGGTGCAACAAACCCGCTGGTGGCCAGTTGCACGATTTATGACGCGTTGCGTTGTCTGGCGCGCATGGCCAGTGTGCTGGCTTTGCTGAGTGATCATGAGTTGCTGCACGGTCTGGCGAGCGAGGTGCGCCAGGCGTTTCGCCAACGCTATCTCACCGGAGATGGGCATTTGGCGTGTGACTCAGAATCAGCTTATATCGCAGTATTGCACTTTGGTTTGCTGGAAGACAAAGAACGGCAGCGCGCCGAGCAACGCCTGGTTGAACTGCTTCAACAGCAGAATTATCACAGTTCTGCTGCACCCCTTGTGCTGCCACACCTGCTGCCGGTATTAACTGCAGCCGAGCGTCTGGATATTGCGTATATGGTCTTGTTACAGACCAGTTCGCCAAGCTGGTTAGCGGCGGTTCATGCCGGAGATCGTCTGGTCGCTCGGCAGCCAGGCTGTCCCGAAATGGCTAACGTCGGGGTTCTGACCTGGCTGCTGGAGTCGCTGGTTGGGATTAAATTACAGGATGATTATGCAATAGATAAAAATGCTTTCCGTGCGGTTCGTGTACGTCCTCGACCGCCTTTAGGGAAACAGTTTCTGGCAGGTGCGCCGGTACAATTTGTAGAGGCATCGTTGCGCACCCCGATGGGGCGTTTTGATGTCAGCTGGTGGATAAAAGAAGATCGTTTTGAACTGGAGTTGCTGGTTCCACCAGGGTGCGAAGCGCAGGTGATCATGCCGGACGAAATAGAACAGAGAGTGCACAGTGGCCATCACCGTTTCATGATGGATTTCAAGGCGGGTGGTGATGGCGTACCGACATTGCTTGAGCTGGTTGGCGGGAGGCAGGCGTAGATGGACGGCATACACGATCTGGGTGGCAAACATGGTTTTGATGCCGTTGATCCCGATGACCCTGGGCAGGGGTTTTCCCAGCGTTGGCACGGCAGCGTATTCACAATGATCAATAGCCTTGCTGCTGCCGGTGTTATGCATAATGCCGATCATTTCAGGCATGCCGTTGAACGTATAGACCCCATCAGCTATCTCGATGACGGTTATTATGGACGGTGGCTCGGCGCTGCTGAAAACCTGCTGGTGGAAGGCGGTGTTCTCGAACAACAACAGATTACCGACCGCGCCGTGACTTTTGGTGCGCAGGGCAACGAGCGGGTGGCTGCGCGGCCAATGCATGATGATGGTCTGGCGCGGACTGAACAGAAAACCAACAACGCCGTCAGTCCGGCCCGTGAGTCTCGGCCAACGGCAGAGCGAAACTCGGATGCCCCCGCGCGGTTTTCCATCGGTGACTGCGTGCTGACAAGCATGTTCCCGGTACCCGGGCATACCAGGCTGCCGGCTTATGCGCGCGGTAGATTGGGTACGGTAGTGGCACTGCATGGGTCCTGGGTGTATCCGGACACCAATGCCCACGGTCAGGGCGAACAGCCTCAACATCTGTATACCATTTGTTTTGATGCGCAGGAGTTATGGGGAGAGGGTGCAGACGATCTGGAAGTGTGTCTGGATCTGTTTGAACCTTATCTGCACTTAGTCGAGGAGGCGTAAGCACATGAGTCAGACCACTGCGGCTATCCGTGCCCAGGCGCTGGAAAGTCTGTTGATTGAAAAAGGCCTGCTCGATGCGGATCTTATCGACGATGTCATCGTGCGTTACAACGAACGCGTTGGACCTATGAACGGCGCCCAACTGGTTGCACACGCCTGGTCAGATGAGGCCTTCAAGAAGCGTTTGCTGACGGATGCAACTGCTGTTGTGAATGAATTCGAGTTCAGCGGCGGTCAGGTGGATAAGCTTGTTGTGCTTGAAAATACGTCGCAGATTCACAATGTGGTTGTCTGTACATTGTGTTCCTGTTACCCCTGGGCGGTGCTTGGGCTGCCGCCAAAGTGGTACAAAGACCCGGCTTACCGATCCCGGGTGGTGCGCGAACCCAGAGCGGTCCTTGCAGAATTTGGCACAGATATCCCGGCTGAGAAAAAGATTCGCGTCTGGGATTCCTCGGCAGAAATTCGCTACATGGTGTTGCCAGAGATGCCTGCGAACTGGCAGGGGCGTGATGTAGAAAGCCTCGCTCAGTCAGTTTCAAGGGACAGCATGATTGGTGTGTCGGTGCTGGGAGAGCGCCAGCATGAGTGATGGCAGGCCGGACACCCCAGCATCCTCGTTGGAGAATGTGTTGAGCGAAAGCCTGCAGCCGCCGATGGCCAATGGTGAAGTGCTGTTTGAAGCGCCCTGGCATGGCCGTGTATTCGGAATGGCGGTGGCGCTGCACGAAGCTGGTCTGTTCAGCTGGGATGAATTTCAGAATCAGCTGATCGAAGTCATCGGTCGCTGGGACCGCAGTGCTCAGGACGTTGACGAATATCAATATTACGACCATTTCCAGGCCGCGTTACAGCAGCTGATGGTGGATAAAAATCTGGTGTCCGCAGAAGACCTGGCCCATCGAGAAACACATCTGGCGAATCTGCCTCACGGGCATGATCACTAAGTCGTTGCAGTATTTTTAACAGTTCTTCTCTGTTAAGAAAGCCTGTACCTGCGGGAACGTTCCCGTATAGATCACCCGGCTGGCTTTGCCTTTAAGTTGATAGTCGTACATGGGGTCATAGTAGTCTTTCAACAGGGTGCGTACCCACTGTCGGTGATCAGCCTGGTTTTCAAAAGCCAGGCGGATCATGTCATCAATCTGCTGATATAGAACACCGCCCAGTCGGCGGGCAATGCGCTTCAGCGCGCCACGGTAATGTGCTTCCAGTTCGGTGGCAGCATCACCCTGGGACAGGCGCGTGTCGACATACTCCGCAACGATGTGTTCAACGCGTTGTTCAAGGGTGGCTTCGAGCAGGACCAGAGGTGATTTCTTCATCCGCAGGTGCCAGCTTTCCGGTACGGCGATTCTGCCGATCATGCGGCTCTCGTCTTCCAGTACCAGGGTAGCCTGCTGATGTCTGAGGTAATGTACCGCCAGGTTGTTTTCAAAGCTTGGCAGGCTCGGTTGCGGGCTGGTTTGGGCGCCAAAAGCTGAGCCTCGATGGTTGGCCAGACCCTCCAGATCGATACTGTTGGGCAGGGTGTTCAGCAGCACGGTTTTCTGCACGCCGGTGCGCCCGGCAAGCACAAACCACGGTTTCTTTGCCTGTGCAGCGTCTTCCAGGATATCTATGCAGGCCTGCCGACAGGCTTTGTAACCACCGGATATGCGCTGGATGTTATAGCCGCTGCTGGCCAGCCAATTCTGTGCAATTTGCGATCGTTGGCCGCCGCGCCAGCACATGACTAAGGCTTCAGGTTGTTCGTCTATGTAAGTTTGCCATTGTGCAATACGAGCCGCTTTGACCGCGCCGCTGACCAGCTTGTGACCAAGTTTTGTGGCTGCAGCCTGACCCTCCCGTTTGAATGTCAGGCCCACCTGGTGGCGCTCTTCATCATTGAGAATAGGTAGATTTATGCTGTTGGGCAGGTGACCCTTGGCAAACTCAGCAGGTGCCCGCACGTCCAGAAAGGGTTTCTGGTGTGCAAGCAGATGGATCAGTTCATCGTGTTCAGGGTGCTTTTTCGATGATGGTTGCACCGGCTTCAAATTTCTCAAGATGGGTTTTGAGTATACCGATGACGTCGTCTCTTTGTTGGCTTGTTGCTGTTTCGATGGCGACATTCTGCAGCCGGATGGCCTCATCGAAGTCTCCGTTGGCCGCATGTGCTGCAGCCCACGTGTCGATATATTCCGGACGCTGTGCGGCATCAGCATTTTTGGTCATGAGATTGTCCATGATCTTTTTGGCGAAAGCGCTGCGCTGCAGACCTTGAATATCTGATACCGCCAGAGTCCAGGCAACTTCGTTAACGATATCACCATCTTCCGGGTTGGCTTTAACGGCCTTCTTGTACCAGCTCACCGCGCGGCGGTTGGATGCTTTCTGGCCCAGGCCACGTGCGTGCAGGTTGCCCAGTAATACCATAGCCTCTGCATTATTGTCCTCAGCCAGATTCTCCAGCCAACCATGTATGTCTGCAGCAGCGCTGAAAGTTTGCGGCTCTTCGCTGGCACTGGTTAAGAACCGCCCGTAGCTGAGTATTGCCTGGGCGTCGTTCAGTGCAGCCGCTTGCGCAAAATACTGATCGGCCCGGATAAGGTCCTGCTCGACTTCGCGACCGACACTGTACAGGTGCCCCAGATACAGGAGTGATTCGGGATGTTGCAGATCGGCGGCACGACGCAGCAGGGGCAAAGCCGCTGCGCGGTTTTCTTCACCGTACACGTCGTTGATGTACAGATTGGCAAGGGTATACATGGAATCGGCTGAACCCAGGGCTATTGCGTGCAGGTAATTTTCCAGTGAACGCTCGCGCAGTTCCTTCTTAATGCCAGGGTCTTGGCTGTCTTCTGCCTGACTCCAGTAAATAGTGGCGAGCAGAACGTTTGCCACAACATTTTCTGCACGGGCGGCAACCTCTAACCAGCCCGCAGCGTCTTCGAATTTCTGCACTGAGGCCAGATATCGACCAATCGCAGTCTGGGCAGCGCTATCATTCTGCGCAGCCAACAGTCGGATTAAGATCCACGGATTATCGCCCGCGGCATGGGGTTGACTGGACGGGGTGTCGGTGTTGGTATCATGGGCATTGTGTAAGCCCTTCATGAGTGGGCTGATGTCGAAAAACTCGCGCTGCAGGGGTCCGTTTTCCGGGCGGCTGACCAGTTGATAGCCAAAACCCATGATGGCATTGCTCTGGTAAATCGCCCCAACAGCAGAACGATTGTTGAGCCTTGCCAGGGTGTGGCCGTCAAATAACGTCAGTCCTTTGTAAGGTTTGCTGCGCGTGCCGTCAGCGTCACTCTTCAGGGCCTCTATCAGTTCCGTCAGCGCCTGATCGTGAACCGCTTTTGCATCTTCAGAGTCGACATGGTCGTAGAACTGGCGCATTGCGTAGTGGCCCGTCAGGCTGCCAGCATAAATATCCAGGATCGCTGAGCCGAGGCTGCCAAGTTTGAGCGGCTCATCGGCAGCTAAAGCCAGCGCCTGCTTCTCAAGCTCCATCAGACGTTGCAGGCGATCAGAAAAATCAGCACCTTCGACAAACGCCAGCTGCGCCTCGGTCAGGTTCAATGCACCAGGACTCGCGCTCGCCTGGGCTGTGTTGTTAATAGAGTCAGATGTCGGAGTTGCACTCTGGCAACCGAGGCTGATGGAGAAAGCAGCCAGTAAAATCAGTGTTCGCATGAGGGTGTTATAGCATCCGCGTTGCAGGGTGTGAACGTTGAAGGTCGATAAATGTGTCGGACAGCCCGTAATGTTGGACAACAAAAACTCGGATTCGTTTGTACTGGCCAGGCGACGCGCTAAACTTGCGGCTCGGATAATACAGGTTTTAACGAAATCAGGAGCTTACCATGGGCTTAGGTGCAAAACTTTTAATGCCATCAGAACAGCAGGCGTTGCCAGGTCGTGACGCGGTGATGCCTGTACCTGAGCAGCATTTTGTATCGGGTCGCTCACTGCAACCCCCATTTCCGGCTGGCATGCAGCAGATTCAGTTTGGAATGGGATGTTTCTGGGGCGCAGAGCGTCGTTTCTGGCAGGCCCCCGGTGTTTATGTGACTGCTGCAGGATATTCCGGCGGCTACACGCCAAACCCGACTTATGAAGAAGTCTGCAGCGGCGCTACCGGGCACAGTGAAACAGTGCTGGTGGTATTCGATCCGGCGGAAACAACTCTGGCGGCGCTGTTGAAGCTGTTCTGGGAGAGCCATGATCCAACCCAGGGCATGCGCCAGGGCAATGATCTGGGTACGCAATACCGATCAATTATTTATACCTATACAGATGCCCAGGCTGAGGCTGTCGAAACATCCAGGGCGACCTATCAGGCGGCTCTGACGGCGGCAGGTTATGGCGAAATCACGACAGAAATCAAAGCAGCGCCGGCTTTTTATTATGCAGAGCATTATCACCAGCAGTACCTGGCAAAAGTGCCCAACGGTTATTGTGGTTTAAATGGTACCGGGGTGGGGTGCGACCTGCCCACGCTGGTCACCCTTGATGCAGACAGCTAGCTGATTTTTGTCCGTGTGAGCTGGCAACGCTCACAGCGTTCTACGCTGATGAGCTTGCCCTGCTTGACGTCGAACTGCTTTTTCTCCGAAAACACCCACTTGTGGAATCCGCTTTTACACAAGGTGGTGTTTCTGCCCCGTTGTTGACGGCGCAGTTTCTTAAATTTGTTTAGATCGGTTGGTTCGGACACACGTCTGCTCTGTTTGAGGCACTAGTTTAACCTGCTTCAAAGTGTTTTTGGGTAGACTTGCGTATACACTGCCCGGCGGAAAATAACCGGGTGAATTGTTATGCAGCCGCCTTCAACGCGGGCCACCATAAAGCGCAATGCGAAACGTGCGCAATACGACCTGAATGTAATCAAAGACATTCTAGCGGCCCAACAGATATGTCACGTGGCGTTTGTTGAGGATGGCGAGCCGCGCCTCATTCCAACCCTGTATTTTTATGATGACAACTATCTTTACCTGCATGGCAATCGTCAAAGTGCCTTGCTGAAACATATGGCCGCAGGCGGCGACGTATGTATCAGCGTGATGCTGGTCGACGGTTATGTGATTGCGCGCAGTGGTTTCAATTGCTCGATGAACTATCGTTCAGTGTCCATTTTCGGCCAGGGCGAAGCAGTAACTGGTAGCCGACACCGGGAGGCGCTGGATCAGTTTGTTGCGGTACTTGTCCCTGGTCACGAACAGGCTGTGCGGGAACCCACCGCCCAGGAACTGGCGGCCACCGCTGTGGTGCGGGTCAGTCTGGCTGAAATGGCTGCCAAGGTGCGTGATGGTGACCCGGGTGATGATGAGCAGGATAAAGCCAGCGATGTCTGGGCGGGTGTTATTCCAGTGAGTTTACAGGTGGGTACAGCGCAACCCGCTGCAGACCTCAAAGCAGGGATTGAACTGCCTGATTATCTGCAGCGATTCAGAATTTAGGGGCTTTTAAGTGAAAAAGTTAGGCGTAGGCATCGATTTTGGAACCACAAACTCTGCAGCGGCGGTGTTTGATGGTAAAACCGTGACCTTAATTCCCCTGGAAAAAGACTTGCTGGAAACAGCGGCGCTGCAGAGTGTACAGCTCGACAATGATGTCGCGATCATGCCGTCGGCAACTTACATTGATCGCAATCTGCAGACTAAAACCGGCCAGGCGGCGATTGAACAATATATTGCGGACAATACGGGCAGAACCGTTGAACTGATTCCAGAGGTTATTGCGGAAGTCAGTCAGTTTGTTGAACACGGCGATGGTGCAGAGAACAACGAAGTAGATACGTCTACCGAGAAAATATACGGCGCGCCGGTCACCGACAGTGGTCTGCAGGGGCGTCTGTTCAGGGGTACAAAGAGATTGTTGGGTGATTCCCGCGTTCGGCGTTTGCTGGTGTTCGATCATCCTTTTCGGCTGGTTGCGTTGATCACGCCGTTGCTCCTGCGCATGCGCAAGGCGCTGGAGGCGGAGGTAGGTACAGTTTCTGCGGCGCATCTGGGTCACCCGGTTAATTTTGAAGGCAGAGACCCGCACAGGAATCAGTTGGCATTGTCGCGTCTGGGCGAGGCTTACAAGTATGCCGGGGTGGCGGAGCAGCATTTTTATCCTGAACCAATTGCCGCGGCTGCCAGCTACCTGCACAACAATCCCGGGGTTTCCGGGGATGTGCTCCTGACGGTTGACTTTGGTGGTGGCACGCTGGACCTGTGTGTGCTGAAAAAGCATGGTGATACTTTTGAGGTAGTCACCACCTATGGAGTTGGTCTTGGTGGCGATCACATTGACCAATTGTTGTTTCGTAAGTTGTTGTTTCCGCTTCTGGGTGAGGGCGAATTGTGGCGGCGTCCGGGGTTTGACCGTGAAGTGATCGAAACCCGTTTCCCATTTGAAGACTTTGCAGATCTGCTGTTGAACTGGGCGGTGACGTATACGCTGAATCAGAATAAGTACACCACGCCGGTGATGGAGTGTATCGAGCAGGGTGGCCCCGGGCAGCGAAAGTTCGAACGCTTGCGTGAGGTGATCAAACATAACCTCAGCTACATGCTGTTTGCGCGTATCAAGGCTTTTAAAGCGGCGTTGTCGTCGCAGCCTTCAGCGCGATTGGATATCCCGGAAATAGACGTGGATGTCACGCTGACACGGGCGGAATTTGAAGCGCTGATTGCTCAGCCACTGCAACAGATCAGCGAAGCCGTAGAGGTCACTCTGCAGCAGGCACAGCTGGCGCCTGAAGAGATAGACATAGTGCTGCGCACGGGCGGTTCGAGCTTGATTCCCGCCGTCAGGTCGCTGCTCGAAAGACGCTTTGGTGACAAGGTGGTGGATCATGACCCCTTTACAAGCGTTGCAACCGGTCTGGCAATTGCCAGCTATCACGGTCTGCAACCCTGACCTAATCCCGGTCGATGGGTTGCCAGGCGGGGTCCAGCGTCCAGAAAAATGTCTTCAGAATGCGGTAGGTTAAACCCCAGACAAAGTGACCCTGCTCGAGGCGATAGCCGTTGAAGACCGTGGGTGTGCCGGCCATGGGTTTTGTTTCCGTGTCATGCAGATCGTTGCGTAACATCGGATGTAGTGGCGCCCAGACAACCTCCGCGACTTCGTAGTTGGGCGTGAATTGTGGTTCACCGGAAATCTCGAAGACGTGGGGTGCTATCAGCATGTCCAGAGTCCGGCCTTTGGGCTGGGCGCGTTGATGGTCCAGCGCGCCGAGGTGGCTGTCTCCGGGTAGTTGCAGGCCTGTCTCTTCCCAGGTTTCGCGCATCGCCGCATGCTGCAGAGAGGCATCGACCGGTTCCAGATGGCCGCCGGGAAAAGCCATGTGTCCAGACCATGGATCACCCTCTTTGATGGCACGTTTGATGAACAGCATCTGGGGACCCTGTTCGGTTTCGCGCATGACAATAGCAACGGCCGCCTGGCGGGTTTGCGCAGCGGGCGTCACGAACTCAGGCGTGTGCTGAGAAAGGCTCTGGCGGATATGTGTTAGATCAACCACGGATGCTTGTCGGACCAAAAACATGCATGATACCCCAAACCAAGAACAATCAGGTGAATGATGGAAGACGGTGCACAATCAGCGGACGCAAGCCGCGGTCGTGAATCCCTGCTGCAATCTCAGGGGAATCAATGTTTTGTCTGCGGTCCAGGCAACCCCAATGGGCTTGGTGTAACGTTCACACTTGATGCAGACGTGTGTCGAGGGTCGTTCACCGCGGGACCTGAACACATGGGCTACGACAAAGTGACTCACGGGGGCATTGTGTTCAGCCTGCTTGATGATGTTATGGCGAACTGGCTCTGGTTGCAGGGGCAACAGTGTTTCACTGCGCGTGCGGAGATCCGCTATCGAAACCAACTGCCCATCGGTACCCCGGTTCTGCTTGAAGGCCGTTGTCTGAAACGTAAGAGTCGTCTGGCACAAATGGAAGGGCGGGTCATAGATGCAAGCGATGGCCGCGTCTACGCTGAAGCCACTGCTGCCTTTATGATTCCCGTTGCCTAGGGGAGGTACGTATGGCTTATGTCACCATAGTGGTCATGTTTGCGCTGGCCGAATACCTGTATTTCGGCGTGGCCGTCGGACGGGCGCGTGCGCGCCATGGCGTTGCCGCGCCGGCAGTCACCGGTGATGAGAAATTTGAACGATTTCATCGTGCCCATCAGAATACGCTGGAACAGTTGGTAGTGTTTGTACCTGCGATTTATGCCGCCGGTTACTTTGCCAACCAGTGGCTTGCAGTGGGCATGGGTATCGTCTTTGTGGCTGCTCGCGCGCACTACTTCCGCAGCTATATTGCCGATCCCGCCCGTCGCGGTGCCGGCATGATTGGCAGCATGTTTGCGGTGGTTACGCTGATCGCCGCTGCGCTGGTGGGCGCAGTCCGCTATACACTGGTGGGGTAGTGGCGCTTCAGCCAATCCAGCATGGCGGCGTTGGTTGCAGCCGGCTGTTCCTGTTGTATCCAGTGCCCACAGGGCAGATTCACAACTTCCAGATTGCTGACAAAATCGCCTAGCGAAGGTGAGCTGGGCACCATATCGTGGTCGCCGTAGATCATCAGCGTTGGCTGATGAATGTGTTGCTCATACTCACCCATAATCTCCCAGTTGCGGGAAAAATTGCGGTACCAGTTAATGCCCCCGGTAAAGCCTGAATGTGCAAAAGCATTGCTGAATACCTGTAACTCAGCTTCGCTCATCAGGTCATCACCTGGCATTTTTTCAGCCTCTGCAATGCGGATCATGTTCATGCCCGGCGGCAGATCTGCTGGTGGCGAGAGCCATTGGTTGGTGCGATACAGATTGCGTAAGAATTGTTCCCGATGTTCGGCAAATGCCGCGTCTGCCACGCCAGGCTGGCGATTGAAGTGAACGATATAGAAGTCGCCGCCCAGATGCTGCTCCCAGAAGCCGACCCATTCGGTTGGACCGCGCTCCATGAATGGCACACTCATGTTAATCACACCGTTCACCCGTTTGCGATGCATCATTGCCAGGTTCCAGACAATAATGGCGCCCCAGTCATGCCCGACAAATAAGGCGTCTTCATACCCGAAGTGATCCAGCAGTCCCATCAGGTCGCCGGTCAGATGCGTGATGTCATAGTCGGTGACGTCTTCAGGGCGGCTGGAATGACCATAACCGCGCTGGTTAGGGGCAATGACATGGTAGCCGGCATCGACCAGGGGCTGGATCTGATGGCGCCAGGAGAAAGCATGCTCAGGCCAGCCGTGGCATAAGACGATAGGTCTGCCCGAACCTGCGCTGAAAACTTCCAGTGCCACGCCGTTAGTCTCGATCATTTGCGGTTCGGGAAAGGAAAATGCCTGGGACATGCTCATAGCTCATAAGAAGGTGCCTCATTCTAAAATGAAAAAAGCGTCATGTCGTGAGGTCATCATTGTGCAGCAGGTCGGGGTGTTAACCTACCGGGTTGCATTGGCGGGTGGGCTAGGATTTACGCCTCTTATTTTTTCGGAGTGCTGTTATGGAGAATCGCAAATCAGACCAAACGCCAACTTTTGGTCCGTTGAATAATCATCAACTGCAACAGGTCAGTGGCGGATGTCATCACTGTCAGCCGCAGATATATGCGCCGTCGAGCCTGTCAGCATTTGCACCGTCGATGCATCTGGCCGATTCAGGTGCTTCACTGACCGCCAATTTTCAGCAGCCGGCGGATTACTTTCGCGTGTTTTAGAGCGTTTTCAGTTGCAGCAGGCAAACTTTTCTGCGCGTAAGTGCGACAATGTGAGTATGGATAGACACAACGATACACACAGCCTTTTTGTCGGCTACGTTTTATGGATTTTTGGTTTCCTGGGCGCGCACAGGTTTTATTTTGGGCGGCCCATCAGCGGTACCATTTATCTGTTTACCCTGGGTTTGCTGGGTATTGGCTGGCTCATTGACCTGTTTCTGATGCCGTCCCTGGAACGGTCAGCCGATCGGCGTTACGCCGCTGGCGAACTCAGCTACACCATTGCCTGGGTGCTGCTGACCTTTCTGGGGATTTTTGGCCTGCATCGGTTTTATCAGGGCAAGATCGGCACCGGTATTCTCTATCTGCTGACGCTGGGGTTCTTCTTTATCGGCATTATCTACGATTGGTGGACACTGAATGAGCAGATCTCTGCGGGCAATCTCGAGCGAGAAGCCCGCTTCTACCGCAGTTGATGCTGCTATCGGCCAGCGCTTGATTCGCGTTGCCAAACCCGCCACCCTGCAGATTGTCAGCAGGAGTGGTCATGGATAAGAAAGAACATCGGGGTCCCGCCCCTATCGGCTTCGATACGCTGAGTCTGCACGCGGGGCAAACACCGGACGAGACCGGCGCGCGGGCAACACCCATCTATCAGACCGCATCGTTTGTTCTCCCGGATACTGACTTCGCCGCCGGGCTGTTCAATATGGAACGAGCGGGCCACGTCTACTCGAGGCTGTCTAATCCTACCAATGCGGTACTTGAAGAACGTATGGCAGCACTGGATCAGGGTGTGGGCGCCATTGTGACGGCCAGTGGTCAGGCAGCTACGCATCTCGGTGTGTGCACAATTGTCAGCGCGGGCGATCATATCGTAGCGTCTCGCTCGCTTTATGGTGGCACGCATAATCTATTCAGCTACACCTTAAAGCGCTTTGGGATTGAGACCACCTTCGTAGATCCCCGCGATCTGGATGCTTTTGCAGCGGCGATAAAGCCGAATACAAAACTGGTGTTTGCAGAAGTCCTGGGTAATCCGGGCCTTGAAGTGTTGAATATTCCAGCCCTGGCGCAGCTCAGCCACGATCACGGTTTACCGTTAATGGTCGATGCGACGCTGACAACACCGTATTTATGCCAACCTATAGCTCTGGGGGCAGACCTTGTCGTACATTCGGCGACCAAGTTTCTCAGTGGCCATGGTGTGGTTATTGGCGGCGTGCTGGTAGACGGCGGCACCTTCAACTGGGCAGGTTCAGATAAGTTTCCCACATTGACCGAGCCTTACTCCGGTTTCCACAATCTTGTTTTCACCGAAGAATTTGGTCCCCAGGCGTTCATCACCCGCGCGCGTAAAGAAGGCATACGTGACTTTGGTGCCTGTATGAGTCCGATGAGTGCTTTTCAGATACTGCAGGGGCTCGAAACCCTGTCCCTGCGCATGGACAAACATGTCAGCAATACCGCGCAGCTGGTTGAGTTTCTTGTCTCACATCCGCAGGTGCAAAATGTCAATTATCCAGGTCTTGAACAGCATCCTGACTATACCCTGGGCCAGCAGCTGATGCCTCGGGGTACCGGCGCGGTGTTCACGCTTACCCTGCAGGGTGGGCGGCGAGCGGGGCAGCTGTTCATTGAATCGCTGGAGTTATTCTCCCATCTTGCCAATGTCGGAGATGCAAAATCGCTTGTTATCCATCCGGCCAGCACCACGCATCACCGTGTGGACGCGCAGGCGCTGGCGGCAGCAGGTATTGGCGAAGGTCTGGTGCGTATCAGTGTCGGGCTGGAAGACCCGCTCGATCTGATCAATGATCTGGGCAAGGCGCTGCGCACGGTGGAGAAGCGTTTATGAAGACAGTACTGAATGGCCACACCGTTGCCTATGGCACCGGCGGCAGCGTGCTGCAGGCACAACGTGAAACTATCGTATTTGTACATGGTGCGGGTTTTGATCACGCGGTCTGGACGCCTATGGCGCGTTACTTTGCGCGTCATGGTTTAAATGTCGTTGCACTCGATCTGCCCGGGCACGGCGGCAGTGATGGTCCCGCCTGTACAACTATTGAAGCGATGTCTGACGTGCTCAGCGCGTTGCTTGATCACTTGAACGTCACTCAGACCACTATTGTTGGTCACAGTATGGGTACCCTCGTGGCGCTCGCGATGGCCCAGCGTTATCCGCAGCAGGTGCGGCAGATGGTGTTGCTGGGTACCTCAAGCCCGATGCCCGTCGGTCCACCGTTGCTGGCTGCCGCGGCTGATGGGCATTATGCCGCAATCGATATGGCCAACGCCTTCAGCCACAGTCGCCAGGGTATGTTGGGGGCTTCAGCGAATCCTGGGATGCATAGTTTTAATGCGGCCGAGCGCTGGATGGAACATCTGTCTGCGGGAGTTTTTCATGCGGATCTGGCTGCCTGTAACGATTTCAAGTTTAAAAGTGAAAACTGCGCAATCCCGACGCTGGTTGTGGTTGGTGAGGCAGATAAGATGACGCCGGCAAAAGCAGGTCTTGCGGTGGCAACGCAGTTATCAAATGCGCGTGTGCACTCTCTGCAGGGGTGTGGACATGCCATGCTGACCGAGCAACCGAATGCGGTGTTAGATGCAGTGTCTGAATTTGTTCTGGGGTAAATGATGGCAGAGTTATGGCTGGCGGCAGGTCTGTGGGTAGGCACCCATCTGGGTATTTCGAGTTCACCGCTGCGAGGTGTGCTGGTGCGGTTGATGGGGCAGGGCATGTATATGCTGTTTTACTCGCTGGTGGCAGCGGCTGCATTGACCTATTTTATCTGGGTTTACGTTCAGGCGCCCAGGTTTGACTATCTCTGGATGCCTGACCCTGACTTGTACTGGTATGCAAAATTAAGCATGCCGCTGGCGATGATGTTTTTGGTTGGTGGTTTCATGGCGCCAAAGAACGCTGACCCCCAACTAAGTGAGGTTGAACTCGTCCGCGGTGTCTTCAGAATCACCCGCCATCCCATGCAGTGGGCCATCATCATCTGGGCGGTGGGCCATATTATTGCCAATGGGGATACCGTCTCTCTGCTTTTTTTCAGTGCTTTCCTGTCGCTGAGTTTCTTTGGCACTTTGCTGATGGATCGTAAACAGGCTCAGGCGGATCCGGAGAAGTGGCAGCAACTGGCTCGGGTGTCGTCGAATATTCCGTTCGCTGCCCTGTTAACCGGTCGCAACCGCTGGGCGATCCGGGAGTGGCTGTTGCCTGTTGTGGTTGGCTCTGTGATTTATGCGCTCGCCTACTACTTCCATGAATTTTATACCGGTGCGGTGGTTGTTTAGCCGGTCTTTGCGATTAATCAAAGCGCCGCGGCTTTTTATCAGGGAGCCGCGGCGCTTTCGACCCATTGGCTGATGGCCTGGGCCAGCAGATGATGCTGGCCGGAGAAAAAATGATCCGCGCCGGCAATCCGGTTGGTTTGAATGCCAAACGCCTGTTGCAGCCCTTCGGCGTCTACATAGTCGTCCGCCTCGCCGGCGATTGCGCTGACGTAGCCAGAATGTTTTGCCGCTGCAGGTATCTGCATGACTTTGTTGGGGGGTGCAATCAACAGGCTGCGTTGAGGCTGCTGACTGGCCAGTGCACGTAAGGTCATTGCTGCACCAAATGAATAGCCAACCCACCAGATGTCGTGGTCGGGATAAGCGTCACTGCAACCTGCAGAGACTGCCAGCAGGTCTTCTGCTTCAGCGTTGCCATCAAAACTACCCTCGCTGGCGCCCACACCGCGAAAATTAAATCGCAGGGTGGAGATGTGGTGTTCCTGCAGAACCTGAACGGCGGTTGCCAGAACCGCATCATTTAGATTGCCACCATATTGCGGATGAGGATGACTAAGAATCGCGACAATTCTGAGCGGGCTGCTCGCCTGGTCCAGACGATGTTCAAGGTGACCTGCTGGGCCGGATAAATTCATGTTAGATTGTGCCGAACTTTTTGCTTCGCTAAAGGTTGAGCTTCTGGTAGCAATTTGCAACAAATTTGCGCTCATCTGCTCTTGAAATTTTTCTCCAAATCAATATTTTTGCCCACCGAGATCTATTGTCTGCCAACCGTTTAGGAGTCTTTATGATCGAAGCGAAAAACCTGGTGCGCCGCTATGGAGAGTTCAAAGCGGTCGACGATGTATCGTTCCGCATAGAACCTGGCGAGGTAGTTGGTTTGCTGGGTCATAACGGGGCGGGTAAAACCACCATTATGAAAATGCTGACCGGGTTTCTTGAACCCTCAGCAGGACAGACTCTGGTGGATGGCGTTGATGTCTTTGCAGCACCTGATCTGGTGCAGGCAAAGATGGGTTACCTCCCTGAAAGTTCGCCTCTTTATCCAGAGCTCACTGTGCTTGAGTACCTATCTTACGCTGCAGAATTGCGTGGCTTGCAGCCTGCACATTGTGTGCCGCGGGCCGTTGAGGCCACTCAGCTCGAAAGTCGCGCAATGGATCGTATTGACACACTCAGCCGCGGGTACAAGCAGCGTGTGGGTGTTGCGCAGGCCATACTGCATTCACCTAAATTTGTCATTCTTGACGAGCCCTCCAACGGACTGGATCCAACGCAGACGCAACACATGCGTGAACTCATCCGTCGCTTGGCCGAGAACGCTACCGTCATTCTGTCGACCCACATCATGCAGGAGGTGAAAGCGGTGTGTGATCGGGTGCTGATTCTGCGCGCCGGACAGCTTGCCTTGGATGAACGGCTGGATGACCTGCAGCAGGCATCAGCGGTGCATCTGAAGACCGATGTTCAGGCCGATATAAAGGCCGCGGTGGGTGGTTTGGCTGTGGCGGCCGAGATATTGCCTGAAGCTGCTGGCCACTGGCGGATCGAGCTGAAAGGTGATCTTGATGCGGGTATCGGTGCCCTTGCCAGCACCCTGGTGCAGGCCGGTGTGCCTATCTACAGCCTGATACCCGCAGCCCAGGATCTGGAGAGTATTTTCAAGCAGGTCAACGAAGCTATGCTGGATGAGGTCTCTGATGCCGCTTAAAACTATTTCTCAGATTCAGCGCAAAGAGCTGATACTGTTTTTTGTCTCGCCTATCGGCTATCTGTTCCTGGCTGCCTTTCTGGCGGTTACCTTGTTTGTGGTGTTCTGGGGGGAATCCTTTTTTGCGCGCAACATTGCTGACGTGCGGCCGATGTTTGAATGGATGCCGATCCTGCTGATATTTCTGAGTGCTGCACTGACCATGCGTATGTGGAGCGAAGAGCGTCGGTCCGGCACGCTGGAATTTGTCGCCACTATGCCCGCGTCTACCTGGTCATTTGTGCTGGGCAAGTTTCTCGCCTGCTGGAGCCTGCTGGCGATTGCCCTGTTGTTGACCCTGCCGCTGCCGTTAACGGTCAGTGTGATAGGCGACCTGGATTGGGGGCCGGTGTTTGCGGGTTATCTGGCTGCTATGTTGTTAGGCGGCGCCTACATCGCGATTGGCTTGTATATCAGTTCGCGTACTGACAGCCAGATTGTTGCTTTGATGCTCGCGAGCTTAGTCAGTGGTCTGTTCTATCTGGTAGGCAGCCCGGTTATCACCGAACTGTTTGGCAGCGGTGTCCAGTCCTGGCTCGCCGCCATTGGTAGTGGTGCCCGTTTTGAATCGATCACACGTGGTGTGCTTGATATTCGCGACCTGTATTACTACGCCTGTATCGCGCTGGTGTTCCTGAGCCTCAATGTATTTGCACTCGAGCGAGAGCGGTGGTCCGCTCAGGGTGATCTCACTCGGCATCGCAGCTGGCGTATCGGCACGGCACTGGTGGTTGCAAATCTTCTGCTTGCAAACGTGTGGCTGCAGAACGTGTCGGCACTGCGTGTAGATGTGACCGAGGGCAAAATCTACTCTATCTCGGATGCAACCAGAAGTTATCTTGCGCAGTTGCAGGAGCCGTTGCTGATACGAGGATATTTCAGTGCTAAAACACATCCGGACCTTGCGCCTCTGGTGCCGCGGCTGCAAGACCTGTTACGAGAGTATGCTGTGGCTGGCGATAACCGGGTGCGGGTTGAGTTTGTTGACCCCGCGATGGATCCGGAAATGGAAAACGAAGCCAACAGTAAATACGGCATTCGTGCGGTCCCGTTTCAGGTTGCAGATCGCTATCAGGCGAGCCTGGTAAATTCCTATTTTGATGTGCTGATTGCCTATGGAGATGAATTTGAGGTCCTCAATTTTCAGGATCTGATTGAAGTGAAAGTGGCCGGCGAAGGCGATTTTGAGGTGCAGCTGACCAATCCTGAGTTTGATGTTACGCGCGGTATCAAGAAAGTGTTGTACGGTTTTCAGGGTGGCGCGAGTGTGTTCGACAACATGGCCGCGCCGGTTAACTTTGTCGGCTACATATCGGCAGAGAGCCAGTTACCGCCTGAATTGCAGAGTCTCAAGAGCAGCCTGGAAAATGTGCTGGAGACTCTGGCTGCGGAAGCCCAGGGCAAACTGAAAGTTGAAGTGATTGATCCTCAGGCCAATGGAGGGGAAGTGGCTCAACAGATTGCAGAACAATATGGTTTTTCGCCTATGGCAGCGAGCTTGTTTGACGAAGGCAGATTCTATTTCTATCTGACGCTTAACGACGGTGACACTGTGGTACAGATGCCTATACCCGATGGCGACAGTGAAGAAGCCATACGACGCAGCCTGCAGGAAGGACTTAAGCGCTTTGCAACAGGGCTGTTGAAGACTGTGGTGCTGGTTGCGCCGGAACCTGTGCCGCCTTACATGCAGCAGCAGGGCATGCCGCCGGGCAACGAGTTCAATTCTCTGCGGGATTTCCTCTCCGCAGATTTCAACGTGCTGACAAACGACTTGAGTGATGGGGTGGTGCCTGCACAGGCAGATATGGTCATTGTCGTAGACCCGAGCAGCTTCACCGATAAGCAGGTATTTGCACTGGATCAGTTTCTGATGAAAGGCGGTACGGTATTGGTCGCAACGGCCGCCTATGCCGCGCAACCCAGTCAGAGTGGTCTGTTTGCGTCCGAACGTGATAGTGGACTGCAGAACTGGTTGGCACACCATGGTGTTACCGTGGGTCAGAATCTCGTCATGGATAGGCAGAATTCCGCATTTCCGGTGCCGGTTACCAGGCAGGCGGGCGGTTTCAGCTTCCAGGATCTGGTGATGCTCGACTATCCCTATTTTATTGACGTGCGAGACGAGGGTCTGGATGACACAGTGCCGATTAATGCGGGTCTGCCTCAAGTCACGCTCTCATGGGCATCACCTCTGAGCCTTAACCCGGCAGAAAATATTGTGGCGACCACCTTGTTAAGGTCCAGCAGTGCCAGCTGGTTGTCTAATGACACAAACGTCATGCCGCAGATCGATGAGCAGGGTAATTCCACATTCACACCGGCTGCGGAGCAGACGGCTTATACCCTTGCAGCAGCTCTGCAGGGGCGCTTTGAAAGTTTTTATTCAGGGCAGACTTCACCGCTACTTGTATCAGCAGCGGAAGATCAGGGTAGCGATGCGGAAACGTCTGCTGATGGCGCTTCTGAGGGTGCAGAAGACGAAAGCAATCTGGGCATCGTCAGCAGTGTCATAGAGCGTTCGCCTGAGTCAGCGCGACTGCTGGTGTTCGCTTCAAACGATTTTGTTGCCGATCAGACCCTGCGTATGGTCGGTGCTGCTGATGGCACGATCTACGGCAACTCAATACAAATGGTTGCGAACGCGGTGGATTGGTCCCTCGAAGATCAGAACCTCATCGGTATTCGTGCCAGAGGAAACTTCAACCGCACACTGCCGGGTATGGATGTGGCGACGCAAAGTCTGGTCGAGATCGCAAACTATGTGATGGCCCTGGTTGGGGTTCTGTTTGTCTGGTTTGCATTCCGCCTTCGTTCTCAGGCGCGTCGACGCCAACATATGCTTTGGATGTCTAATCCAGCGGGAGGGCAGTTGTGAGCAGAAAATTGAGTCTCCTGACAGTCGTGCTGGTGCTTCAGCTGGTTCTGGTGATGGTGTTTGCGATGCAGAACCAGCCTGCGACGGAAAATCAGGATGCGCTGTTGTCCTTTGGGGTTAACCAGGTTACGGGCATCAACCTCAGTGATGGTGACACAGAGGTGTCCCTGACGCGTGTTGACGATGGCTGGCAGGTGGGTGGTTATCCGGCGGATACGGCCAAGGTGGCTGCCATGCTGGAAAAACTCGCCGGGCTTAAAGGGCAATGGCCTGTGGCAACTACACCCGCCAGCGCGGTTCGCTTCGAAGTAGCGCAGGACAATTTTCAACGCCGCGTGGTGTTAAAAGGCGCAGACAAAGTGCCGACATTGTTGCTTGGTACCTCGCCGGGGTTTCAGAAGGTGCATGGGCGGCGGGCAGACAGCGATGCGATTTACAGCATCGGCTTATCGAATTTTGAATTGCCGGTCAATGTTGACGGCTGGTTGGATAAAAAAATGTTTGCCCTGGCGGCGGCTCCAACGTCGATTACATTGAACCCTGCTGATCCGAGCCAGCCGCCAGAAAGTCTCTTGTACGGTGAGGAGGGGTGGCTCTACAACGGCGTCGCCGCGGATCAGAACACAGCAACAACCTACGCAAATCGATTTACTACGCTGCAAATTGTGGGTGTTGTAGAAGAGGCACCGGAAGGCCTGGTAGAGCAGGCGAGCATTGATTTGCGGAATGATATGGAACAAAAGCAGGTTACAATCTCACGCCTGGGCGAGAGTGATGACTACTATATTGCAGTGCAGGGTGAGCCAGCTTATTTCAGTCTGGCTACTTATATTGCCGAACAGCTGTTGATGGCTGATGTAGATTTTTCTGCCGCTGATATTAACGAAGAGGCTGAAAGTCTGCAGGGGGAAGGTTGAGATTACTGTTAACGTGGATGTGTCTGTTAAGTCTGGGTGGCTGTGTCGGTCAGGGAGAATGGGGAGGTTCAGTTCACTGGCCAACGGGCAGTCAGTTTTCCGCAGCGGCTCGAACCGCGGCAACGGACCCCACGGTTTGGGTGCCGGTGCTTACCGCAGGTGTCATGCTTGCTGCGGATGTGGATGATAAGTGGTCAGAAGATCTTGCTGAAGATCAGCCGCTGTTTGGCGACGATGCGGAAAAAATCAGCAGCACGCTGCGTGATGTAGCCAGTGGTGCCTACGTGCTCACCGCATTGATTGCACCCAGTCCTACGCTGCAGGATAAGTTTAACGGCGTCAGTGTCGGTCTTGCGACAGCGGCGCTCGATGGCGCTGTTTCATATGGCCTGAAAGAAGTTGTCGGGCGCGAGCGGCCGGATGGATCCAACGACCGTTCTATGCCTTCAGGACATGCTTCCAAGGCGGCCTCCCGTACAAATATGGCGCGTCGTAACCTTGCCTACATTGATATGCCCAACTGGAGCCGTCAGTCGTTGAACTTGTCCCTGCATGCGGTTGCAATAGGGACGGGACTCGCACGGGTTGAGGCTCGCAAACATCATCTGGCAGATGTATTGGTCGGCTACGCATTAGGAAATTTTCTGGCTGGCTTCATGTATGAAGCTTTTTTCGAAACTGACCTGGATGGCCCACGTATATCTTTCCAGGCGGTTGACCAGGGCGGGGCTTTTACACTGACAATGCCACTGCACTGAACACGCTAGTCGTTGCTGATGCATACCATGTTGCGACCGCCATCTTTGGCTTTATAAAGCGCACGATCAGCCGTTTTCAACAGGTTTTCCGGTGCCTGATCTGCCTGCGACAGTGTGGCGACGCCGATACTGGCGGTAACCTGAACATTGTGACCAACCTTGGTGGCATAAGGGTAGCTTTCGATGCTTCTGCGCATCCGCTGCGCTAAGTTGATGGCACCTATCTTGTCGGTTTCCGGCAGCAGCAGGGCAAACTCTTCACCACCAAATCGGCAGGCGATGTCTGTCCCGCGTTTCACCTGGTTGACCACATCAGCAATCGCGATGAGCACAGCGTCACCAATGTCATGGCCGTAAGTATCATTAACTTTCTTGAAATGATCCAGGTCGAACAGCAGAACAGACAGCACGCTGCCGTGGCGTTGGATGCGCTCGAACTCAGTCTGCAGACGTTCCATGAAATAACGTCGATTGTGCATATTGGTCAGTGCGTCAGTATGCGCCATGCGCTGCAATTCTGCTTTTGCATTCTGCAGAGCGGAAATGGCTGCTCTGCGTTCCGTGACGTCGCGGAATACAATGGCTACCTGGGTTGCAACGTTGGTGGGGTCTAACGGCGTTGAGGCAATTTCGTAAGCGCGTCCGGCGATAGTTGTTTCGCTGTTGCTGTCAGGGCTGAAGAGAATTTCGCTAGGTATCCTCGGAATCAGCTCGTCGATGGTATTGCCAAGCAGGCTGAACTCGTGATCCCAGGCAGACAGCGCCGATTGATTGGCGTCAATGATTTCGCCATCGTGATTAAGGACCAGCACCGGATCTTTGAGGTGCTCAATAACGCGCTCTCTGGAGACTGGCGCGTTGCGCAGAAGACCGCGGCGCATGATGCCGACATCAAGAATAAGAACCGCGACAACAAACCCGACCATGGTCAGGTCCAGCCAGGGATAGGGGTTCCAGGGAGACAGTGATAACAGGTTGGTGGTAACTGCAACAACCGGTGCGAATACCGCCGCCAACAGACTCTGGTGGTGTTGTTTGTATTGTGTGAGGGCAAAAGCCAACACGGCGGTGGCAACCAGGATCAATGCGTATGAGTAGACGGCATGTACATAAAACCAGAAGCCATGTTCTGTGATCAACCCGGTGAAGCCATCTGCCGAGACGAAGCGTAGATCAATCCAGATCAGGTGATGGGAGGAGTTCGAAAGCGCAAGCAACATGGTGATTAACGGTAGCGCCGAAATGGTATTCAGCGCATGCCGCGAAATCTTTAAAACACGTTGGCTGTACGTCACGGCAAAAACAAACCAGGCCACTGGAGCCAGCGATACGCCCAGATAGGCGAACTGGGTAGCCAGAAAAATGGCTTTTTCAGAACTCACCAGTGTTGCAATCGCGTTAAAAGCAGACCAGAAGAAGAGAGTTAAGAAGAGGAAGCGTAATGCGTACCCGCCAGGCACTCTGCGTTGTGGGCGCGCGCGCAGAAAGGCTGCGAACGTAATCGCAGCGGCGGCCAGCGGCGGAAGAGACCATATGGTCAACTGGAACACGTACAGCGGGTCCTTTATCTGCGAAGCGCAAGGTGGCGCGTGGATGAGTCCACGCTTAGCATCGCAGTAGTCGTCAGGCGGCTCAAATACAAACCCGGTGAAACGTGATGTGTGTCACGCGGGTTGGTGGCACAATCTTCTTTTCCTGGTACTCCATACCTGGCTACAAGAGGTTTGAAGCTCAGTATGTCGCGAAACAGTGATCTAACAGATGCCCTCAAGCGAACGCTGAAAAGGGCAGGGCTGACCTACGCAGATGCGGCACAGCATCTGGAACTGTCTGAAGCGTCAGTGAAACGACTTTTCAAAGAACAGAGCTTCTCCGTTGAAAGGATGGAAAAGCTGTGTGAGCTGGCTCAGGCTGATCTGCTGGAACTGGTGAGATCTGTAGACGATCAGAAGGGCCGCATTCAGGAGCTGAGTGAAGATCAGGAAGCGGAGCTTGCTGCCAACCTGCCGCTTTTTATTGCCGCTATCTGTGTCTTGAATCGTTACCGCTTTGAAGATGTGCTGACCAGCTACCAGATTGATCCGCTCGAATTACAGCAGCTGTTTGCGCGCCTGGATCGCCTTGGTGTGATTGAACTGCTGCCGGAAAATCGCTATCGCCTGCAGGTCTCGCGGAGTTTTCGCTGGCGTAAAAATGGTCCCATAGAGCGTTATTTTATTGGTCATGTGTTGAGCAGCTTCGTCGATCGCAAACTGGTGCGTACTCAGGATAGTTTCAGGTTTGCCTGGGGCACTGTCAGTGACGCCACTGCGCAGCGCTTCATTGAACGCCTGCGTTCGGTCTACGATGACTTCAACGATGCCGCAGATGCAGACGCCCAACTGCCCCTTGAACAGCGTACGGGAGCAGGTCTGCTGCTGGCGTTCCGTAATCAGTGGGAACCTGAAGATATGCGCGCGCTGAAAAAATGAAACCTGGCTTAAGGACTGTTGATGATTGATCTGTATACCTGGAGTACCCCGAATGGCCGCAAGATTTCGATTGCGCTGGAGGAGTTTGGCTTGCCTTACACAGTGCACGCGGTAAATATCGCGAAAGATGAGCAGCTTGAGCCCGAGTTTCTGGCCATCAGCCCCAACAACAAGATTCCAGTGATTGTTGACCGTGAAAAAAATCGGTCGATTATGGAATCCGGCGCCATTCTGATTTACCTCGCCGATATGCACGACCGGTTCTGGGGGGATGATCGCTATCAGACGCTGGAGTGGTTGATGCTGCAGATGGCGAGCATTGGGCCTATGTTAGGGCAGACGCATCACTTTCTGAAATTTAATCCGGGAAAGGCGCCCTATGCTGAGGATCGATACGCGGCTGAAACAAAGCGTTTGTATGGCGTATTGAATAAAAGGCTCAGTGAATCTGAGTATCTGGCCGGCAGCTATTCCATAGCGGATATCGCCACCTGGCCCTGGATTGCTCGCTATGAATGGCAGGGTGTTGATTTTCCAAGTTATCCGCACCTGTTGCGCTGGTATAAAGAAATTGCTGCCAGGCCGGCTGTGCAGCGTGGCTTTGATGTACCGGCGATCGGTGCGCAGATACCTATGCCTGGCTAGCCGTTTGGCATGAGGAGGTAGGTTGCAATGTCTCTAACAGCTGGTATGGCTACCGATCTTTTGCTTCTGCTGTTGGCAGCAAATGGCTCACCTATACTGGCAAAACGGTTGCTTGGGGACAGATTTACAAGGCCTGTTGATGGCGGCTTATTGTTCTTTGATGGACGGTCGCTGCTTGGTGCCAGCAAAACATGGCGAGGTGTGGTGGCAGGAGTGGGTGTCACTGCGCTGTTGGCGGTGTTGTTAGGTTATCCGGTTTTTGTGGGTGCTTGTTTTGGCCTGACGTCTCTGTGTGGTGATGCGTTATCGAGTTTTGCAAAACGTCGTTTCAATGTGCCTCCCAGCGGACAGGCATTTGGTTTAGATCAGATTCCTGAAGCGTTCCTGCCACTATGGGTTTTACGCGATACGCTGGAAATTGACCTCTTCGCTATCAGCGTCGTAGTTGGGCTTTTTGTTGTGGGTGAACTGCTGTTGTCTCGGGTGATGTACGCAATAGGGGTTCGTGATCGTCCCTACTGACTGGGGCTGGTGAGGCGGTGCAGGGTTACTTCAGGTGGGCAGTTAATGCGTACATCCACAATAGATGCGCCCGCGCCGGGTGAGGTGTAGCCGATCATGTTCGCGTAACGCCACGCGCCATTGCCGAATCTACGCGGTATACGTGCATCGAGTGTCAGCGGAAAACCGCCCGGCAGACAAATCTGGCCGCCATGAGTGTGGCCGCATAACAACAGGTCGGCACCTGCATGAGCCGCTTTACGATATACCTCCGGAGTATGGGAGAGCAGTATTGTGCACGCGTCCGGCGGTATATCTGTCATGGCTTTTTCAATGTTGTCGACGCCAAAAAAGTGGGCGTCGTCGATCCCCGCCAGGTACAGCGGGTCCTGCTTAGCATTGGCAAAGATGACAGATTCGTTCATCAGCATATTGATATCGAGGTCTTCAAGCTCCGGTAGCATTTTAATGCTGTCATGGTTGCCAAGCACCGCATAAACCGGGCTGTGTAAAACTGCCCTAAGTGCGCTCATACCCTGCAGTACAGGTTGCACATCACCGAAGGTGCGAAATCGATAATCGCCGGTCAGCACGCACAAATCGTATTGCAAATTACTAACACACTCGATCAGGCGAGCGACGAGCTCTTCACTCATGTCGATATGCAGGTCTGACAAATGCAGAATGCGTAAGCCATTTAGACTTGCAGGTAAGTTCGGTAGTTCGATCAGGTTGTGTACCGTGCGAATCTTAAGTGCGTTGCGGCGTGCACGGTTGTACATGCCGACAATTTTCAAGCTGCCACGAATAACTGCGTGGGCTGAATACCAGTTCTCCAAATGAAAAAAACTGCTACCGCCGCCAAACACATGTGTTTCATGTGCGGTCTCAATGCCAAGTCGCTGGCGTGCGTGGACAGCGCCAAGACGCCCCTCAAGACGTCGGAGAATGTCCTCGTCATTCAGAATCATTTGTCTCGCTGCAAAACAACAGGCATTGCTGCTGATCTTAATGAAGTAGGGTTTGCAGCTGGTTCAGGCGCGCCTGCAGATCAGCTTGACTGTACGCGATTGGAGTACCCTCACCCCAGACAGGTCCTGGCCAGGCTGGGTCATCCTGCTGCCGTGCAATGACATGAATATGTAGTTGCGGTACCTGATTACCCAGAGCAGCCACGTTAATCTTGAACGCATGGTGAAGTTTAACCAGCGCGCTCGAAGTCTGATCTATTTCTTCGAACAGGGCCAGCCTATGTTCGGCGGGGACCTCGTGCAGGTCACGCAGATCAGCTATTCGCGGTACAAGGATCAGCCACGGATAACGGGCATCATGCATTAAAAGGCAGCTGCTCAGGGGTAGCTCACAGACCAGGGATGTATCCGCTGCCAGGCGTTCATGCAGAGTGAACAGGCTCATTTTGGCGCGTGTCCGCCAATCCACACAGGGCTTGACCACGCTATGGCATCGTTGGACTGGACAACTCGAATGAAGTAGTAGTCACCTTGTCTGGTGTCTGTGTCGGTGAATTCGAAGCTCACTTCTCGTTCTCCGTCTTCAATGATGCGTCGAAGTGTAGTTGTGTCTACGTAGTCATCTGTGGTCTGTTCGTGCGCCAGGCGGCCTTCCTCTAAATCTTTAAAATTCAGCGTGAAGGTGTCAGCGGGTATGCGTTGATGCGGACGATAGATTGTCGGTGCACCACCGGTTTCCGCTGCTTCAATGAGATCAAATCTCAGCCTTGAAGTGCGTTGCACGTCGCTCAAACGCAGCAGATACGAGCTGCCGTCGCCACGGGTCTTGGTCGAAAACGTCAGCCGATTGGGGTTGTCTTGCGCCCTGGTTATTCGCTGTAGGGGAAAACTGGTATCAACGGGTGTTATCTCGTCGAGGGTCGCATTTTCAATCTCAAGCGTACCTTCCCAGGTGCGCCAGCCACGTGGATTATCATGATGATGATGTGGATGGGAAGCAGACGCAAAAGTCAGCAGGTAACTGCCGCGTTTAGACAATTTGTCTTCTTTGTCGTGTAGATAATCTTTTTCCCACAGCACCTTATCGTTTTTAATCAGCGAGATGGTGTCGATGGGCGCAGTGCCGATGACTTTACCGCTGATCTGGCGTGTTTCTGAAAAGTCGCCGCGCTGGCCCATCGGGGTGCCATTCACATTGAAATCGAGAATGATCCGGTCGCCGGTGGTGGCGTAAGCCTGCAGGTTTTTCATCCCATCAAATATGGCATCGGTGGTGCGCGCCTTGGCTAACACCGCACCTAATCCACCGCGTTGGGAGAGGGAGCCGCCAACGGGTGCAGAATACCCCGGCTGGCTCAGGTGGTTATCTGAGGCGGCCGTAAATCCGACCTGATGCCCATGCTCAAGATACATACGGCCAAACCATTCGAAGTTGCCGTGTTGCGACATGATTTCAACCAGTGGTTCCAGTTCAGGATCGCTGATTCGATAGTCGCCAGCCTGATGCGCATGGGGGATCACCACAACATCTTCGGGCTCTGCAGTTGAACGCAAACCCTGATAAAGCTTCGATAAAGTCGGGTAAAACTGTGCTGGGATGCGGCTGCGCTGCTCTGGTGTACGGAACAATACATTGTGGTGGCCTCCACTAGTGGTGTTTACGCTCCACTCGTAACCCAGGTAGGCAATGAATTCACCTTCTTTAGTGAATGCCTGCACATTGTCTTTAAGTGTTGTCCATTCTGAATCGTCGAGCCAGATATCGTGTTCAGAATGGGTCACGTAGTCCAGGCGGGCATCATCTCTGGCCCATCGCATGAAGCGATCAGGGGTGCCAATGCCTTCGGCAAACCCGGAGTGGCCATGGGTGTCTCCCCAGAATATGCGCGGCAGATCGTTGCTGGTTACAACAATCGGATTTACCTCGCCTGAGACGGTGCCGTCTGAACTCTTAATACTCAGGAAGTAAGTGCCAGGTTCATCTATACCGGTTTCAACCAGTGTGATCGCGCCGGTACTTTCAACATTGATCCAGGCCTCGCCGTTTCTGGAGATCTGCCAATCGGGAATGCCACCGGTTGCACGGTTAAAAAAGCGGTCTCGGGCGCGCAGGGATAAGGTGAAAGGTTCACCAGGTGCAACAATAGAAGGTGCAAATCCTGCAACGCCATCAATGCTGCTGCCATTGATCTGGATAGGTGCAATGGGCAGGCTGTAGTAGGGCGCGTCATCGCTGAAAGCGAGGTAGATAGGCAGGGGCATGGCGTCACTGGCAAAAGAGGGCATGCTTAAACCACGACTGCCACCTGATCGATCACCGTAGGTTATGGTGACAATATCTCCCTCTGACAAAGTCCCGGAAGCAACGCTAAACAGCAGTGTCGCGCGCGTATTGCGGAAGCCCCCATGCATGCCACTCATCGGGGCGGTAGTGGTGACAAATCTGACCCGTGAGTTGCTGCTGCTGATGCTGATGTAGTGGTCTGCAGCAGGGTCGTTGGCCTGCCATGTGCCAAAGTTCGCCATGAAATGGCGTGCGATAAGAAATCCGCCACCTGTCTGTATATCCTGGGCGCCTACCGTGTAGGTTTGCGTGATGGTATCCATCTCCCCAGCTGTGAAAGGTCCGGGTGTGGCCTCTAACGGCCCCAGCGCGTTTGGGTTTTCGTCCAGGAAAATGAATTCGGCTATCGTGGCATCCAGGGCGCTGAACCAGTTCTGGCGCTTGTCATCCTCACTCAGAATCCTGGCTATGATCTGAGTGCTGTTAACAGGAATATAGCCACCGTTGACAGCGTAGGCGTTGATCCACTCCCAGGTGAGGCGCGCACGTGCGTCGGCGTTGGTTGAGTTGGTCGGCACCCGATTCACGTCGAGCTTCAACTGCTCGATGCGACTGCGCAGATCGCGTGGCAGATATTGCTCATCTACAGCGTGAACCGCCTGGGTGCACAGCAGACTGAAAAGCAGGGTTAGAAGCGTGATGCGCTGGGTCATGGTCTCGAAATCATCGTATTTATTGCGCAAGACTGTTGCACAAAAATAGTGCTTTTGCGAGCGGTGAACCTGGCTCAGCGCTGGGTCAGGCTGGTGCCGTTCCAGCAACTGTGGTGCGGTGCATCACGCGCTGGTAGCCATCGTATCCACCCTGGGCACAATGTAAGGCTGAGCGGTTATCCCACATGGTTAACATATTCGCAGACCACTTGTGTGTGTAGATAAATTCTGGCCTAAGGAAATGTTCAAACAGTTTTGCCAGCAGAGCTTGTGCCTCGGTTTCTCCCATACCGTCGATGCCGATGGTGTAAACCGGATTAACCCATAAAGCTTTGCGTCCGGACTCAGGGTGGGTGCGTACCAAAGGATGAAGCTGAGTGTCCCAGGCATTGTCGTTGGGCAGGATTTTCATACCTTTGCGTTTGTCACTGCCGGTTTTTATATATCCTTCATGGCTGTAAGGCATGCGTGCGGAGTGCACGGTCATGTGTGTCTCAAGCTCCGCAGCAAAGACGGGGTCCAGTGCTTCAAAGGCGCGAAACCCGTCTGCGTACAGGGTATCTCCACCATGAGGTGGCACAATTTTGGCGTGCAGAATGGTGGCTGCGGGCGGCTCACTCTGGAACGACCAGTCTGAATGCCAGCCGCTACCAAATGGGGCAACTTCTTCATCTGGTTCGCGTCGAACTTCGAGAATATGCTGGTGGCCATCAATGGCTTTCACATAGGGGTCGTTGCCGTGCTCGCCAAAACAGCGAGTGAACCGCTCCAACTGGTCATGTTCGAGTGGCTGATTTGGTAGATAGATTACCTGGTGGTCGAGCCAGGCCTGCCTGAGGGCCGCAACCTCATCCTGATTCAGTCCGGCGGCCAGATTCAGACCTTCAACGCAAGCACCGAAGTTGTTGGCATGAGGGGTGATGGTGAGTTGGGTCACATGCTGTTCCAGTTAACTTGCAGAACAAATAGAGTAGCAACAGCGACCACAGCACCGATCACAAGAATGGTCAGAAACACGGCTGCGCCGTCTTCCTGTTCACCGTGTGGGTGCTGGCGTCGCCGCGATACGGCGAAAATGACAGCGAGAAATATGAGAGCTGGAATGGCAAACTGTATCAGGTAGCGCAAGAGGGGTTTATCCTTATCGCTGGGTCGATTTGCAGCATAACCATGGAGACCGGCAAAAGTCTACTTGTGGAAAACGCGCAGATCTGTGGGATTGATTGGGGAGATTTATGGAGTGGATGCAGCAGCACTGGCTGGCTGTGGTATTGCTGGCCGGTTATACCGCAATGCTCCTCTATAACGCCTACCTTGGCAATCGTGCCAGTGAGAGCCTGGACGGCTATTACGTCGGTGGCCGGAATATGGGCGGAGTGGTCATCGGGGTCTCTTTTTTTGCCACTTTCGCATCTACCAACAGCTACATTGGCCACGCCGGCAAAGGCTACGCTTATGGCCTGCCGTGGCTGGTGATGGCGCTCGCGCTGGTTGTATTCACCTGGGTGTCCTGGCGCTGGGTGGGACCAAAATTGCGGCGGTTTGCCAGCCAGTGGGATGCACTGACGATTCCCGACTATCTGGGCAGCCGATTCCTGCCACCGGAGCAGGATCGCAGTAACCACCCGTTACGGGCGGTGGCTGCGCTGGTCATAGTTTTTTCCAGCCTGCTGTACCTGATTGCGATTTTCAAAGGCGCCGGACACCTGTTCCAGATGTTCCTCGGTGTACCTTATGAAACAGCGGTGGGTATTACTCTGATCATAGTCATGCTGTACACCTCAATAGGGGGGTTTGTCTCCGTGGTACGCACCGACGTGGTGCAGGGGCTGTTGATGGTGCTGGGCTCGATGACTATTTTCTATTTTGTGACCCGAGCGGCGGGTGGTGTGGGTGCGATAACCCAGTTGCCTGCGATGCCGGACAAAGAGTTTCTGTTCGAGCTGAACGGCGGCATTCCGTTTCTGGTGTTGTTGGGTATTTCTTTATCCGGCTCGTTAAAGCTGCTGGTGGATCCGCGTCAGATATCAAGGTTCTACGCGTTACGTGATGATCGTGCGGTAAAGCAGGGCGTCTGGGTCGCGGTGATTGGTCTGGCGCTGGTGCAGTTCTGTATTTTTCCGGTTGGGGTTTACGCGCACCTGATAATGTCTGGCGTCACAGATACAGATCTGATTGTGCCCACGCTTGTTAGTGACCCCAACGTATTTCCTCTGTGGGCAGCTGATTTTCTGATTGTTGCCATTGTTGCTGCTGCCATGTCATCTATGGACAGCGTGCTGCTGGTTGCGGCATCAACACTGTATAAGAATCTGATTGAGCCGTTGCGCCCGTCTATCCGTCAAGTGGCCTGGACGCGTGGTTCGGTTATCGGTTTTGCCGTGGTGGCTGCGGCGCTTGCGCTGAATCCACCCGGCGATATTGTCGAGATCACCATATTTTCTGGTTCTTTGTATGCGGTGTGTTTCTTTCCAGCGGTAGTCATGGGCCTGCACTGGCACAAAGGCTCCGCAGCCGCGGTATTGTTGTCTATGGTTGGCGGGGTGACAGTTTTGATTGCCTGGATAGGGTTCGGTTTCCGAGGTGGGCTACACGAAGTCTTCCCGGCCCTTTTAACCTCAATAGTATTGTATGTCGTGATCTCGAAAATGACCCCACCTGTTCACGCCGCGGAAGTCTATCTGCAAACAGATTGACCAGCGCGTTCCGGGTATTAATAAAAAAGCTGAAGGAGTAGATGGTTCGATGAGTGATACAAAAGATCGCAGTGGTGCAGAGGCTCTGGTGCAAACTCTGGTTGATGCAGGTGTAGACGTCTGTTTTGCCAATCCAGGAACGTCTGAAATGCATTTTGTGGCCGCGCTGGATTCCAATCCTGACATGCGTTGTGTGCTGGGTTTGTTTGAAGGTGTTGTCACCGGTGCAGCTGATGGTTATGCGCGCATGGCGGGCAAGCCCGCAGTCACCCTCACCCATCTGGGGCCTGGATTGGGCAACGGACTGGCCAATCTGCACAACGCTAAGAAAGCCCGTACTCCGGTCGTTAATGTTGTAGGAGACCACGCCACCTTTCACCGTAAGTATGATGCGCCGCTGACCAGTGACGTCGAAGGTATCGCTAAACCGATTTCCGGTTGGGTGAAAGTATCTCAATCCGCTGATGACGTTGCCGCTGATGGGGCTGAAGCTGTGCAGGCGGCGATGGCGCCACCCGGGCAGGTGGCGACGTTGATTCTGCCGGCGGACACGGCCTGGAACCGCACCACGGCAGCGGCCGCGCCCTTGCCGGCTCTTACACCCAAAAGCTTTGTGCAGGGCAATGTATCTGAGGTTGCTACTGCGCTGCGCAGCGGTAAGCCGAGTGTGATTCTGATGAATGGCATAATCACGCAAGAACGCGCCGCCTGGGCAGATCAGATTGCGCAAGCCACGGGTGCCAGAATCATTATGGACACCTTTGTAGGGCGGGTTCAACGTGGTGCAGGTAGAGCTGAGGTGCAACGTCTGCCTTATTTTGGTGAGCAGGCGGCGGAACTGCTTGCGGGTACCGAGCATCTGATATTGGTAAGCACTCAACCTCCCATTACCTTTTTTGCATACCCCGATAAGCCCAACTGGCTGACGCCAGAGGGTTGTGAGCTACACACGCTGGTTGAGCGTGATGAAGATGTTGACGGCGCCCTTGCCGCACTGGTTGATGAGCTTGGAGCTGGTGCCACACCGGCGCGCACTGTTGCCCTGGATATTCCAGCATTACCCAAAGGCGAACTGACGCCGGGTTCGCTGGGCGCAACCCTGGCACACTATTTTCCTGACAATGCCGTTGTGGTGGATGAAGGCGGCACCTGTGGTGCTGGCGCAACCTTTGCAACACGAACGGTTGCCCCGCATGACTGGTTGATGCTCACGGGCGGATCTATTGGCTACGGCCTGCCTTGTGCAACAGGCGCTGCGGTGGCGTGTCCGGATCGCCCTGTGATCTGTCTACAGGGTGATGGTGCTGGTATGTACACCAACCAGGCGTTGTGGACACAGGCGCGGGAAAAGCTGAATGTCACCAACATTATTCTGGCGAATCAGAAGTATTCCATTCTGCAGATTGAGTTTGGCCGTGTGGGTGCGCATAACCCCGGGCCGAAGGCGATGAGTATGCTGGATCTGTCGAATCCGGAATTGAACTGGGTGTCGATGGCTGATGGCATGGGTGTGCCAGCCTGGCGGGTGCGGACAGTGGAAGAGTTTGCTGCTGCGCTGCAGGAATCATTTTCGATACCGGGCCCGACTTTGATTGAGGCAATGCTCTAGTCAGATCTCCTGCCCGGCGTTGACGGCTGAATATTGTGTAGTGTACGCTACGTAAACAACGTAGCGGATGCTACACAATTTAACGTTGTTTGGAACTATCGTCAGCTCGGGAGAAAAAGATGGCCGCTTTTCGTTTGTTGCTTGTTTTGATGCTGATTGTTCTGGGGGCCTACACAGCTGTAGTCATCCTCGAATACGGCATGAATCTGTTCCAGGTTTTCTTCGGCGATATGGCGGCAGTTAACTGGGCCGGTCAGTTCAACCTTGATTTCATGTTTATGCTGGCGCTTTCTGCATTATGGGTTTCCTGGCGACATGGGTTTTCACCTGCAGGTTTAGGTCTGGGTGTGCTTGCTTTCTTTGGTGGCGCCGTATTTTTAGCCATTTATTTACTTATCCTGAGTGCCAAGGCGAACGGCGACGCTCGCTATATATTGCTTGGCGAGCGGATGTCGTAGTTCCGTAAATGCCCTTATAACGCGTTTTAAACCTTTGCAATCTGCTGATTAAAAATGTTGGGAGAGCGGATGAAAAACCAAGTTGAAAAATGTGAAGCATTGGCGGCGCTACATGCGTCAAGCGATGCATGGATAATCCCGAATCCCTGGGACCTTGGTTCGGCAAAAGACCTTGAGAAGCACGGTTTCAAGGCGCTGGCGACCAGTAGCGCTGCGTGCGCGTATACCATGGGCCTCAAAGATGGCGAAGTGTCGCTGGAGCAGAAGCTGGCCTATTGCGAAGCCATGGCCAGTCACACAACACTGCCATTGAGCGTTGATTTTGAGGATGGTTATGACAATGCGGCCGCTGCTGTTGCCGCCAACATCAAGCGCCTGGCAACAACCGGTGTGGCAGGATGTTCAATTGAAGATTTCAGTCGTGTTGATCAGAGCGTATTTGATTTTAACCATGCGTTAGAACGCATTCATGCAGCCGTAGAAGCCGTTTCCACTCTGAATATGCCTTTTCAGCTGATTGCACGCGCAGATGGGTTGATCAGAAGGCAGTATGATCTCGAAGAAGCCGTTAAGCGATTGCAGGCATTTGCTGCCGCAGGTGCCCATGTGCTTTTTGTACCTGGTCTTAACACCATGGATCAGGTTCGGCAGGTCGTCAGCAGTACAGATCGCCCCTTGAATGTGCTGTCTCCATTTTTCCCCGGCGTATCTGTCGCTGAATTCAGCGCGGCGGGGGTGAATCGACTCAGTCTGGGTGATGTGTTGCTGACGAAAGTACGAACCCAGTTCAATAAAGGTGTTGAAGAGATGTTGTCGACGGGTGCAGCCAGCTGAGAGCGTCAGGCCCGTCGAAACACCGTTCACCTAGTCGTCGATAATCGCCTGATAAGTCAGCACCTGAAAATCCTGGCGAATGTTGATATGCGTATAGGGACGAACCTGAGTCATAATAACGCCCACCAGTTCCTGTTCGGGGTCTAACCAGGACAAAGTGCAGTACGCGCCACCCCAGTAGCCTGAACCTTCAGACAGCGGTGTAGCAGCGGCACCTCGATCGGTGACAACACCGTAACCCAGACCAAAAGACATTCCCGGCCCGGCCAGCCACAGGTCGAGATCACCGGTGTGGTTCTCCAGCATCAGGCTGACTGTGCTTGGCGCTAACAGCCGGGTGCC